AAAATTATTAGTCGTATCTATTGAAAACTCCATATCGAGTAATGCCGAGATTTACTGTCGGATTTGTGTGAAGTCCATCTTGAATAATTCCGAGATTTATTAAGTGTCGGATTTGTTGGGAGCTACGTATCCATTGATGATAAAAATTGTGGATAGTCTCTCGCGGTTATTAATGAACACCGTAGATACTTGTAATAGATTAGGCTCGGTCGGATTTATTGTAAACTTAATCTTGAATAATATCGAGATTTATTACGTGTCGGATTTGTTGGGAGCTGCGCATCCATTAATGCTAAGACTACCATATAGTCTCTCGCGGTTATTGATGAACACTCAGTTCATCAATAATCGCGTTAAGCATCCCATATCGTCTCTTGCGGTTATTGATGAACCCCGGAGACACTTGTATTACATTAGGCTCGGTCGGATTTATTGTGAACTCCATCTTGAATATAATAACGAGATTTATTACATGTCGGATTTGTTGGGGACTACATATTCATTAATGGTAAGAATGCCATATAGTCTCTCGCGGTTATTGATGAACCCCGGAGACACTTGTATTACATTAGGCTCGGTCGGATTTATTGTAAACTCCATCTTGAATATAATACCGACATTTATTACACGTCGGATTTGTTAGGAGCTGAGTATCCATTAATGCTAAGAATCCCATATAGTCCCTCGCGGTTATTGATGAACCCCGGAGACACTTGTATTAGATTAGGCTCGGTTGGTAAATAGCGAGTCTCTGGCAGACTTCGACGATTAATGGGAATAGTCCGTGGTTTTACAGACAGGGGCGATTTTTACTCGTACAGTACAGGCCTAGGACCGTTTAGGAGGGTTTGAGGACCTCCACCTTACGGTCGGACGCGTTTCACGCTCTTGCTAGTTGCCGTTACGGTCTCCCGAAGATGTAATTTGCGGACGTGTCACGAACCGACGGCAATTGGATCCCTCGTGATGTCGGTCGCTGCCAAAAATACGTCTACACCGAATATTTCGCGGTAATGGTTTAATGGCTCATGGAGAAGTTCTCTTCCTGCTTCGTCGATACTCGACGGAGGAACTCTTTTGCTAAACTCCGTTTTATCAACTCTCATCTTGACTTCCATCACCCTGTCCGCCGACATATCTCATTTTTGCATCCATCCTCCATAATATTCCCGTTCTCCCAAAAGCTCGACCTATAAACCCGATCGATCTCTTCCTCTATAAAAGCTCAATTGAATTTAATTTTATCGAGTCCTATCGATAAAGTGTGCGATGAAAATTCTTTTGAATATCTCCCCGAGTCGCTTGTCTTTTCTTACCACTGTTTTCAGTTCCGATATCTACGCGGTGATTGCGCGACAATTTTTTCCACTGGTCTTACAATTACATTGGGGCGCAAATATGGCGTTCGGGTGGTCGTGAAACGCACGATTCGCGCGTGCAAAGGCGCACGTGAAAATCCCGACGAGAAAGGGGTACAGGGAGAGGAGGGTTACGGGAATGCGAACAGCAATTACGAAGTGCGGCAATCTCTGGTACAACTTGCCAAGACTCATCTCGTGACGTCCATGATATTCCCGTTCTCCCAAAAGCTCGATCTATAAATCCGATCGATCTCTCCCTTTATAAAAGCTCCATTGAATTTAATTTTATCGAGTCCTATCGATAAAATGTGCGATGAAAATTCTTTTGAATATCTCCCCGAGTCGCTTGTCTTTTCTTACCACTGTTTTCAGTTCCGATATCTACGCGGTGATTGCGTGACAATTTTTTCCATTATCTTACAATTACATTGGGGCGCAAATATGGCGTTCGGGTGGTCGTGAAACGCACGATTCGCGCGTGCAAAGGCGCACGTGAAAATCGCGACGAGAAAGGGGTACAGGGAGAGGAGAGTTACAGGAATGCGAACAGCAATTACGAAGTGCGGCAATCTCTGGTACAACTTGCCAAGACTCATCTCGTGACGTTGTGAGACCGAACGGAAGGGGCGCGAGCTTGGGAAACGTCCCGTGGACGTCACCGTCGCCGCGCATCCGTTTGCTCTCGTTTCCATACAAGAAACGGCCTCGACGATGGTCCGCGTCAACGGCTCGTTCACCAGTTCGCGGTGATAATGTAGAAGTCGTGGATGTCGGTGTCGTTGACCTATCGACACATCTGATCTCTTGTCGGGGGCATTAACCTTTTCGATGTCGGTCTTGATCGATAATCAGCTGATATGGGCTAGGGGATCAAGATCGGGCATTTAAAATAGCTCAGGAAGTTATCAAAGGAAAAAAATACGGCTGGCGAGTATTGTCAAAATGTCAGGGTTATGTGTTATCACTATGCACGTGGATGCGGGGAAAGCGTTCCGCGCGGAAAACATTTTCACTCGAGGAAAAAGAATTTACGGTTATGATAAGAAATTGTACTTGCTTAAAGATATAATATAAAAAATATAAAAAAGATAAGAAACAAAAAAGAAAACGCTAGAACAGGGGCCAGCAACATTTTTGTCGAGATATACTTTTATTATATTGAGAACGAGAAAACCATTATTTTGCTGGGCAACACAAATTTTACTCATAGTTGCAATATTCTTTTCTAGCTACAACATATTGTATATCGCGAATTTGTTTGGGTTGGAACAAAAATATTTGTTTACTGTTGCTAGAAATTCAGTAGTCGATTTAGCAAGCATTCTTTTTCGAGGGGCCACTCACTCGGAAATAGGTTAAAACGATTTTCTTTATTGAGAACCGATTGTCCTTGATTTCATATGATAAGCAACAATGCGATTCGGTAACGAGGGTCAGTCGGTCTTAAAATTGTGGCAATGTTTTGGTGACTTCCTATGATTTTCAGTGATTCCTGCTTGCAATTTTCACCTGATTTTCTCGTGATTTTGAGCGTTAAAATTCATAATTTCTCGAGTGAATACCCCCTCGACGTTTTTTTTAAAGAAAGCACTTCAATGGTTACGTCTTCGTTCGATATGATTGCAAACATCGTTGTTTCTGCAATAAGAGCAAAACTATGAGCAATGCTGTTCTTTGTTAACAGTGGGAATGTCTTTTTTCCGTATATATACGCGGAAGGACGGTTCATTCCGGCATCTCTTGGCCTGTGGCATAGAAACACTAAAATGCGTTGCCAGCGTGCGGTGTTCGCCGTGGAAATGCGGAAAATATTTTCTAAAATTGATGATTGGTTGTACCGTCTCAAGGTAATTCCGTACTCCGCGTCAATTACGCGTGCTCTACGCGCGCATGAAACGGAAACATTAATCGATTTCAATAAAAAGTAGGGCATCCTTAATCATAAATTACAAGCTCAAAAATAAGCTTCGTAATTTACGGTTAATTTTTCGTTCTTTGGACGAACAAATGAAAATTTTCGATATTATTGTTAGTAACACAATGTGAAATATTTGGACAAATTTCAGGGAAGTTGTATGTCTAAAGAAATATTAAAAAAAGACTAGGAAGACGTCTCGGTCACGTGAAGATCATACATGAGAAAGTTAGCTGTAAAACCAGTATTTCTAATAGGAGGACTGTCTGCTTCAAAAAAGGACATCAGGTCATCTTAATAAAGACACCGATCGGTTATAATTTCATGCGACAGTCGAATTGAACGAGATATCAAGAAATTTAATAGCGCTTCGTTTAATACTAGGACGTTGAAGAGGTATTCATGGGGAGTTTATTGGGAATTAATTATCCCTCCCTTTCATTGGACTCAATGTTAGTTTTCTGCAAGGAAACGGGTTTTGATTTGAAAGATTGCCACGATTTTATGTGAATGCTGTTATTTCATAGAAACGTATACGAAGTCACGCACTCCGATGAATCTTTGCGGGAAACACCCGGGCGGTTGTTAAAACGGTCGTGCAATAAAAATATCGGATGCCTGTCTCGAAAATCCTACATGCCGTCTCCGCGGTTACATGCCAAACATAATAACCGATTACCAAGATAACCGCTCTGCCTATTTCCGAGCCAAGATCGCATTAATAATAGAGCACTTGCGTAATCGAGTGTCCTTGGATGCTTGGAAAATATATGAGGAGCATGAATTCTCAGGTTGCACTTCGCGGCACCTCTTCCAGTTTTCGTCATCCGGATCGAGAATTTAGATTGCTTCGTGGAATAGACAATTTAGAACAGTCTGGTAATCGGTAAACTCGCATTTCAACGGGATAAAGGCAAAAAAGTGTCTTATGCGTGTCTATGGTAAATCGATGGTAATACGAGGTCTCGAAGTGAAAATTTAGTTCACATGGAAATCACAGATGGCGCAGAGTGTCCCTTTACAGTCAAATAGGGCCTCAGGAAGCATCAATCTAGAGGATTTCTGGAATTTTACTTCGATTTCTTTACAATTATTGTACGACAACGACAGGTGGAGTATGCCATTTAGTATATAGTAATTCGGCACAGCTGTCAATATAAAAACGTACGTCAGCAATGTAGGTATTTAGAAAAATCTTCTTTGTCGACATCGATCAAATTCTTCTACGTGTTTCACTTCACCTTAAACCTCGAGGGAGTGTTCACTCAAGAAATTATGAATTTTAACACTCGAATCATGTGGAAGTTAGCTGGGAATCGCAAGCAGAAATCACTGGAAAACGTTGGAAATCCCCAAAGTACTGAGAAAAATGATAAGACCGTCACTCGTTACGTGGAAATTGATGATTTCAATATTTCTCAATACATAATTCTCCGTGGAATGTAAACATTGCAGATCCGTCCAGAGGATCGACTCTTAAATCTTGTTAACTCTTATTTGATCCTTCCGACGAAACTTAACGTCGCATCTTATTACGGTACCAGTTTCTACGTAACCAAGGAATTTGTTTATAAATTGTAAGTTTCGAAACCTTAAAGTGTGTATTAATTGTAATCGTACAAATAAACCGTTATTCGATAAATTTCATGTTATATCGGTTTAGTCTCGATTTGGGGGAATAAAAAACCTGAGTCCCAGAGGGTTAATAATGAATATCTTCGCAGGAAACTAGGACCAGGAGCCGGGCGTGGATTACGGAGCGGAGTTTCCGTTCCGCATAGATGTGGCCGTGGGGCGGCGGCCATTGAGGTGCAGCCGAGAGGAGGCCATTTCCCCAGCTCGACCCCGAACGAAGAGCACCCTGAGGAGGAGTCGATAACCCCCGGGAGGCGCCCCGGCCGAAATGGGGGTCGCCGACGATTTTGCCCCCAGCTTCACGCAGAAGCCCCAGCTTCGCCAGGAAGATGAGGGCAACCGACTCATCTTCGAGTGCCAGCTCCTCAGCTCGCCGAAGCCTGAGATTTCCTGGTTCCGCGGCGAGACCCAACTCGCCGAGGACTCCAGGACCAACTTCAAGATCCAAAGCGTCGCCGCCAACAAGTTCCTGGTGGTCCTCGAGCTCGACGACGTCATCGAGACCGACGCCGGCCTCTACAAGGTCAAGGCCAAGAACAAGATGGGCGAGGTCGCGGCCTCCATCAACCTGAACTTCAGTCGTAAGTGTTGCTAGAGGAGTTAGTTACCGGGTCCCTGACCTACCCCACTGTCGACAGGGACTGGTTGGGATCCCTTGAATTTGTATACACGCAAAAGATAATTTGGTTCATCGGATAAAGTTCTTTGATCGACTGCATTGACGTTTTCGTCGAACGAGGCGAATTTTGGATCGTTTGACCAAACTTGTTGATTTCGATCAGCCGAAGTGTTTTGGTTAAGTCGTTATGTTGTGATCATTTTTCAAGTAATTTAGTCGATAATCCAAATATTTTGGTTAAATACCTTGGTTTAATTTAACGTTTGGCGTGATCTACCACGGTATTCGATAAAATCAACCTAAAGTTATTAGCCAAAGAATTTTCTCGTATCGTCGAATTTTGTTGTATAATTTTGTACACGCAAAAGGAAATATGGTTCATCGAACAAAGTTCTTTAATCGACTGCATTGACGTTTTGGTCGAACGAGTTGAATTTTGGATCGTTCGACCAAACTTGCTGGCTTCGATCAACCGAAGTGTTTTCGTCAAGTGGTTATGTCGTGATCATTTTTGAAGTAATTTAATTGATAATTCGAATATTTTAGTTAAATACCTTGGTTTAATATAAAATTTCGCGTGATCTACCACGGTATTCGATGTAACCAACCTAAAGTTATTAGCCAAAGAATTATGTCGTATCAACCAAACATTTTTCTGCGTGTACAACATCGTTTCATTTTGGGCAATTTAAAGGGACAAGGAATTAGTTATTGATGTTTGTGATGTACTTAAAGGTGATGGCAGGATGTTCGTGTGAAGGATTAGGCTCCGTTTTGAAGAGAAAGATTTCTTTAGAAATTTCTTGGAAACTTCATTGAACAACATTTGAATAAATGGATGTATAAAAGTTTATACACACGTAATCTAAATATCGGGTCGGAATATTATAATACAATTTTTTTATCTTTACCTAGTTCATATATTTTAATGGATTTGAGGCTTTTACGTTACATCGTTTGATGAAAGATATTATAGATTCCACTTTTAGCGATTTATCCTGACGTTTTGATATGACTTGATATTAATACGCGTTGAGACGGTTGTTGTAACGATCGTTCTGTTTTACAGCCGTGGATGAGCCTAGAGAGAAGTAAGTTGAATGTGGAAAGAGTGACGACTTGTGACGAGGGATTTGAATGTAGCTCTCTCTCTCTCGTTCGCTTAATGATTTTGCTTTCCATTAACAGCAATTTAATGGAATTTACTCACCAGGGTTTAGAACGATCGCACGACGCTGATGGAAGTGGAAAACATTTTCTTCCCATGCTTACGGCTCCTTTTTCGTTAATTTTATTAGCTGCTATTATTTTTTTATTTATCCTGCTATACATACATCCACGCCGATCCACTGAAAGCNGTATCTGTTGACATTCACCGGTGAAAGTCGACATTCTCCAATTTCGGTCATTCACGGTAACATATACATATCAAACCAAGTCATTGCTCGACCGTTCAATTCCAAGTGACATCGATCCAATCGACCCACGGAAAGTTTGATTTTACCCGCGAAATCAGGCGATGATCCGTGCACCGCCTCTAGGAAATGCTAGCGACATGTTAATAGGCCGAAAGTTGGCAGCATTTCTCCTGCCCTCTGTCACCGGTGGCGTTAGTGACTTGGGCCGATAATATTTAGACGAACGTCAGGTACACTCGGCCGAAAATAGGCGTCTCGGCATGCCCGCTATTCTCAGCTAAGTCTAAGTCTACGCGACCACGGTCGATAAGCGCTATCGTGACGTAGAGTAGGCGAGCGCCGTGCCATGTCATACAAACCGAATTTAATTTCTTTTTTTTTTTAATTTTCCGTAATTCGGAACTCCTGATATAAGGGAAGACACGATCGAGGATAGATTGAAATTTTGTTGGATTTTCTTGGGGTGATATCGATCATTGATGATACGCGTAAAATTAGATTTATTAACCTTTTATACACGGTGAATATGGCTGACACCATTAAATCGGTTAGGTGCGCTCAGCGTCATTAGTTATGCCAAGTGCCTCACCTAAATTTCTCCCCCGACCGGCCGCGGGTCCTATGTCGAATTGTATTGCCGTATTGCAACAACTGGGCCGAAGCAGTCGAATAATTCATCCTCCGAGCTTGTCCGCGAACGCGACGGTGCTATAATAACACCTATTCTACTTTGAAACTGGGACGCGGTGAAGCAAGTCGAACGAAAAAGTTTCCCAGGATGTTTTCCAAGACCGGCGTCGGATCATTTATTTTCAGCCGGACGCCCGCCGGCTTCTTTTTTACGGCCGAAAGTCGTTCCCCCTTCCCGAATTTGATTTACATAATTCCCGGGTAAAGATTATTTCTCAGGGAAATAGGACTTCGACAAATGGACTCGCGAAGAAGCGGCGCCCACGCTCTCAGCACGAGCGGGCAAACATCCGTTCTCCACTTCTTCTTTTTTATTTGGTTCAACCCTTTGTCCATTGAAAATGCAAGATCGTGTTTTTTCATCCTTACGAGAGAAACTTTTTTTGAAGGGGTCCTTCGGAAATCGCGAGTTCCTTAGAACCTTTTCCCGCACTTGAGGAGCGATGAAATTATCCATACTTTAAGAGGATATGAAAGAGACAGCTTGTATATATCTGAGAAGTTAAATTGTTGGGGAAAGTATTCTCTGAATTAGATGTACCGATTCGTTTCAAATTTTACCACGAGAATATGGAGGCCCTAAAGTAGGTCCTGAAACTCATGAAATTTTATTTCCATCAAAAATGTATTTATTTATCAATAATCAAATCATAAATATTCAGTTAAGAGTATATGAAAGAGTCAGCCTGTATATATCGGAGAAGTCACATGATTGGGAAAAGTATTCCCCGAATTGGGTGTACCGATTCATTTCAAATTTTACCACGGGAATATAGAAGCTCTTAAGTAAGCCCCGTAACTCATGAAATTTCATTTTTCATAAAAAATATATTTACTTATCATGGACTAGAACCAAATTGGCGTGGTCCGAGAACGTTTTCGATGTTTTTCGCTTCTTGGAGGCATAAAATCGAAAAAGAAGAGTTTCAGGACCTAGTTCGAACAATTTAGAGTACCGTAGATATGGAATATTACAGAATCAGATCGGAAAATGTGGTAAATACTTCCACCAACGATTGCAAGAGAATGCTGGCTCGTCCTGCGGCTAACGCGTGCTTTTAGAGCAAAAATTTAGTTGCAGCTAAACGTCACAGATGGCGACGTTGGTTCGTCAAAATATAAAGAATCACGAATTCATGGTATTTCGGCAGTTTTACATCGATCTTTTGATCATTACTTTACCGAAATGACATATGGAACCCTTCAGTTGGTATAATTCTGAACGTAGACTGTAAAAGACTTCCAACATAAATATAAATGTCGGTAATGGGACGCGCCAGCTTATGTTCCCACTTGAGTATTCGAAACGGCGTTACCCCCAAAAAGGGTATAGATGAATTTTACTTTATAGACGTAGATTAAATTTCTTAGCGCCTTTCGTATCCTCTTAAAGTCTCCTCATAGCGAGAGAAGACTGGCCAAGGCGTGGAGGCGCTGTCGGACGAGTTAAACAGCTGCAGCCTACTTCTCTAAACTTAGCAAGCCAACGTCTTTCGAGGCTTTCGACTGAGCTTACAGAACCCAGCTTCAGAATGGCACACGCGCAGGGATAATATGCAAACTCGTTCATAATCGGTTATGCAAGAAACGGCTTGACAGGGAAACAGATCTCTGCACGAGAGGGCGCCGATTCTGCGCAGGAAACCGCGTTCATAATTCCGTCCTATTCTGATAAACATACGCAAATAATCGGCGCGGTTCCTTTGCTCTGGAACAACGTTAAGGTGATGTGAAAGTGGCGTCGAAGAGGTTTCGTTTATAAAACTTTTCTTCGAACTCGGTTTACAGAATAGTTTGAAACTTTACAGCGTGAATAAGGAGACTATAAGGAAGGTCCTGAAACTCATGAAATTTCAAATTCTTTTCAAATTTGTTTATAGGTATTTTAAAAATAGTTTGTAAAAAATGAAATTTTGCAAGTTTCAGAACCTACCTTAGGGTCTCCATGTTCATGCTTTAAAGTATGAAACGATTTGAGACACCCAGTTCGTAGAAAAGTTTTATGAACGATTGAGCTTTCGAATGCCACTTTCACATCCCCTTAAGGTGATATGAAACTGTGATATATACATAACAAAAAGTCAAGATATTTATAAAATTTTTCTCGAAACTGGAAGAACGCGCTGCCCGTGAAATTTCATTTTTGAGAAAAAAAGAATCTTTTTTTGGTTCTTGTCCGAGATAAGTAACAAATTTTGTTCGAGAAAAGAAATTTCATGAACAGCGCATTATTCCTTAGGGCCTCCATAAACACGTATTAAAGTTTCAAATAATCTGGTGCACCCAGTTTGGAGAAAAGTTTTGTATATATTTTGACTTTTTGTTATGTATATATCACACTTTCCTATCACCTTAATGAAAGGATAATATGTCGAGCCGATGAAAGGGCGGAGAAATGCTGGCAATTGTTAGGGAAAAAATGTAATACCACCCTTGACTCGTGTGTCGTGGTTTGATCGCATCCGAGAACGAAGAAATTCGGCGGTCTTTTTTTTAACAATGATTCTCCATTTTGCAGACAAATCGACGGCATCGCACCGACTTTTGCGAAAAAACCCGCGATCAGACAGGAAGACGACGGCAAGCGACTGCTCTTCGAATGCCGCATCACTGCGGATCCCACGCCGAAAGTCTCATGGTTCCACGACGGAAATATGGTCAAGGATTCGTCGAGACACAAAGTGAGATCGGTAGCCTTTTCCATGAATCAAGAATCTCGGTAGAATTTCGCGCCAAATACATTTTAGAGCGAGAAACTCACTGCGTCGAGTGCTGAGTTCTTTTAAGTGAAACTTCTTTTGCGGCAGTAGGTGTAAACTCGCACGATACGAATTCTTTTTGTTTCTTTTTTTTTTCTTTTTTTTTTTTAGACAATTACTTTCATTTTTATGTTCTAGTATTAACATTGCGTGAACATTTTCATAGCGTTATTTAATTTCAGTTTATTGTCCAATTTTCTGGAAATGTATTTGTCGCGTTACAGTAAAAATCGCCATATTTTTTCTTATAGAAAATGAAACGTGACTGTGGGAATTTCTTTGTCGGCTTTCGGTTAACCCAAAGTGAGGTTAATTTGCTTCTAGATGAATTCTTTGTATATGTATATTTGTTATATCACGGCAGGGTTGGCATAAATCCGATTATTTTACAAAAAGGCCGGCCCAATGGTTTTAACCAGTTTAAACCATATTTGCTGTTTTTTATCGCCAAAACCCTTGCCTAAAAATAATGGTTAAAACCTGGTTTAAACGATATTTAAATCGGGTTCTTTCCATTGTTTTATCCCGAGTATGCGCAGGAACGAAAATATGTTTGAATGCTACCTACACCGTAGATGGGTTACAATTTATTTTAATTTGTTTGGATGTGAATGGAGCGCATGTATAGGTACAGGGTGCATAGAATATTAAAGTAAATTCTACGCTACATACATACTGATGGATTTTATAAAATGGTTTTAACCGGTTAAAACCGAGAGGGTTTTATGTAATGTATTTTATTCACTGGAAAAAGAACGGAAAAAAAACGCTGATTTTAACCGGAATGGGTGAAATTTTGCCAACCCTGTGTCACGGTATAGTAAAAATCGCAATATTTTAAACAAAGCCTACATAGACAATGTGATGCAAAATTTACATCAAATTTGCTTCACAAAAAATCATGAAATTAGTGACGAGGGTGTCGCTTATGAACTCTCATTTGGAACACATATCTGCAGTACACAGTGACAAACCAAAAATACTTAAATATGAAAGAAAGTTATGTGCACGCAATGCCTCAATGTTACTACACACATGTCCAGCTAAATATTTATCTCACGCATTGCCGATAAACAATCGCAGCGTCTGTAGCTCATATTTGAGCCATGGCGTAATAAATTTACCGGAAATTTGTTTTCAAATTTATTGTGTAACATGCGTACATATATTGCGGACATTTAATGCAATAAAGGGTCCGCAAATTGTTTGTAAATCGATTTCCCTCATCATATGATGATCGTGAATTTTTATCCGGGAGAATGTGACGTAAACGAAAATTATTTGTTGGTTTTCAGTTAATCGTTTTTTTTTTGTGTAACGTGCGTACATATATTGCGGACATTTAATGCAATAAAGGGTCCTCAAATCGTTTGTAAATCGATTTCCCTCATCATATGATGATCGTGAATTTTTATCCGGGAGAATGTGACGTAAACGAAAATTATTTGTTGGTGTAACGTGCGTACATATATTGCGGACATTTAATGCAATAAAGGGTCCGGTAATTGTTTGTAAATCGATTTCCCTCATGATATGATGATCGTGATTTTTTATCCGGGAGAATGTAACGTAAACGAAAATTATTTGTCATTTTTCAGTTAACCGTCGACAAGGACGGCCACTCGTACTTCGCGACGCTGGAAATAAAAAATGTGACTGTCGAGGATGCTGGTAAATATAAAGTCACCGCGAAGAACGAGCTCGGCGAGTCCAACGCAACGATCTCCCTTAACTTCGATAGTAAGTATTCCGAGTTGAGTCGCAATTTGCTAATAACCCGTGCTCCATCGTCATCACGTTCACCCGGGATGTATATCGAGCATTTTTTTCCTAATATTTTTCTCCCTCTCATGAAATTTCCTCTCATACCGGGGCTATTAGTTTCGAGTGTCTCGTCGATAATTATATCCGGTTGGAAATAATAATGAAAATAATCTGATATGTATAATTTTGTTTGTCAGAGAAGGCACCTTGATAATCACGTTGATCTTAGACCGTTGCTAATAGCCCGTTTCCAAACCGTCGTCGAACTCGACTTCTCCCATATTTCTTTTCTATTATTTTCTTGATTATCTAACGAGTCTCTAGTGTTTCATCTAGTTCATCGGCAAGCACTTTGTCAGGCCAAGACTCTTCGTTAATATTTCCATCGAGCGACGTATCGATCGATTTCTTCAAGATCATCACTACGATATACAACCCGCTTGAGTTACAACTTACAACCACTAAGTACAACCCGTCGAGCAGTCCGTAGATTGCGAACGAGAGTAACAATGTGTACTGCTGCTTACGAATTACGTATTAATTATTAATTGAATATAATACGTCGCGCGATTCGTGCACTGATCGGCCCAACTGGAGCATTTGGTTGTCATCGAAGTCTGTGAACATCTTTGATAGAAACGATCTGCATTAAGTATACACTGTTAAACAAAATTCATAAAATTCATACATTTTTAGTACATAAGGTTGTAATATAATTATAAATTTGATGCCCTAAAAGTGAATTAGTACACATTTATTGCAAACTTCTAAATAAATGTACAATGTTATAACATTATGTTATGTTATAATTTTATGATACTATTTTTATAATTTTGTAAATGTGTCATTTAAAATTATTATAAAATCATAATACGCGTATTATAAATTTAATACTTTATTAAATAATTTTACTACATACGTGTGTACTAAATTTATAACACATGTTATATATTTGATTTGAAAATATGTTATAAAATTCACACAATTTTTTTTAACAGTGTATAATTGTATTTGACGTCAGAAGTATAGAAGAGTATCTATCTTAACGACGACCAAACGAAAATTCATGAAAAATATTTAGAAAGTACAATAAAAGAATAGAAATTTCTCTTTTTAGAGGATTTGGAGGATATGTAGACCTTTCAAAAACCTATTTCAGAGATGTAATGTCAAATATTGTTAGCAGAATGAGATCTTTGACAATGATCAGTGCACGATAAGCTATCGCGAGTGTTCCGAGGCTGACGCTTAGTTAGGTTGCTGCAGTGATCACATTTCTGTTCGCCAAATTCATAACTTTGACTCTGTTATTCGTCGTGTTTGTTATGTGTCACCTTTGTCAAAGGTGTTGTCTTTTGGACAGGAACTGGGGAACGACTCAAGGCTGTCCTGAATAAACTATGAACACGCACATGCACATGCACATGTACAGACACTTGTAATTTACACCACCCTAAACAACATGCAGGAAATGATTGAAATTTCAGAACGAACCCTGACAGTGCACATGTTCATTGACATTGTAAATACCATCGAAACTGTCACAATTAACCCTAATAATGCCACCATCTGCCAAGGTCAAGAATTAATCAGTCGAATCAAATCTTTTATTATGATTTTCCGGGAATTTATTATCCCACGGATGTTAATCGTCTATCTGACGTTTACTTCTCATAAGTTATCTGCATTTCATCTGTGCAGAATTCACGATCACTGTCAACAGTTTTCCACTGTTAGTGTGATATCAAATTTCTTAGAGCTTGTTTCACGTGTCATAAATACACTCTAACACGCTGTACAGTGTACATAGAGTTACATTCTGCTACAAGGTTGCAAAAATGTCACACGTATATATGGATATATATATATAGACACACGCATACAGCAAACCGAGTAGCGCTTGTGCATAATCGTGAAGTGTTCTTGTTTCCCCTAACTTGCAAAATCGCCTAGCCGCCATAGAATTAGGGATGGGAGGGATGGTAAAATTATTACTAATTACGGCATTTTACATCCAGATCGTTGGATAAAGTGTAACTGATGTTTCATTACGACCATGTGTAGGTTACCATTTATTTGTTGGTCCCGGTCAAACGTTGACTTCACACAGAATATAGGTCTGAAATCAGTCAATTTGCATTACTTTAAATGTGCATTCCGATTAATTATGTCAGTCGACCCCAAATCTTGTTTCCTTGAAATTAACGACCCCAGTGCTGAATGTTTCATTGCATAAATATATAAGATACATTCCACAACCAAGAACAATGGGGTAGGGACACCATATCCATAAACAATGGTAGCTAATCTCCGGCGAAATGCAAGCAACCTAAATGTTAAGATGTCGGTCGATCTGTCAGTTACGTATTTGATATATTAAGCGATCTCTTAAGGTGAAGTGAAACCCCCCCCCTTAAATCAGTCGATTCGAATAAAACACTTTTTTTTAAGGGTATTGGATCAAACTGTCCGAAATTTTGACACATGACTCGTGATCGTCTAAGAATTGTCCTGACACATTCAAAATTTGGATTTATTATCAATATTCTTTAACTTAGCCCAGAGCAGAACCAAAATGCCGTCGAACTCTCATATTTCGATCGAGGTCCAATTATTGAAGCTCTAATATGAGAAACAAAAGTGTCAGGACAATTTTATGACAATTTAGAACACTCTGGTAATCGATAAACTCGCATTTGAACGGGATAAAGGCAAAAAAAAGTGTCTTATGCGCTTCTATGCTAAAACGATGGTAATACGAGGTCTCGGAGTGAAAATTTAGTTGACATGGAAATCACAGATGACGCAGGGAGTCCCTCTGTAGTCAATTAGGGCCTCAGAAAGCATGAATCCAGAGGATTTCTGGAGTTTTACTTCGATTTATTTATAATTATTGTACGAAAACGACAGGTGGAGTATCCCATTTGGTACAATACCCAATATAATTCGACACGGCAGTCGATATAAAAACCAACGTCGACAACGTAGATATTTCGAAAAATCTTCTTTACCGACGTCGATCAAGTTCCTCGACGTGTTTCGCTTCACCTTAAGCGTTTGATTGGTTTTTTAAGCGGTACCCTTGAGCCCTTGTTCGTAAGCATAGACGGTACATCATAAAAAGGTATCCCGATACAAAGGATACCGAAAGAGATCAGGACAGAAAGGACCACTGCAATCTGCAGATGCGAGGAGACAAGATTAATTGACACTTCGGAATTCCACCGCTACGATTTCGCGCGGAAGATCGAAGATCATCGAGGACGATCGAGAAGATTTCAATCGATACGTGGCATCGAGGACCGGACATTGTTATAAATGGGAGGAACCTCGTTTTCGCAACGAGCCCATTCTGCAAGAGGTGCATCGATCATCGCTAATTAGCCCCTAAGGAATTGAGTTATGGCGCTGTATGACAAATTGACTGCCCTTGAAAGTGGAGTAAGAGGAAAAGAGCCTTGAAAATGACTTTTCTGTGAAAACAGGCGATGAGGCACCCGTACCCGACGATGGTATTAAGCCCACCTTCACCGAGCGACCTGTCATCAGGCAATCCGATGACGGGAACACGATCACGTTTGAATGCCGATTAGTAGGCGACCCAAAACCGAACGTGAAGTGGTAAGAAGTCTAGAAAATGCTGCCCAGAATCGAAATGAAATACGGGAATTGGTAGACATGAGAGCGATCTGGAATTGAAAGCTACTCCTGTTCATTCTGCATGATGGGACTCCCCACCATCAGCCAGATCTTCCTCTTCCACTTTCGATCTCTTCCTCCTCGAGTTAAGATATCCTGATTAAGGGGATGTTAAAGTGACATCCGAGGGGTCAATCGTTCATGAAACTTTTCTCCTAACTGAGTTCCAAATCGTTTCAAACTTCACGACGTAATTATAGAGGTTATAAGGACACTCATGAAATTTCATTTTTTATAAAGAATGTTAAGAATACCGATGAGGATATTTTTGAAAAGTTGAAATTTCATGGGTGTTAGGACCTTCCTTAAAGCCTCCACATTCGCGTTGTAAAGTTTGAAACGATTCGATACACAAACTTCACGACGTAATTATAGAGGTTATAAGGAAGGTCCTGACACTCATGAAATTTCATTTTTTATAAAGAATGTTAAGAATACCGATGAGGATATTTTTGAAAAATTGAAATTTCATGGGTGTTAGGACCTTCCTTAAAGCCTCCACATTCGCGTTATTAAGTTTGAAACGATTCGGTACACAAAGTTCAGAGAAAAGTTTCATAAATGTCACTTTGGCACCACCTTAATGTGGAAGGGAAAACTCCATGGATCATTAAGGAGGAAAGTACGTTGTAAAATGCATTACAATTAAAGTTTAAAAGTTTACCAGAAAATGAAATGGTATAAGGAATATTTGCTTACGGGGTCGTTGATGGATGTTTTACAGAGAGAATTTAAGATGAAAAGAATATTAAAATGTGCTTAAAATGGCGGACTCGCGGTGGCTGGAAATTTCTGATTTTGTTTTCACAGTCCACATAATTTCAGGAGAACGGCAAGCCTGAAACAAAAGGTTAGGGTGCTTTTAGAAACTATGAGAGATTATTTAAAAACCCATACCACGGATTTTTGACGAAAATTTCTCTTCACAAGATATCAACGATAAAAGTCTAGAAAGCAATGACAAGTGATTTCTTTGCTAAAATATGTTCTTTTGTGTCGAAAATCCGTGCCGTCAAATCTTAATTACTCTTTTCGAGTTTCTAAACTTATCTTATGTCTCATGCTTGCCGTTCCCCTGGAATGGTATACACAATGAAAAAAAAATCATAAATATCCAGTCTCTACACATCCACCCTTTCCTTTCAAACTATTTTCATCTTAAATTCTCCGTAAAGCCTGAAATAAAATAGTTCTTTAAATGAAATATTTCCTATACCCTTTTATTTCTTTTTAAATCAACTTTAATTTACGACGCACTTCACAATCTACTAATCCCCTTAATAAAACACAATGCCTTTCCCGAGTCGGAGCAATTCTTGATCTCTTCTCGATACCTTTCGACCTGACGAGGCTAGTGGGCAAGAATTCTGAAAAACAGCACCTCCTGGATACAGGTACCACGTTAACAATGAGGTGAAGGAAGGCCCGAGGTTCAAGACAAGCTTGGAATTGGATCAGAAGCTCTACCACCTAGCAAGGCTGGAAATCAACAATGTCACCAAGTCAGACGCAGGAGAGTACAAAGCAGTTGCTTTGAACAAACACGGTCAAGGAGTGGCCACGATAAATCTCAACTTCGAGGGCGGTGAAAAGCTCAAGTAAACTTTAAAAAGAAGTTCTCCTTCCCATATTGGCCAATTTGCACTTGAATGCAATTCCCAGTACCTGCGATTAGGTCAAACCGCTAAATCTCTCCGTTCATCGATTTTCCCGACTTCACAGTGCCTTATTTCCATTGATCGGTCTCGAAACTTGAATATTTTATAGTATAATTTTATTATCAATATTTTGTATGTAATCTGCAGTTAATTATTCTATTATAGATTGATACCTTGCCCGCGCAGTTTTGTTTCTTGGACAATTTGAATGGAAAAGTCCCACGAACTTATGTTGGACATTCTAGATTTGTGGGAGTTATACGGGTTTTTTTGTTATTAAATGTATTTATATTGAGTCGGGCGAGTTTTCGAACACGAAATGAACGGAAAGAAAAGCACGACTCGGGTTTGGGTCCAATTGTTTGACCTAATCGTGAGTACGAAAATGGCTGATTTATACGTGTATGGCCAATCTCGAGCTCGATTTCAACGTGGGACCTGTTGACGAATGGTTGAACTTTCTTAGAATCCCCGATGGGAAGCCACCCAGGTTCCCGAAGAAACCCACGATTCGCCAGGAGGGCGACATCCTTATCATGGAGTGCATCCTGGAGGCGCATCCCGTGCCCGACATAACTTGGTACCAGAGCAACAAAATCATCGCCGACAGTTCGCGCGTGAAAATGTCGCGTAAATTCACAGGAAAGGATACCTATTTGCTCACCCTCGAGATCTTCAATCCCACCAAGGCTGACGGGGGGAATTATCGTTGCAACGCCTTCAACGTCTACGGCGAGAGCAACGCCAACATCTCCCTCAACTTCCAAGGCAAGTCCCTCGGCGCCAAAAATCAGAAATATGTCGCCGGGATTTGTCGCGGTCGATTTATGCCTTCCTTCTTTCAGAGAATAGAGCAGGGTATCCTTTTTAATGCGTTATTTACCGGAGGACCATTCGGCTTCTCGATATCCGTAATATCGCCAGTAAATAATGTGCTAAGATTCTTTTTCATTCTCTATATCTTAACCAATTTTTATGAAATTAAATAGTACAGGGTGTTCTTTTTGCGCGTTATTTACCGGAAGACTATTCGGCTTCTCGATATCCGTAATATCGCCAGTAAATAATGTGATAAGATACTTTTTCACTCTTTATATCTTAACCAACTTTTATGAAATTAAATAGAACAGAATGTGCTTTTTAACGCGTTATTTACCGGAAGATCATTTGGCTTCTCGATATCCGTGATATCGCCAGTAAATAATGTGTTAAGATTCTTTTTCATTCTTTATATCTTAACCAATTTTTATGAAATTTTAAATATATCGTATCGATATCATATTATTTTTTTCCTCAAAATCGGCATCATTTTGAATATGCAGATTAAATTTGTTGCTATTTTTAATTCTACGTAATAAGCATCTGGTTGCATTTCATGCCGAAAGATATTTGGCTTCGTAACTTTATTAACACTATTTCTACCAAAGGTGTCAAAAGACATCATTTAAAATTTTAACTTGAAATTATTTTCAGTTTATTTTTTCTCAATTAATGTTTCGAGTTTTCGTATAATAATTGTTAAATTTATTTCGCGGTATCATTTTCCTCCAGCTCATCAAAACCTTTTGGTCGAAATAGGTATACACAAAATCGTGGTAGAAATAGTGTTAAAAAAGACCCTAGTGCAATAATTTTACGCTTATTCGATTTCTCGTGAAATTCTGATCGTGACTATGTACTGCTAAAAAATAATGTGACATGATGAGGTCCAAATTATCATTTTCGCAATGATGTCATTCTTTCAGGAAAAAAACCTTATGACATTGATATGCTGTGTTTAAGAATTCATCAAAGTTGGTTAAAAAAATTAAAAAAAGATTATTCGAGTTTAAAAAACGAAACTTCAAAAGGATACCCTATATATTGTCCTTCAGAGTAATAATAGAATACATTTTTGTCGTGAACTTTCATATATACAGGCTTTAGAGAATTTGCTTCGTTACGTCTCTGATGCACTTGACGAAGTAAGATAAACAATTGAATTCTTCTGCCCCTTAATTAAGGATTAATTAGATTTCTTACATTTGTACATTTTGGGGAGTAGTCGCTTCACGCTTTGCGCGTTACCGCTGAAACTGCTTATCACCAACGATTAATAAACAATAATATAAACCGCCAAGTAGCAAGGAGAGCGTTCGTCGCTTTCGAGCGACATAACATTAGACAACAATAACAAGAAATAATCTTGCTTATTGTTAATAATTAACTCCATACGAATTGGTGGAAGGGGTAGGGTTCATGTAGACTAAGTGATCATCAATGAGACCGAACTGTCAGCTGTACTGTCAAAGAGTTCCGTATCAAATATGATGCGACATGTCGGGAGTAATTATTAAGTTACGTTATCTATATTATTTTGAGGCAAGTTATCTATTATCTTTCACAGTTTATGGAAAACCTTCTTAAATGGTGCGTACTTCTTCCGAGTAATTGCTTCCGATATGTCGCGTTGGATTTTATGCAGATATTCTTAACAGTGTATCGAGCGTTGATAAAGTTGACTAACCATGGATTTTTCCAAGGTGCAGACGATAGCGCGGGATTCGCGCCGTCGTTTATCGAGAAACCGCGCATCATTCCAAACGAGACTGGGACTCTGATTACGATGAAATGCAAGTGCAAGGCGAAGCCGAAACCCGAGGTGACCTGGTTCCGAGGTTCCTCGGTCGTGAAGGAGTCATCCAAGATCAGCATCAAAACGAGCGATCTGGAGGAAGACGTCTATGAACTGACAATGCAGATCAAGGTTGGTCGTCTGTCGGAAGATCTAAAGCACGCGCAGATAAACATTCAGTTAAGAGTATATGAAAGATACAGCCTGTATATATCAGAGAAGTCAAATCGTTGGGGAAAGTATTCCCTGAATTAGGTGTACCGATTCGTTTCAAATTTTACCACGGAAATATAGAGGCCCTAAAGTAGGTCCTGAAACTCATGAAATTTAATTTTTCATCAACAATGTATTTATTTATCAATAATCAAATCATAAATGTTCAGTTAAGAGTATATGAAAGAGTCTGTCTGTATATATCTGAGAAGTCAAATCGTTGGGGAAAGTATTCCCTGAATTAGGTGTACCGATTCGTTTCAAATTTTATCACGGAAATATAGAGGCCTTAAAGTAGGTCCTGCAACTCATGAAATTTAATTTTTCATCAAAAATGTATTTATTTATCAATAATCAAATCATAAATATTCAGTTAAGTGTATATGAAAGAGACATGTATATATCAGAGAAGTCAAATCATTGGGGAAAGTATTCCTTGAATTGGGTGTACCGATTCGTTTCAAATTTTACCTCGTGAATATGGAGGCCCTAAAGTAGGTCCTGAAATTCATAAAATTTAATTTTTCATAAAAAATGTATTTTCTTATCATGGACTAGAACCAACATATATATTTTCTATATATTTAACGAATATCGTATATTTTGTAAATATTTAGCAGACATTTGAAATATTTGCCAAACGTTTACTTACTTATATAATATTACCTCCATGTATTTTCATAATATTTTTCTACCAGATATACAAAACATTTCGTTTCATTTTAATACAAGTATTTTTTAAATATTATCTGCCGAATACATTGTAAACGTTTTTAAAATATTTAAAATCAAAATCGCACGTTTTGCTCCCATAATGAAATAGCGGCACGAAAATATTACAAAAATCCCTCGTGTTTCTTGACGTCAAATGAAGTGTCCGATAATAGTCGTGAAGTAAAAAATGTATTTTAATTATGTTCACAAGTTAAAATATATAATTCCTCTATATGTTTAAAAATTATTGAAACTAAACATGTCATTGGGAGTTTCAACAAATATTTCAAATATCTTCGAATTAAATCTACAAGAAATCTTAAAAAATTTGTCGCTTGAGATACTTAGCAAAGATTACAAAGAAATATTTAGAAATTATTCAATGCTACTAGGGATGCTACCAAAAAACAATGTACCATTTTCACCATGTAAAATGAACTTTTCTGTTTTTCTCTCTTTTCTCAGGACCCCTCAGCCCCAGACGGTGGCACGTACAGGTGTCACGTAAAAAACGAATTTGGCGAAAGCAACGCAAATCTGAATTTGAATATCGAAGCCGAGCCAGAACCGGAAGGGGACGGCCCCACCTTCGTGGAAAAGCCGAGGATTCAATCCCAAAATCAAGGGAAGCTCGTCATCATGGACTGCAAGGTCAAGGCCAGTCCGAAGCCGGAAATTGTGTGGACCCATGCCGGAAAGGTGATCCAACAATCCTCAAAGATCTCCATCAGCATAACCAAGGAGCAAGAAGACGTGTATTACATTAAACTTACCCTGAACGACCCTGGACCCGAAGACTCCGGCCTTTACAAGTGTAACATCAAGAACTCCCTCGGAGAGCTCAATGCCAACTTGACCTTAAACGTCGAAAGTAGGTTTATTCCTCATAAGTCAGACGTATGCATAGAGAATCTTTACCTTAAATTTATTAAATATTTCATTTCCAGTAATCCCCGTGATCAAGGAGAAGCCGAAGGTTGTCAAGGTCGTAAAGAAGAAGACCGTGATCGTGGAGTGCCACGTTCTTTCCAAATTTGCACCTGAATGCACCTGGTACAAAGAGAACCAGGCAGTCAGAGAGGATAGTAGACATACCGTCCACGTGGAGCAAGTCAAAGAGGTAATCTATACAGATAAATACTCTGAGTTGGGAATTTCACACTAGAATATTATTATGTTAAAGTGGAATTTTTTTAAACGCTACAAAAAGGGTCCAAAGTGTTCTCTTGTTATGCAAATTATCTAGTATTAATGACTAAACGTCGTTTCGTGAATATCAATTTTGTTCGTTTGTCTTTTTATTGTAGAAGTTTCTATTTCCCTGATTTTGAACAATGGCATGCCATTGTTGGTTGTATTTTATGGATTTTCCTCGAATGATATGATTTTCTTTGTCGGCATTTTCCAGAGATATGGTTAGATGGAGGTAGAGCATTAATTTTTCTTTTTATAGGGCGAATTTGCGGTAAAACTAGAAATCGAGCAGATGTCGTCCATCGATAAAGGCATTTACAAGTTAGTGGCGAAGAACGAAAAGGGTGAGGCCACTTCTCAAGTCGTGGAAATCACTGAAATTACGGAAGAGGGTGACAAACCGAAAATCGGTAGCGGCTTGAGGACGATCGTAAGTTTTTTCATCTCGCGGGTACATCAATAGTTTTTCACGAAATAAACAAATTTATATGAACTTCTAACGCGACTTTATATTGATTTTCAGACCATTGAGGAGGGCAAAACTGTGGAATTTGTGGCCAGTCTTGTTCAACAAGACAGAAAGGTCTCGGTGACGTGGTACAAGTAAGCATCCAAGATGCAGCTATCTTGTCAAAAGAAATTTCAAAATAATCCCGATACCAAATATAATCATTGATTTCTTCATTATCCAGGGATTCAACGATCGTGAAGGCTTCCAAGGATGTCAGGATATCTTTCAATGGTACAGACATGAAGCTGAACATCACTTCGGTTACGAAGGAATACTCCGGGACGTACAAAGTCTCTGTCAGCAACGAGTTTGGCAAAGACGAGTCGTTTGCTGAGCTCATCATAAAGGTAATATTAATAAATATTATTAAATTAGACTGAATTACATAGGTACTAAGGGCAGCTGTACCCCTTTCGTTAAAAATTTACTTTTACACATATTTAAGGAAAATAATTAAATCACTAGATCCTCAGACATTAAAAAGAAGCCGTAACAATTTTAGATGTAAACGAAATTTCGGAAGGGCTGCAGATGTTAAGTTTTAAGTTAAAGGGAGTATTTTAAAAATGTTGAAATTTGACGAGACATTCTTTAGTACCTCTACGTATAATTTCGAGACAATATAATTTGGATTTATAGGATCCGCAATATTTATTATAGTAATCGCCCTTTTACTTCTGTTGCCACTATTGAGGGTTCGACAAAATGTTTAAGTATTGTTTCATTTCTACGAACGTTCGTTCATTGTCGATTCGGGACAGATTTTTAATTTCCATGACCCCTTTGTGATTGTTTTAAGACACTAAGTTTTAATTCTTTCGTCATTAGTTCCCCCGAAACAATTCTCGGAACGTCACTGTTTTTCAACCCATGTCGCATGGTCAACATTAAAACACTTGTTAATTGTTACTTGCCGTATGAAACCCACCCCGAATGTTTTTAATTGTCTCGTTTAAAAAATATGCCTTGAACCCATTTCATCAAAAATGTCCGATCTTTTGTGCATGCTACCCACTTGTACTTTATAGAAGAAAGAGGAGAAGAAAGAGGAGGAAGAGGAAGAGAAAAAGAAGAAGAAGGTAGAAAAGAAGGAAGAAAAGAAGGAGGAGGAAAAAAAGAAGGTCGAGGAGAAGAAAAAGGTGGAGGAAAAAGAAGAGGTACATAAAAATGTTACCCTTGTTCTCGTGCATGTTCAACCTTTATCGTTATATCCTTAACTACTACTCATTTCATAGTTAATGACAAAGCATGACAGAAAAACGATAAACATTGTAATTAATCAATCCATTATTGAATATCATCGAATTGGATGAAACCCGAAATTTCGTGTTTGACAAAACATCCTCCTCTTATTAATATCTAAGGTGGAGACCTCGGAAGAGGAAGAGGAGGAAGACGAGGAACCCGTAAGTGTACTAGAGTCCAGTCTTGCTGAACCAGTTGTCGAAGAACCCGATTCTGAACCCATTTCCAAGGTCGAGGTACACGCATACACATTTACACACATTTACATTTACATAAACGTTTATTCAACAGGTGCATAAAATTCGGCCTGAAACTCTACCGAGTTTTTTGATTTTTCTCAATATCTAAAAATTAAAAACACTTATTTTCTTTATTTTTGTATGCTTTCATTTTCCTAAATCTTCATTCTTTTCTTGATCTGAGTTATTCTTAGTGATTTCCCTAATGGGATTAATTTGACCACCTCCCGTGGTTAAACTGACAATGTGTTTATTTTGTTATTTTTAAGGATAATCTGGAGTCGAAAACGAACGGTATCGGTGGATCACCGTTCGAAAAGGTAACACTACGACACTATTGTGTATTTTTTAATTTTTATCGCACATATATTTTTTTTTGATCGAGAACCGAACGTCACGTACACGTACACTCATTAATTAGTCTCACTTGTGACACCTCGACTACGAAATGAGTATTCCAAACGTTTGTAACCTTTTGTAAATATTTCACACGTAATTCACTTAACGTATATATTAACACTGGACGTACATAATGACAAATCGATGAACGAACTAGAAATTGTTTAAAGATCATTGAGAACTAGAGGCGTTGAATAGGAACTTGATAATAATAATTCTTGTCATATTTGAATTCATAGGAAACAGGGTGTACTCAATATTGAAAAAAATGTTCTACGTTGTTACATATTAGTTGCAAAAATATAAATCTAAAGTGTATTTGTTTCATTCTGATTTCAGAAGTTGGAGTTTAAGGTGAGTGAACTGTATGACAGAACAGGTGTAGGGTAAGATTTATCTTTACATGATAAAAAGTGTAAAAGAACCAAAACTGATTAGTGACGTAGACAGCTTCGAAGTTTTCGCTTCTATTCGCTTATTTATCTTTTGGTAGAAGTAAACGATTTAACATCGAGCACAAATTATAAACGAATCTTTTAGATATTGCAAAAGGCTTAGACGTATTACGTTACTATTTTTAATAGTAATGTATTGCTTGTTAATATTACTTTAATTCATGTCTTTAATTTGCTTCAGCGGCGCGGCAGCTCACCATTATTTACTTATATGCTTATATTTAATGCTTATTTCTATTTTCAGCTTTATTAATCAGATTCAGATACCCATATATGTCAGTTAAAATGAATTCATGGGGATCATATATTGAAGAGTTCCCTCGATAATATGACCCTTACGAAAAATGAATTTATTTAAATTGACTCATGCGCAGAGTTATATGCTATTATGGATTATTTTCGCAAATTACAACGACAGCGATATTTTTATTTCCACATTTTCCTCAGATATGCATGCCTTCTGTTCAGAAGCTGGGTTTCCAAATGTCTCGGCATTTTTTCCACTTCCAAAATTGTCCCCTTTGAATTGTAACACTTTCCTCATTTTAATTAGCACTTTATGTTGCACGCTGGCATGCTCATAGTGATCTGCTCTATTGCGCCTCCGCTAAGTGACATTAAATGCTCATACTTAGTATATACAATGAATAAATTCCTAAATGCTGTAACAGAAAGAGGAGGCGACAATCAACAACGTGGAGGAAAGAAAATCTATTAAGGTATGTGCAAACTTTACCGTTTTCGTAATGAAGCCCATTATAAATGATTGATATCGATTGCGTAAATGTTGCAGAAGAAGGCCGAGGATAAAATCGAAGAGAAGAAAGAGCCTGAAAAGGTCAGTACGCTTCTTCGAGATATATGTTTGTCATTAGCGTTTGTCTGATTTAATGACACTAAAGATGATTTATGTACACAGGCCAAGAAAGTGGTGAAGAAGAAAGAACCTGAATCTAAAGAGGTAATTTACCATAAAGTTGATGAAAAATGTTGTCAGTCTGAAATCACGTAGTTATGAGAAACGACAAAGTGGCATTGCGAAAGGCTATTGTGAAACGTACTGAGAATACCATTTTAATTTGACAGGGCTCTCGAGAATCGACTCCAAAGCCAGAAAAGACTGTCACCAGCCGGAAGCAATCTGTCAGCAGGGTACGTTTCATCGATAACATTATTAATAAAATTCATGTGTTTTCTATCTCTTCTCTTGCTGCAATTGAATGCATCAATTCTTTTGCCAGGTTGAAGAGCTACGCACTGAAAGTCGACGTAGTTCCCTCGTCAAGACCGAGGAAAAGGTAATGAACGATTTTTTTTTTCTTTTTGTAACTCGATGTTTCCATGGATTTAATTATGTTTTGGCATGAATTTTAACCTTTCCTGGGCATCTTTTTTTTCACGCAGATCACTAAAGACGGCTCTGCGACGCCTGAGAGACGTGTTTCCATGCAACAGGTACTTTAACACCGTCAGAGGAAAAATGAGAAGGGACATAAAAAGTGTTACGAAATATTTTCAAAAAATGTCAAGCTAAAATGTAGACTCATTTTATGTATGATACTTCGTTACTTCAACGATTAAAAATAAGCATATATATCTATAGAGATATATATTAAATTGTGTTTAGTACTTGCAATGCTTCAACGACCATTGGTGTCACGGTGTGCTCAGATATAAAATTTAACAATAACTTTAGTGTAATATTTTTTGAATCATTTCAAAGCACCAGTGATCCGACTATTATTTTCCCTCAGACATTAACTTCCTTTAAAATACCTATGAAGTCATAAAAAAATCGTCAATAATTACGTGGTTATTAATTGTGTACATAAATATAGTGTATGTTTAAAAGAATACGTATAACAGAGATTAACTAACGAATTCTTACTTTTCTTCTCTTCTTCGTATCGTATTCTAATATAAATTCTTGTCATCGTTGTTTTAGGTGGAGGAGGAAGTCAAAACCGAAAGTCGACGCTCTTCCATCATCGAAAAGAAGACAGTCGAAAAGGTAAGAGATTACGTTCGAAGATTATACTTTTTGGATTTCGAATCATTTTGGAGATCGGGTCTGGTATGAAATTATTATCGGCTTGTAAGAGATGCATCATGGAATACGTTTTGAAGCCCTATTGGAGAATATTATCGGTTTTAACGCACAACAATTTACACACGCCAATTTTATGGCATTATTTGCACACATCGTCACTTTTAAACATTTGTAGAAGGTGGAACCAACTGCGAAACCCAAAGCTGTACTTGGCAAAAAAGAAGAACCCAAGGTACAAAATAAAAAAATGGCGTACGCAGACGCTGCTTCTACTCTCCTTCTAAATATTTTAACCATCTTAATCCAATTAATAATACTTGACAAATATAAAGAACTATTAATAGTTAATAATTCGCAGAACTAATCCATTATCAAACAAAGATAACGAACAACATAAATAAACATTATGTCATGCATAACATATACATGCTTAACAACTTCAATGACTCATTTCTTGTCGTACAACATTCAGATTTATACCAGATAATTAAAAACGAGGAAGTCGCACGAAAAGAAGATGAATTGAATATTTTTTTAAATAATTGCGTAGTCAGCTGATTTGACACCAAATTATAACACACTAATGCATTTCATCTTCCCCAATATATTCAGACACATGGCAAAATCTATCGTTAATATCACACAAATGTAGGAAAGAAATACTTTTATTTAATCTCATGCTTACCGTATTTAATTCCCGCTTTCTTGTATCAACAATACTCCGAACAGAATTATCCGCTTCAATTAGTACATTGGGTTTATTAATTTATAGGATGAACCTCCTCCAAAAACGACAACTACTGTTAACAAGTCGAATAAAACAGAGGTACCTATTATTAGTTTCACCTTTTAACCCTTAGATTGTCGAAAACATAATATATTTTAATAAAATGTCATGATTAAATACGACAACCAAAGGATTAAACTGAGCTACTTAGTCACAACACAATATCGCGATTAAGTCCAAATTATTGGCAAGAAGTAATTATTATAATTTTTACACAGACTACCACAGAGAAGTCTAAGACCATCACTAGAAAACAAGAAGACACAAAGGTACACAAAATTGCGTACACATTTAGTCGTAACATTAGGGTACAATTACACATGGTACACAGAACTTATTTATAAATTTTACATGACAGGAGGAGGCGCCTGCTGAGAAAATTAAACCTATTGCTAATAAACGGGATGAACCGAAGGTAAACGACGTCTCACACACATACACACATAAAAACAATAAGATAATAATACATGATACTCACGAGTTCATGTACATTCTCTTGCAGAAAGATGAGCCTGCTCCAAAACTAAAACCTACACCTACCAAACCTGAGGAAGCAAAGGTACACTGTTACACGTACACTGACAGAATTCTATCTGCAAATAAAACGAAACTTTATAAAATAAAATTCTTGCTTTTGTAGAAGGAAGAACCCACACTCAAACCTAAAGCCACATTAAACAAGCCTGCCGAAACCAAGGTAGAAAATGAAACTTACACAAATTTGCTGACACAAAACGCTTTAAATTGTTTTGAAATCCACTTCAACATAACAATCATGGTGATACTTTTCATCGGTAGAACTTACATTTCACATTTAATGTCTCCATTAACACTTACATTTAATTTTACACTTTCTGTTGGTAGTTAATGGAATTGTGAAATATGCTTCCTCTAAGTACGATACGTGGATTAATAGTAAATTAAATTAAATTGTTAATAAACTGCATTCCAAACTTATTCAGAAGTTATACTGAATATTAAAGCAATCTTTAATAAATTATATAAGTCTTTCTAACGATCATATACTTACACTTAATATTCCACACATCCACAGTTACACACGTACATAGATGAATTGTTTTCTTTTCGTTTTTTACCCCGGAATCTCTAGAAAGGGCATACACTTCATTCTTAGATTACAATTGGCAAACGTCGCGAAACTGAAATTGAAAATTTGATGTCCTCGAAATACACCTTTGCACGTGATCATTTAATTTTCTTTTATTGTTTTTAATATTGGCCTCTTACACGTATTTTAGAAGGATGAACCACTTTCTGAGACCACAGCTGATGATTCTGATGACGCTGAGGTACAGCAATATTTAAAAACATTCATTATTACCAGAGAATATATCTTTATTTCTAATAATTAATTCCTTGTCTGAAAATTGTAGAGAGAGGATTACACAATGTTATCAGAAATGACGATTGACGAAGTTGATGAAGTGGAGGTATGGTCACATCGACGTATACAAAATTATAAACCGTGAAATTCATTTGTTTATAATTTTTTCACGTCTTTTAAATATTGTAGAGAGAAGAGGACACGACATACACTGAAACAGTAATTGGTGAATCTGACGAGGTACACATTCATTTCGCATGCGTACATAAAATGCTCCTTCGAAAATATTTCATTATTTTATAATACTTTGCCAAAATTCGTAGGATGAAGACACTTCATTTGCTCCAGCAACAACAATTGGCAAACCTGACGAACAGAAGGTGCATTATTCTTTTACAACAACGCATTTACAAACTCCCGTGAATCAGGAATTGCTTTGTTTATTTAAACGATATTTTATACAAAATTTCAGGAAAAACTATCCATGCCGAAATCTAAAACTATCGACGATAAATCTAATGTACCCAAGGTAACGCATTTTTTTTTTTTATCGGAATGATTACTTACACTTAAATCCATTTATTCACAACGTTATGTTGACATTTTCTCATTTTTACCTTTGTTCTAAAAATTTTAGGACGAAGTGTCGGCACCTAAATCTAAAGTCACAGTTCCAAAATCTGACGTATCCAAGGTAAAACATTTCCTCATCCGGATGAGAATCATTCGACCAATTTATTATGGTTTTATTTATGAGAATTTTATTACAATTTGTAGAAGGATGAGCCTGGTTCAGAATCCGATGCAACAATTAGTAAACGTGAAAAGCCCAAGGTATACGGATACACGTTATAGACATTTTCAAATTCCAATAGGAAGATTCTCTAACTCACTTTCGTCAAAATTTACAGAAAAAGAAAACCACGTTGAAGTCTAAAACCAAAATTGTAAAGTCCAAAGAAGCAAAGGTATTGCCATTGCAAATTATTATGAATTCACGGACATCTAATGATGCATCATTTTTTTTTTCTAATTTTTTCTCAATTTCAAAAATTATAGACCGAAGAGACGGAACCAAAATCAGAAAGCACAATTGGCAATTTGGACGAGGATAAGGTACAGACGATTTTCTTCACATTGATTACACATCACGTATCATATTCATATACAACACAGACCACATTTGATTAAATACGTAATGCTTTATTAAAATTAAATTAATTAATGTATCTTCCTACATTGCTGTACGTACAATTAATGCAATCAAACGCAAAGAAACATTAATTTTGCAGTAGGAAACAAGAGTTATCAACTCTGTCAACAAATGGCTCATTTTATTCATTTACACAATTACGGAATTCGTACCTTTCAGAAGGATGAACCTCCGGCGAAACCTAGGTCTTCCATCAGCAAACCTGAAGACCAAAAGGTAGAAACACAATTTAGACATTGCATAGCCACTGATACCGTCAAATCCACCTTGCTTTCTCATTCTAAAAAATAATATACACTTTTAGAATGGCGTGTCAGCCTTGAAATCCACTGAGAAGGTGGCAGAAGTTAAGGTACACATACACAATAATTAAGCACTTGCATTACCTCACATCGCCTGTTCACTGAAAATAACTTAAACATTCATCGCCTTTAAACTAATTACTTCACTTGTCAATCATTTAAATACGCTACATGCTAAACTACACCCTCGAAAACATCTTTACGAATATAAACCTTTTTTAGAAGGATGAACTCGCGCCAAAACCAAAGAGTACCCTTGGTAAACCTGAAGAGCCCAAGGTACATAAAAATGTACATTTACGGTGCTTTTGTAATCAGCTAAAAGGCTTCATTTGCATATATAAATTCAGCTTCAAGTTGTGCATATCTTAGTCGATTCATTGGAAGTAACCAACAATAAATATTTATGATGCGCAATCAACTCGAAGAGCTCCAGTTAACATTAAATAAAACAGCTGATTCTTCCAGTTGCAAAGCTGCCGAATGTGCACATTTAAATGAAACATTAACACGCTCATTGCAGGCAACGAAGCAGGATCGATTAAACAATCGATATCTAAGATTGTAATTCAATGTCTGTTTTGTGTTTACAGAAGGAAGAAGGGCTAAGGAAACTAAGTCTGAAACCTGGCGCCAAGGTACTTATTACTCCGTAACTTTTCTTATAGACATACATTTAAACATTTACATTATTCAGTTAATTTCATTTTTCAGCCCGAGGAAGAGAAGAAGGGCCTGGAGAAACCTGAGCTCAAGGTGAGAAATTATGGTTCATGAAGTAGTACCTCTTAAATCGGTTCAAACAATGCTTAGTTGGAATAAAATACAGAAGATTGTTGATAGCAGATAATTTTTATTTTAACCGGTAGTAAAGCTGGTTTTTAGTAGTGTACCGAAAGTAACCGATATATTAATACAGCCTACGGAAACCGAAGCAGCCGTTGCCAAACCGAAAGTGCGTAGAATAATACCGAAAGAGGAGCCTAAAGTTGAGTCCTTCCAATCGATCCAGCTCAAACCCACTGTCAAAAATGTGAAAGGGCCTCAAAAGGCGTCAGAAAATGGTGTCGAACTTAAGGTATTCAGGAAAACAGGGAAGAAGATTCTCTTCACTTTTGCTCTCTACTCTTCTCTCTTCTACTCTGCGTCGCTCGAATCTTAAATCGACCCTCTGCCCGATCTATTTGCAATTTCTTCTACTCAAAACTGAGAAGTCTACTGTCTGCTCTTCATGGATCTGTATACCTGGGAATGTTATTCCTGCTGTCACAAGTTAATCACATTTCGAACTAAACTATTTCGTATTAAAATTTTCACATTTCTTGAATGATTCTTGGGACTAAAATACGTTTCTCTATCTCTCTTTCGTGTACTTCCGCTTCGTCGTTCTTGGCTCTGATAGACAAGGAGCTCTTCAACTATTTCGATAAGAATACCCTTCTTCTTAATTCACTTTAATCTTCAGTTAGTCCTCTTCTTTGTGTACTCCCCTACTTCTTCGTTACCTTTTAAAGCTTTTGTTCTTTGATAATGTGGAACAATCTTGTTTCTCTTCTACATCTTCGTCTCCATTTCTTTTCGGCTTCTGCACTATTGTATTCTTTTTCTAATATAACTTCTGTTCTTCTTCTTATGTCTATCACAACCTTCATTTTTAAATTTCAGGCCCTTCTTTCTCTGTTCTTTTTTCTTCCCGATTGGATAATCTTAATATTTCTTCACTAATGAAGCGAACTCTGATGCATCTCAATAATTACTTCTTCTGCCTGATCTTATTTTGACTTCTCTTTCTTCTGTATTGCCAAACCCACTTATCTTGAATTCTATCACATTTTATTCTTCCTCTGGTCTTTCCTCATTCTTCTTTATTACCTATTTTTACTCCTCTATAAATACGCTTCTCTTCTGGAAAACTTGTTCTGAACTTTATTGTCTACTCTTTTACTTTTTCTAATTACTTTTCTTTGTACTTTAAAATCTATACTTTTCCTTTCATTCGCGTGGCACTGTTTCTTTCTCTCTAAATAATTAAATTTCTCGTATACCCGATGTGTAAATAATCCAGCAAATAATTTTGACTTATTCTCACAACGTTGGCTGTTCGTTTCGAAGTAACGATCATCACTCATTTCACGATTCACATTTCGATAACCAAAATGCCACAACTGATAACCGAAAGGAGAAGATATATATAACTTGCGGTACATACTCTTCACTGCGTTTTTTAACCATATACCATATTTCTTATTATTTAAAGGATCATTCTATTTACAATTATCAGGTGACCATTATCCCATGTAATACCAGTACATTATCATTACTTAAGAATTACCACGGCTACTTTCAATACTAAGCATATATTGTTTATGATCATACATTCAACGTACATAAGTTATACTTCATCATATTACTACATGTATTCTAATCATATTGCTTGCAGACCACTCCTTCATTTTTCATATCCATTGCAAAATGGAGGTCTATATATTTTTAAGTCTCTTCTATCAACCACTTTTCTTAAGATTCCCGTTCGAACAGATTTTCGAAATTTATTTAAAATAAATATTTATCAAATCGAACTGCTGAACTCTGGTGTTAAGAATTCGGTCCCTTTCGCGCATGCTTTGCAATGTATTTGGCGCGAAACTCTACCGAGTTTCTTCATCACGTGCTATTATAGTTTGATTCAAGAAATGATATATCGATGCACGAAGTATCATTTTATTTCTTCAAAACGATAACGTCAATTTAATTTCTACTTATCTAGTTCCGTTCGCACTGGGAAATCAAATGAGAATTAACTTAAATGCATTTCCGATTTAACCTTTATCGTATTATCGTAAAAGAAATATTTATCAAATTGAAGTGCCGAATTTTGGCGTTAAAAATTCCGTCCCTTTCGCGCATGCTTTGCAATGTATTTGGCGCGAAACTCTACCGAGTTTCTTGATCACGTGCTATTATAGTTTGATTCAAGAAATGATATATCGATGCACGAAGTATCATTTTATTTCTTCAAAACGATAACGTCAATTTAATTTCTACTTATCTAGTTCTGTTCGCACTGGGAAATCAAATGAGAATTAACTGAAATGCATCTTCGATTTAACCTCCATCTTGGGATTTTTTATCGGAGGAAATATGAAAACCTAAAACTGCCTTGTTCACTTCTCCAGAAAACTCCCGAAAAACTCGAGAAACAGGAGGCGAAGAAAGTAAAAGCCGCAAAGCCTACGAAGCCAAGTTACGACCTTCCTGAAATCCCTGATTACGAACGGCCAGTTCTTGAAAAACCACAAGAATTCGATTTCGGAGAACGTGCCAAACGCGAAAAGACCAAACTCGACAGACCCGCCTCACAGGTGATGACAAACTCTTATTTTCTTCCTACCTTTATTCCGATCATTGTGATAGGTCTAGATAGCTAATTACCAAATTTTCTTTTCCTTCCATGGAACTTCTGGTCGAGCAGAAAATCGAATCGAAGGTATGTAAGAAAACTTTTTCGCAATTCTACGGAACGCTTCGCTGTGCCGCAAGATTCACGACCTAGATCAATAATCCAGCAGTGCTTTTTATCCCGCCGCAAGTACAAACATAAATGATATTATTAATATTAAGAGGATATGAAAGAGTCAGCCTACATATATCTGATAAGTTACCACGTGGACATGGAGGCCCTAAAGTAGATCTTGAAACTCATGAAATTTCATTTTTCATTAAAAATTTATTTACTTATTATGGGCTAGAACCAATATGGCGGGATCCGGGGACGTTTTCGATGTTTTTCGCTTCTTGGAGGCTTAGAATCGAAAATGAAGAGTTTCAGGACCTAGCTCGAAGAATTTAGAATACCGTAGAAATGAAATATTACAAAGTCATATCGGAAAATGTGGTAAATACTTTCTCCAACGATTGCAAGAGAATGCTAGCTCGTCCTGCGGCTAACACGTGTCTTAGCACAAATTTAGTTGCAGTTAAACGTCATAGATGGCGACGTTGGTCCTAAACAGTCGTTAGAATAGTGAATTCGTGGGATTTCGGCAGTTTTACGTCGTCATTTTGTAATAAAATTAAATTTCTTGGCGCCTTTTATATCCTCTTAAGCCTCGATATGCTGCAATATCCCTTAATCTAGTTTTAGAAATGTTAGAATTTACTCTTACCGTAATTTCTTGCCAATCCACAGTTGAATCCGCTTCGCATTAACAGCGAGTCCGCTTCGGAGCCTCTATCGCAATTTACTATCCTTGATTTGAGGAGCTCACGATAAAGGAGGAAAAGTGATCCTAATTGAACATTTCCTAGCCAAAATTGCCGGAAATCAAGGCTCCAGAGACGCCGAAAATCGAGGTGATCAAGGAAGCCACGCCAGCCGGAAGCAGGAGGGGTTCCTTGGTGCCCGGAAGTGGGCCCGGAAGTCGCAGGGGGTCTCTTATACCTCCGGAAGAACTGGGCCGTAGGCCCAGCTTGATCATCAGCGACGAGGTATGTTACATGCTGATCGGTAAGGCGCACCAGGTATATCGACTGCCTAATCGGGGCTGGACCTGAGATCGGTACTCCTTCCTTGAAAAAGAGAATCAATTATTTCCTCGGAATGAACCAAAAATGAATTCCAAGCAGATGATTACCTCGAGATTCTGAAAAAAAAAAAGAAACATTCCATTGCGGTATGAAGAGAAAAAAAAATCGAATGATACGTATTTCTGTAGCAATCCAGTTGTCGCTCGTGATGTGCCCAATATGGGGCTTTTAAATGTAATGGATCTTTCTAAATCTTTGATTGCACTTCGAGCATGTACATGCGACTATCGATCCGGTCCAAAGCCCTCGCTGATTTAGTTAGGTAGATTCTTAGATACTGGATTACCGAAGTTACCGTAGATACTCGTTGTTCGTTGATAGCCCACTCTAGTGATTTCTAGCTAGGATTTTGGAGTTCTGTCCTTTCTGCCGTTTACCCCCTTTTATTTCATTTCTTTTTCTTTCTTCCACCTTTGGTTTCGTAGTCAGTGACACCAACAAAACCCCGGTCTCTAGTTACGTGTCCCTACCACCAAGTGTGCCAGTTCCCCTGCCGAATCGAGAGATTACGTCAAAGTGTCACCACTTATCGTCAGTTTCTTAGAGTAGAGCACACCTCGAGATGCACCACCCAGCTTCTGAAATCCACCCAAAAACCTAAAACCCGAAAGCACGCCCGAGAACGATAAGCCCTGCATCATGTGGCCCCGTTTGAGTCTCTCGAATGACCCTCTAAATGTCCAACCGTGAAAATATCGAATCACGGGACGATAAGTCGGGAATTCTCCCGAATAAGTCGCGACCGATTCGTCACTTGTGAGACTTTTCAGCCGATCCTGCGACAGGAATGAGAAGGGCGTCAAGGATGACGAGGATCGTGGACCTTCAGGATGCTGCAACCTGTTATCACTCCATTTCGTGATGAACCCTGAATAGATCGTCCCGAGAGAAGAATTATGCCGAATTTTTCTTGTGGACATTTCCAAATCAATTCGACAGTAATTTCCAAAAATCAGAGAAAATTATGTCAATCCTTCGAAATAATTTGGAAAAATTCTACGTTATTTCGGTAACTCGCTCCCACGAGATTTAATAATTCCTGATTAAATATCGACTAGTCAAAAGCAATTAAGGTGACATGAAAGTGGCACTTAAGGGGTTAATCGTTCATGAAACCTTTGTCGAACTGAGTGTAAGAAAATATTTCAAATCTTACCACGTGAATATGAATGCCCTCGGAAAGGTCCTGATACCCATAGAATTTAATTTCTTTAAATTTCTTCATAAACATTTCTTAAATTTTCTACAGATCCTGACATTTCATGGTTGTCAAGACCTTGCTTAGAGACTGTATAGTCACGTAATAAAATTCGAAACGCCCTAACACCCATAGAATTTCATTTCTTTCAATTTCTTTATTAGCATTTCTTAAATTTTCTACAGAACCTGAAATTTCATGGATGTCAAGACCTTGCTCAGAGACTGTATAGTCACGTAATAAAATTCGAAACGCCCTAACACCCATAGAATTTCATTTCTTTATTATTAATTAAATTTCTTCATTAGCATTTCTTAAATTTTCTACAGAACCTGAAATTTCATGGATGTCAAGACCTTGCTTAGAGACTGTATAGTCACGAAATAAAATTCGAAACGCCCTGACACCCATAGAATTTAATTTCTTTAAATTTCTTCATTAGCATTTCTTAAATTTTCTACAGAACCTGAAATTTCATGGATGTCAAGACCTTGCTTAGAGACTGTATAGTCACGTAATAAAATTCGAAACGCCCTAACACCCATAGAATTTCATTTCTTTCAATTTCTTTATTAGCATTTCTTAAATTTTCTACAGAACCTGAAATTTCATGGATGTCAAGACCTTGCTCAGAGCCTGTTTAGTCACGTAATAAAATTCGAAACACCCTGACACCCATAGAATTTCATTTCTTTAAATTTCTTCATAAACATTTCTTAAATTTTCTATAGATCCTGACATTTCATGGATGTCAAAACCTTGCTCAGAGCCTGTATAATCACGTAATAAAATTCGAAACGCTTCGGTATACCCACTTTGGAGAAAAGTTTCATAAACAAGACTCCTTTGGATGCCACTGGTGACATTAAAAAATTTCATTTTATCCATAAAACACTAGTTCACTGGTTCCTGTCTAGAAATCAACAAGACCCAACAAAGATTGAAAGAAAATTCGGAGTAATTCTTCCACCTCGGCGAACACGCGTCGATAAGTCTTTTCGATCGATCTTCCGATCGATTGGCAAGCTTTATCGGCGATCATCCTCAATTTTATCAGCAGCAGTGTCTACGTGTTTAAAGTTCCAATCAGTAGGCAGTCGGAGGTCAGCCTATCCAACCGATTCGGTAGCGAGAGCCATTTTTTAGCCGATTGCCGATATCGGCTCGTGGTGATCGATCGATGATCGAAACGGTCAGTCGAAGAATGTCTAAATTTCCTATCACACTATTAGCGACCTGTAGGCCTATCTTATCAACCCTGCGAGATGCATAGATGCTCACGGTGTGCACATCTCGTGCACATCTGCGCATACACACACATCCATACACACACAAGTGCAGGCGTAACACGACACATCCACCCAACACGCAGACCCTCTACATAACGGTTTGGTCCATAGGAGAATAGAAAGCTGCGACCTGGGGAGGTGGTGGACGAGCGCAAGGTGAGGAAGTACGAAAACGCCTCGTTTCTGCACTCTCCTTCGGCTACAGCGCACTTTTCTTTACATCTCGATCCTTTCCTCTCCTGTCCACAAAATGAAAAGTCCGATCGAAATCGACCATTCAATTTTGAACAGGTCCATTTCATTCGGATAAATCCGAATTTGGAATCAGACGTTTAAAGAGGATATGAAAGGCGCTAAGAAATATTATCGACGTCGGTAAAGTTAAATTCATCTATGCCCTTTTTGATGGTAATGCTTTTCTCAATATTTATGTTGAAGTCTTTTACAATCTACGTTGAGAATTGTACGAACTGAAGGGTTCTATATGTCATTTCGGTAAAGTAATGATACAAAGATCGATATAAAACTGTCGAAAGACCATGAATTCAAGATTCTTTATATTTTGACGAACCAACGTCGCCATCTGTGACGTTTAGCTGCAACTAAATTTTTGCTAAGACACGTGTTAGCCGCAGGACAAGCCAGCATTCTCTTGCAATCGTTGGTGGAAGTATTTACCATATTTTCCCATCTGACTCTGTAATATTCCATTTTTAAGTGATTCTAAATTGTTCGAGCTAGGTCCTATAACTATTCATTTTCGATTCTAAGCCTCCAAGAAGCGAAAAACATCGAAAACGTGCTCGGACCACGCCATGTTGGTTCTAGCCCATAATAAGTAAATAAATTTTTTATAAAAAATGAAATTTCATGAGTTTCAAGATGGACTTTAGGGCCTCCATATCCACGTGGTAAAATTCGAAACGAATCGGTACACCCAATTCGGAGAATATTTTCCCCAACGATTTGACTTCTCAGATAAAAATAGGCTGACTCTTTCATGTCCTCTTAAAGGAAATTAGAATTCAACAAATTAAGTACGAACATACTGAATTGAAATCCAAGCTTAATATTTTGAAATTGAGAAAGGGGTTGATTATTTTAATTCCTGAAATTATTCGACTTTGTCTTGTACATAGTAATTTGTATAAAGTGATATAGAGTGGAATCGACAACGAATGAGTTCCTCAATGTTGCAGTACCTTAATTTTTTCTTCAGAAGTTATCCCGGGATCGAGTAATTGGTTTTTTTTTTCTCAGTACATATTCGCGCGTCAATTCCATTTTCCCTCCTTTCTCTCACCTCCCTCCCCTGCCCTCACATTTCTATCTATTTTACACACAAAAGCTCGCCGAAAGTTCACACACGAAGAGAGTGTATCATTGATCGCGATCACGAAGGATGTAACGAAATCCGGAATTATTTCGTTACTTCGGATTGATTACTTGTGGCATTCCGATAGTTAATTCAGCTCATCGTAAGACGTAACTGATGAAAAGAAAATGATACTCTTTTCGTTGCTGTCTGCCTGCTCCCTACTACTTCGCCGTACTGACATTGAACCGTTACACGTTGTCTAGGATCTGGCACGATTTCTGACACATGAGACAATCATTTTCCATCCGTTATCACTCAAGAAAGTTGATAATTTCTTTTTCTACATCGCGAAAATAAATGTGCCAGATCGTAGGCTAATGCAGGCGCAAATCTAAGTTCGAGGCTCCTCGAAGGTCCAAGGGAAGACCGACGTTCATAGCCAATTCTCCCTGCAGCGCCTCTAACGATACACAATCTGACTACTTTTCCACCGTGCACTCGTCATAAAGCGAACACCTTGCAGACCACCGTGCTCGAAAAATATTGATTAAACGCCTATCGATAAAATTGAAATTTCAAAAGCTGATAGAAAAGCCTTTCGCGCACGACGGTCTGCAGAGATAACGAACGTCGGATCTGTGAGCGTCTTGTAAAATTGCATCTGCAACTGGCACGCATCTGCTGCAACCTAAAGTTTTCTCGTCAATCGTTAAGACCGCCCTCTTCGAATGGCGACAATGCAGGGCATTAATTTGCCACTTTAGAAATGGAACTTCGGCTTCTTACTTGGCACGTCGTTAAGAGCGATTAAATGTAGAGTGAATTCGAAGAGGAACGTCAACCAATCTATAATCTACCTCGCAACGAAAGACAACGACTGCACCCCCTGGGAGCCCTACTTTTCGGAAGTAGCTCAGTCGGTAATGTCGGTAACGTCGCCAAAGTCGGTATAGCGAGCCTCGGACAGCTATGCGACTTTCCCGTGTGACTGTCTCATCCCCGTGTCAGCCCTAAATCCACCACGTCACTCTGTTCTCCACAAATCATCGTTGTGTCTGTCTTCGACAGTCATCGAACACATCACATTCGATCATCCGTGTCGTTCTTCGGAAGCGTTCACATCGTCGCAGTAATTTTAATAAATGGCCATGGCAGAATGGGCATTCCGCGTGCGAAAGTTTGCCCAGTTTACCGCAACACCATATCCACGGTCAATCGGGCTATAAAATGGAAATATAAATCATTGATCAATAATTTGCTAATCGGTACCAAAATGGCCGCCGAGTTTCGCCGCGGACATGTCCGATATCCGTGCCGCGGTTGATCGTCCCCTCGCGAATATCGCCAATCTTTCGCAATTCCCTCCTGCCTAACCGGCAACCGAGAACAAAGACATCTGATTGGATGCGCCCTACTTGCGAACGAAAGACCGAGACCTTCTCTCGCACCTCCTCACTCTCGTCTCATGTGATTTTGTGTGCAGATGGGAAAATTACGACCCGGCGAGGTGTTGGAAGCCAAGGTGAGATTTGTGTTCGCTATAACACAAAGCTTACCTGCCAAGACCATCACCTGCATCTTTTTTCTCTTGCTCTGTTTCTTCTTTCTCACCATCTTGCATTTATTACCATCATTCATGCCCCCTTTATCTCTCCGTTGAGTTTCACGATCGGGCGACGAGTGGTTAAGCTATGGCGATCGTTGAAAGTTGCGAGGCGCGGGTCCCGCTGATGTCCGCCATGTTTGTCACGTGATTTCTGTTGCGCGCGCCGATTGGTGCAGCGCGGTCCCTCGGGACGCGGGGAGGGGCGATCGGCACTGCTCTCGGAACCGCTCATCTCGCGATTGTGCGTTTTATTCTTAAAATCACTCGAAATATTGCCCCACGACTCCCTAGATCAATTGTTGACAATTTTCGAGTAATTTCGAGAATACAGCCCCATTTTCCGATATCTAACGGGTGTACGGCTGGCACCTATACGATCACAGGTTGCCAATGAAATATCACTTCATCGTCATCTCGTCATTGCCATCACTGTCACGAAACAAGGAACAACAAAGACAACACGACGACAGAGTACAAAGTACGGTCGCAGTACCGATATAACCCCGAGGCACAACTTTAATAATAATATTAATAATAATTCTCTATGATTTTTGTAGCTGGTTTTTTGGAGCTGCTGCTGCCGCTGTTGCCATCTCCGCTACCCGCTACCTCCATTTATGATTTATGCTCGCGTTTTTCGCGCCGATCTTATTTAATTCTCTCTCACCGTCTCTCTCACAACAACTTAAGTACTTGTATCCGCCGAAAAAAAAGTCGCCCCTCAAGAAAGCCCTTTTCAAGTCGCACTATATGTCTTCTTTTCTCCCACGAACAGATTAAGTCCGTCCGCCCTGGCGTACTGCAGGTCGAACAGGTTAGCCCACTTTTCAACCACGATCTTTTATGTACATACTATTCCATATATGTATATGCACATGTACCTGTATATATATTCGTGTTTAATTCAAACAGACCTGTGTAAATATTTGTGTTCTCATAAAACCCGGTGAACCATGTAACATTGCCATCTTGATTAACTGTTTTATTTCATGTTCTAGTGGAACTTATTTCGAATGAAAGTTGCGAAAAATTCCGTATACATCCGCAAAGGATTACATTATAAACATTACGAGGGGGAAGCACACCCTACATATTTTATAAATTCATCCGCAGTCTCCCTTCGCACTTCGAGTGACGGTAATTATGCAATTTTTGCGATACATAATTTGGATAACCTATTTTACAGGTATCATTGATTAAATATTGTCGAAATTCATACAGTTAAATTTGAAGAGGTTGAAATATAAAAGTCACAGAAGCCTTGATAGGAAAAAATCTGTCTCGTGTCGTGGAACCACGCAATTTTTATCTGAAAGAATTTCCATTGGAATAAAAAATAAAGGAGTCATTCGAGTCGGTAATGTTAAATTATTCGCCCTGTACAGATATGTATATATTTCGTGGTTAACTCGATATATTCGTTTCTTTATCGTGTGTAAAAATATACGTAGAATAGCAGTGCTCACACCGCATATTACGCGGAAGTGTATTATGAGATACTCTTCCGTCTCCAATCATGCCGCAGTTATTACCTTCGTGTATGACGATTGTTCACTATTTTCGATGCCACATTATCAGTAATAGCCGATCAGGATTGTGTGTCGAGGAGGACCGCAATCGGCAATATCGGTAAAAGTTAAACCTTGTTCTAATGGCGACCAATCATTCCAGATCGCTTATCCGTAATCTTGGTAAAGCTTTCTGTTAGAAAATCGGCGGTGCGTCCTTATTCGCCAAATCCTTCGCTCATTTCCTCCCAAATAGTCCTCTTTTTGAGTTCAGTATTTGGAGCATTATCTTTATGGCGTTGCCATCACATTTCTGCACTTACACACGAAAAAAAAAAAAGAGCCAGGAACAGTGACCTACCAATAAAATAAATAATAAATACAAGAATATTTCTTTCCTATAACAGTTTTACGTCTATATGTTATTTACAGAGAAAGACCCATTACCAGGGATTATTTCCCGCATTTTTGCCCAAAGAAAGTGTTATTCAAACTTACGGTGTATGTGTAAATTTAGTTTCCTTTAATTTTATTAATATTTTCTTAATTCTTGAAATTTATTCTCGGACTTTAGTAGTTTATTGTCGACGTTGGTCACCGTTTACTGACGAATCGAGATAAATAATCCTCTCATCGGATGCACAAGTTAACCATTGCTCTCTCCCTTGGCATAATTCATACCTCAGATTTTACGAATACGCAAATACGCATCATAATCGTACATCTTTCATACCCATTACTACCCATCTCTCCGTGTAAAGTGTAAAGTTATGTGTTTCCAGGACACGCTCATACATGGACACGACCATTTCACGACATGTCCTATGTGTGTCCCACCCAATGTGGACTAACACGCCCTGTATGTTTTCTAATGCTACATATTATACAATTAAAAATGTGTACCATAAGCCAGAGTAAGTGGTCTTAAATGATCTTCTTGCATCGACAGGAATAATTTAAATATTAATATCATTTCTCGAGCAGTATCAATATCTGATAACCTCCCATAAATTCTTTCAATAATGCCGACAGAGCGTAGAAAGTTGAGAAAGTGAAAAATCCAGTCGTTCGGAAGGTACATGGAATAGAAAGTACTCTCACTTACTCTGACCATGGAACCCAGAGACGATAACGAATTATCTGTGTTTCCGCAATTTTTATTCGATAATTAGATCGAATATTTTCATTCCGACTATCGAATTGCATCGAAGCTCATCCTCCTCATTTTCGTCTAAGGGTTTTTCATCAAATGTACATAAAGTGCGCCACCAGCAGTACTGCTAATGGAAAGTGAACATTTTTCGAATCAACGATTACTAGTTGAATTTTTCGTCTAATTATTCCTTTGGACGTCTCAGCGTCAGTAATGAAATTGTATTACGGATAATTCAAAGTCTGAAATTTTTAATATTTCTTTTCAATTAATTGCAACATCCTATCACTGGGGCATTGTAATGAGAGATTGACTAGTAATTTTGATTTACTCATTTTCCATTAGGAAAAGTGCAATCAGTCCTGCGGCGCGACGACACCGACAATCTCGCCCTTCGAACTCACGGTCGTCTCGAATCGATCTTCATCGATACCCGATAATATCGATTCGAGAGATCAATCGAACTCGCGCGGTTGCGTCTTTGCGCGGAAAACTGCCTTCAGCCTTTTCTAATTTCTCTGTGCTAACTCATCCCGAAGACACCTTAGTAGTGAACTATGGGCTAACCGTGGCTAATGGTATTGACTCTTTTAATGACTAACTGGTGGACTAACGATTGTTTGCAACTAATGACACGTGGATAACGCGTGACTAATTTTACCAGCAAGAATATCAGTAGGCGACGTGACAATGTCTTTTACCTTCGCTCTTAAAGCATAAACACGTTAAAACCGATTTATTAGTAGTTTCTTCATCAATGATTTTTTAAAAAAACGCGAGGTATTCCATTTTTTCCACATTTTCACGCTCCCTCCAGGGTCAATTTAATTATTAACCCTCTGTTTCTTTCTGAACTGAAAAGAAAATTTTAAGAAATATTTCCAAATGTGGAATCGCCTTTCCAGGTTGATCGGTATAGTTGCATTTTTTAAATGAATTTATGTTGTATATGCATTTATACATCATTAGTATTGTTGATTGTATTGACCCTAGCGAGACAAGGTAGGTAATTGTAAAAGCAAAGGACATTGTCGAGAGTCGTCGCTTTACGTGTAACGTTATTTCGGGGTTTTGCAAGATGTGTGTCTAAATGATTTGTCGTCGAATGATGCAGCGACGTCGTCTCAGCTCGGATGCGAGGAGACCCAGCGTGGCAGATCTGGAGAACAAGATCAACCAACCCAGCACGCCTCTACAAAATGTCGGACCACCAGGACCACCACAAATCGTCGATGTTCAGGAGTCTTACTCCGCAGTCGAAGGTTTGTTCATCTATTAACCCCTTGCCTTACGATTTAAATTCCAATAGCGCGTGCCATAAACAACAAAAATGTCGGCCATACATCGGGCCATTTCACGGTATGGCTGAACGTTCAAAGTCCCACACGTTTTGTTCACGTTTGGCCCGATTGATATACCACGTCTCTCACACGTTTTGTTCACGTTTGGTCCGATTGATATACCACGTCTCTCACACGTTTTGTTCACGTTTGGCCCGATTTACATACCATGTCTCTCACACGTTTTGTTCACGTTTGGCCCGATTGACATACCACGCTCTCACACGTTTTGTTCACGTTTGGCCCGATTGACATACCACGTCTCTCTCACGTTTTGTTGACGTTTGGCCCGATTGACATACCACGCTCTCACACGTTTTGTTCACTTTTGGCCCGATTGACATACCACGTTTCTCACACGTTTTGTTCACGTTTGGCCCGATTGATATAACACGTCTCTCACACATTTTGTTCACGTTTGGCCCGATTGATATACCACGTCTCTCACACGTTTTGTTCACGTTTGGTCCGATTGACATACCACGTCTCTCACACGTTTTGTTCACGTTTGGTCCGATTGACATACCACGTCTCTCACGTTTTGTTCACGTTTGGCCCGATTGATATACCACGTCTCTCACACGATATTGCAAGTGAAGAGATTAACGGCGTTCACCATCAAAGTGAAGACGATGACTTCCGCCACTAGATGGCATTAGCATCGAATTCGGTGGGAGGTAACCAAAACGTGCATTGGGAGACATCAATGCCCTCCCATCCTGCACAGGCGATGCCGTATCTGCAGGGGAGGCATTTATGTCCGCCATTGTACACTGGGAGACATCAATGCCCTCCCATCCTGCACAGGCGATGCCGTATCTGCAGGGGAGGCATCCATGTCCACCAGTGTACTTTTTCGCTCGGTTGAGGGAAACGCGATGCATAATGGGCGATGTTTAAATGATAAAGAAATTTTATGTTTGATGTTTGATGTTCTTATTTACAGACTCGACAGCCTACCTCACCGTTGGGGTCGAAGGTAATCCCGCGCCGACCTTCAAGTTCTACAAAGGCATGACCGAAATCATCGAAGGTGGTCGATTCAAGTTCCTTACGGATTCCGAGACCAATTCGATCACCCTCTGTATGAGGAAGACGAAACCCAACGACGAGGGTACATACAAGATCGTCATCAGCAACTGCCACGGCGAGGATTCCGCCGAGATGCAACTCTACGTTTCCGGTCAGTCGATTTTCCCGACATCCGATCATAGTTCATCATCTTCGGTCGATAAATAAAATGTCTGTCTACAGATGCCAGTGGAATGGACTTCCGTGCCATGTTGAAGAAACGAAAATACCAAAAGTGGGGCAGGGAAGAGACCGAGCAGGAGAAGGTAGACTTAAAGGAGGTCGAGAAACCAATGCCGGCACTCAAGAAGGTTGAAAAGGTAAGCAGATCGCTGATAAATAATATTAATCTCATTTTCAATTTCTACATGGTATCGATCGCTGCGACGACTTGAAAAAACATAGGAAGCTCGTTTGCTCAGAGGGAAAGGAATTGCGGAATTCGTGGATTGATACAATTACATTAAATTCACATTAAGGGGACGTGAAAGTGGCATCTGTGGGGTTAATCGTTCGCCAAAGTATTCTCCGAATTGCGTGTACCAATTTGTGTGAAATTTTACCACGTGAATAAAGAGACCCTAGGTAGGTCCTAAAACTCGCGAAATTCCATTTTTTAATAAAAAATGTTTAAAATAAGTATGAACAAATTATCTTAAAATTGAAATTTCATGGGCGTCAGGACCTTCCTTATAACCTCTATATTCACATTGTAAGGTTTAAAACGATTCTGTACCCCCAGTGCGGAGGTAAGTATCATAAACGAGACCTCTTTGACGCCACTTTCGCATCACCTTAAGACTGGACATCAGTGTAGTCTACAAAACTCACTCAAGAGATATCAAAATGGCTTTCCAGCTCAATGATAAACATACATTCAGTCATAATTGTTCCAATTCTTCCGTAAATCCTTTTATTCTCACCTTTCTCAAAGTGTCGTTTCGTCAAGCGCGCCTACTTGGGGAGAGATCTAGAAACTAGACTACCAATTCCTTATCCCTTTACATCGTAATGCAGGTCTTAATCTCGAAGGACCATATCCATATCTCACTTTTAGTGTTAAAACACGTCTTTTGGTCATTTAAAGACTACATATAAAAATCGTCTTTTAACCTTAAACGTGGAGTAAGAGCGCAGACCTGAGACACCAGCACCAAAGTCCTTTAAAAAATCAGCCAGTACCTCAGAAATCCTTGCCATTATCGATATCACCCTCCTTTTCCAAAAATCTGGAAACCTCCACAGGAACTACTATTACATTTAATCTCTAGCAAGGTTTATGTATAAACAAGTGAACGTGGAGTTCAAGAAAATGGGTAAAAATGACTGAGTATCCTCAAGACATCGACAAGTACGAAATGCAACCCATGGACTAGTTTGTCTTTTTTTTATTTTAATCCGGGTTCCGAGCTTGGTTCTCGCCACACTCCTGGGTGGATGTACGTCGTGCAAGGGTGACTTTGGGGTCTCTGCAGGGTTAAAGATTGAAGGTCGCTTGAGGTTCTATCTTCGTAGCCGATTTCCGGCACCTGCGAGACCGGCTGGTACCAAGATGGCGAGTTCATAGTGGTGTTGGCCGAGGGCGAGGAGATCTGTCGAGTTCCTCTCGGCAAGAAGGGAGAGGCCAACTGGAGCTGGCTAAAGGTTGCAACAATCCCCGAGTACAAAGACAAAAATCACAACATTTTTAGCACCCCTCTGCAATCCCGCCGTAGGCCTCCACGTGTCGTTGCCTTGAACTGTCGGACTTCCTTCAAAGACAATGAAGCAAAAATTAAATCCTCTGATCATGTAGCTTCCTGAATTATGCATAACTCTGAGATATAAATACTTACGTTATAACCTTCTTTTCCATTTTTAATTAAAATTTGCGTAATACATTTTTAAATTATTAAATGTTAAGTATCCCTGCGATGGCTTATTTCTACAGTTGTATAAGAAATGGAGAATTTTTGAAATCAGTGGATACTAAGTTATATTCAGTTTCGATATTAATCCTCTGTCCTGCAGAAGATATTAAAAATGTTCTCTATATGGAAGCATGGAAATTTAAGGCAATGATATAAAATTGTATTGTAGGACGTTTTCGGCTTTACGAAATTTAGAAGGTATCCTTAAATGTTTCGGTCTGAAAAGCCTGGCATGTTTATCTCTTGCTCATCTTTGACCCCGATAAAATCATTAATAAGCTTTACTCATGGTGGAGCGGCTAAAATTAAATTAACATTTTGAGGAGTCATGGTATCGTTAAATTTGTAAATCTCTGAAATATGGTCCCCGGTGCAAAGTTTAGGGCTGGTCCGCCCTTAAAGTCAGTTTTACTGTTCATAAAAAGAAGATGAGTTTAACATCTTCGAATACTCTTCTGTTGTAAAAAATCTCGGGAAATGTTTAGGACTTTTCTTTGACGTTTCTGCAATTATGTTTGCATTCGGCTGGACGGCAAATAAAACTTATGGAAATTCTGGCTTCAATTTAAAGCCACGGTGGTATTGCAGAATGGTCCGATGACAGTCCCAATTAATTCATACATGCCCTGTTTACAAAAATCCTCCGGTAATGATTTATATCGGCGATGTCAATTGTTTCCATGATTTGAATTGCGTTACCAATTCGTGCTAGGTAACGATGAGTCTCCATGATGGACCCAAGTGCTGTTTCCTGTTGCAAGCAGTGCCGTGTAAAATACTATTTAAAACAGGACATAAGAAAAATATTTCACTAATGTTATGTCAAACAAGTATCTCTAGTATGGCAGGTGTTTGAGGTGACGTGAATAGTTGGGTACTATCTTCCAGAAAACCAAGAAAAAGAAGGATAACTTTTTAATCCGGGACGCCATATCCAATATTATGAATAGCTTTGGGTCCTTAAATGTCAAATAAAATATTCTATATCTCGAAATTGAATACCTTTATCGATGAATTTAGATTTTAAATCATTAAGATTTCTAGATGGTAGCACCCATCCTTTCCCATTACTCTATAATACCTTCTAAATAGTAAATGCTCATCACTGGCTTTCATTGCTCCACTGTGTTACCAGTGTTGAGATGTGCCCGAATTAACCAAGAAAGACCTTTTTCCTTTATTTTCGGTGGCCACGGATTGATAAGGATTTATAACTCCTCCGGTATTAAAAGCAATTAGGTACATGCTACGAATGTTCTTCTTCATGACTTCGAGCGACATTTAGACAATCCCTAGCCACCATCTTGAAAAATCCAACCATCTTCTCACTCGAAGAAACCATTGTTTGTTGCTTTTTTTTCTTCTCTCGTGGAGGCAGCACGAAGTAATTCAACGTTTTCCTTTCTGTCGAATATATACCTCCTCAAATTCTTCGCGATTTAAAATAATAGTAATAAAAGATAACATTTACCATCAAGAGACATCCAGAAATACTATATGCATTAATTGCAGCAATATACATTACTTCAACAAATCAATTATAGCATTTTTTATAGATATATACGAGTATTCTCCGACATCAAAATTTTAATTCTCGTGCGTAACATATTTGCGTATGATGCAAATGGTCTATAAGTCAAGTCATTTTTATTCTAGACGTCATATATCATTTTTAAAATTAATGCGGAGGTGTATATGGTCGAGGAAGTCTCGTGTTATGTCTATGGCGTTATTTGTTTCCGTGTTCATGTTTTACTTGTATTTTGTAGTCCTCGTCCAAAAGGTCGAGCCAGCTGAAACTGCTTGCGAATCGAAGTGTGAGGGTGAGACCAAACGTTACGTGAGACTATCGGTCCCTGAAGGATGCAAAGTGGTTTTTGTCTTGTCTTTTTTTCTCTCTCGTTATCCCGTCTCATCCTCCCGTTATAGTTTTCAGTTTTCCGAGGCCGGTTTTTTTGTGAACTCGCATTTACTTGCGACAAAGCACGGCTAATCCTTTATTCCTGACGAGCACTCGCCATCGTTAATTCGCCTCTCCAATTAGTTGTCTAATTATTCAGTTATATACATCTTAAAAATATTCCTAATATCGCCAGTGCTCATTCGAGCGAAAAATATTTCACACCTTTCGCGATAATTATACGGATTTAAATAAAATAATTCTTGTCGCTCACTGAACTTTTCTGTTTGCCCTGTTTATATAATAAAAGTACTGTGTCTTCAAGGGAAACCCAATCGATTTTCATTGAAGTTTTAACGAGCAATTTATCGTTCCTGCCGTTTAAAGTTCAAAATAATTAAGTTAAGTTAAATTTAGTTAAAAATAATTAACGATGGCGCGTGATTGGATCTTTTGAAGAGCTCTTTATGCGCTTATGGAGGCTCATCTTTCTTAGCCGAAGCGAAACGCGACTATAACCTTTATTTGTTTAACAGTTTCATGTTATGTGACACGAGCTCGTCTCTATCATTTTCATTTCTTGTATAAACTTTCATCAAACCCGTAACTATACTAAAAAACCGTGCTCGTCTCGCATATTCAGCATCCTCTACTAATTGCAATACATACTCCTGTAAAACATTATATTTTTTTTTAACTAGTATTCAGCATCCTTTACTAACTGCAATACATATTCCCATACGACATTACATCTTTTTTAACTAGAAATTTTTGGAGGTAATGCTTGGCCTCGGTACGTGTTCGAAATTACCGTGCACTTTATCAATACTTTTTTTACCGCAATTAATAATTTCGTAATTTTTGTCTTATAATTGCAACCGTATTTTTTTTTCAAAGTTTTGCTACATTTAGTATTTCTAAACTAAAATATTGTATTGTACCATGGCGGATTTCCGCCATATATATATATTTTTTTCTCGTGGAGTAATATTTTTATATTTCCAAAGTTGTAAAGATTTAAGTTAATTTAGAATATGGGTATTTTGATCTTTTTACAATTGTCATTAAATTATTGGAATGTAATTTATTTAACACATGGAAAACATAATAATTGGTCATTTATTGAATTTCCTAAGTACCAAGCATTATCTCAAAGTTAGTCCTGATGAAAAGAAATGGCGGAGTCCTGCAGGAGCCACCAGAAGTACAAAAAATCTGTCACATATTCCTTCTATTCAAAATACTTCTCGGACACTTAACAAACCTCCGTCTTTTCTTTTCAATAAGGCATAAAATCGACTCGCAGTAAATATTTCCAGCCCATGTACCGACTCGCCTCACAGTTCAATTTCATTCGACATAAAACGAAATCATAAGGCATCACCATCCATAGAACAAACGAATTTCATTTTATCTGTAAACGGAGATATACAAAGTTATATTAAATCGATATCAAAGACTTATTACCATTATCTACTCAGAAATGAAGAAAAAATTAATTATACAAGTCCCAGGAGTCCATTCAAAATGCATTTCTTTAACAAGATACTCTACTTTAGATTGTTTTTCTTTTTATTTCGTCTCTCTCCATTCCCATGGAATATCTAACGAGGGCACCGATCATCCGCAATTAATATCAATCTCATAAAATTATCGCCGCCACTTTCGTACCGCTTCGATCATTCTTGACGTATACATGTATGCCATATCTTTTTGTAAAATATCTCTGGACTCCTGAATGGCATAATCGGTAATAACAAAAAGAGGCCACTTGTCTCAGTCGGATCTGATGGCACTAAATTCTTGTTTCCGGTATTTCCACACCCGCCGCGATTCATTCCAGACTCTAGACTTCCGGTATTCTTTCCGCGGGCATTTTCCCGGCGTTGAGTAAAAAAAAGGCGAAAAAGACAGCTCGAAAAACGGCGAACACGTGGGCCAGTCGGTACAATTCGGGTTGTTAAAATCGGGACCACGTGTGGTCCCATTAACCACATTGTCTCGTGTGTGTGTCGGGCATGTAGGACGTCTTCGACATCCAGCGCAGGCCGAGTTTGCAGGAGTTAATCGACGACTGGCCAAAACTAGTGGTACGGGCCAAAGAGAAGGTTCGCTCACATCTTAGACGTTCGTTCGAAAGAAGCCTTAAGCAAAACCCGGCCTCCTCTGCGAGATGCTTCGTTTCTCTCTGCCTACACGAGACGTCGTCAAAGGCAGCGCCGAAAAAATAATCGGCAGGGTTTAATATCATCGACGGAACCGCAAAATTTACGTAGAATACGTCATTAAATAGCTCTTATGGCGATATTAGAGGAACACGATTGCGAAACGCCGACATTAGACGTGGACGTTTCAGGGCAGTCTCACTGAACGCGTCGGGCGTCACACACAGTGCGGCGCGGAACGTCAAGTCATTGTAATCGGTAATTGCTTTAAAAAAGATATTCTTCTGAGAATAACCCCGAGAGATAAATTGCTTTTAAGAGTACCTACATGGAAAATCCTGCAAAATTGTCCAGAAGCGCCATTTTGTCATATTTTGAAATTTCTCAAATTTTATTTCTTTAACTCAACTTTAACTTAACTTAATTGAAACGGTAGCTCTTATGGCAATATTAGAGGTACACGATTGCGAAACGCCGACATTAGACGTGGACGCTTCAGAGAAGTCTCACTGAACGCGTCGGACGTCACACACAGTGCGGCGCGGAACATCAAGTAATTGCTTTAAAAAAGATATTCTTCTGAGAATAACTCCGAGAGATAAATTGCTTTCAAGAGTATCTATACATGGAAAATCCTGCAAAATTGTCCAGAAGCGCCATTTTGTCATATTTCGAAATTGTTCAAATTTTATTTCTTTAACGCGAATTCAGAGTTTTGCTCTCTAAATTCTCGTCTATCGTTTATTTCCTTGCTGTGATTAGGCAAGCAATTACCAGCTATCGTGACACGTTTTCGTGCCTCCATTTACCCTAGTAGCACAAAATATTTGTCCAATATTTTCTGAATATTTAACGAATATCGTACATTTTGTAAATATTTACCAGACATTTGAAATATTTGTAGAACGTTTACTTTAGAATATTATCTCTATAATATTTACAAAATATTTGTCCAATATTTTCTGAATATTTAACGAATATCGTACATTTTGTAAATATTTACCAGACATTTGAAATATTTGTAGAACGTTTACTTTAGAATATTATCTCTATAATATTTATATAATTTTAGCTCCATGTGTTTTCATAATATTTTTCTACCAGATATACAAAACATTTCGTTTCATTTTAATACGAGTATTTTTTTTTAAATATTATCTGCCGAATACATTATAAACGTTTTAAAAGTATTTAAAATCAAAATCACACGTTTTGCTCCCATAATGAAATAGCGGGACGAAAATATTACAATAATTTCTCGTGTTTTTCCATACCAAATGAAGTGTCCGAAAATAGTCGTAAAGTAAAAAATGTATTTTTATTATGTTGACGAGTTAAAAAATACAATTTCTCCATATGTTTATAAATTATTAAAACTAAATATGTCATTGAGATTTTCAGGAAATCTACCAGCAATCTTAAAAAATCTGTCGCTTGAGATATTTAGCAAAGATTAGAAAGAAATATTTAGAAATTATTCTATGCTACTAGGGTGAGGGGGCCCCGTATCTTCGAGAAAAACGTATTCTACGTGAAAATAAAAAGAGAAAATAAAACGGGCCTTGGATTTTGGATTTGACTTTGAATGGGAGACCGTCTCGCCCTGCTTTGGACCCTCACAGCTTTCTCGCAAGAGTTTTTCCTCGCGATCAAACTGCAACGATGCCTCCGACGTGGTTTTCCTTTCGAGACCGTCGAGGTCGAATCGTCAAAGAAATGGCATGGTCCCCGTTGGCCGATTTGACATTTTTCCCTGCTTTGTATCGAGGGATTTTCGAGTGTGTGTCCAGCTTCTGGCCAGGACTCCAGATTTCGGTGCATTGTCGACATAGTTCTCGTCCCGACAATGAACGAAAACCCCTGAAAGAATCTACTCGAAGTCTGGGAGATCATCAACGACGTCCATGACGCATGGTCCCCGCCTATTTGATTGTCTTTTTTTATCCTGCTTGTCCTTGACAGAGACATTTACGCTTTCGCAATGCGCGGGCCAGACCTGCGATTGTGTATGTGTGGATTTCCAGCTTCTCGGCGGTGTTCACGAAATCGCTAGAATCCTTTTGGTGCTTTACCGATGTTTCGATCTTTGGAGACTTTACTCCATGACACCTTACCTACTAGATCGGAAAGTTAAATTTATGCGATATTTCCTACTTGGATCCTTAACGCGGGCTTTGCATTTCCAGGGTGTCAATTGTTACAAGACTTTCATTTTCTGAATTCTGTAAAATATTTTAGTAATGACAGTGCTATCGCGGTAATCAAGTGTAACGTGCAGGGGGTTTTTTAAAGTAACAATGGACGTCAGATTTTGAAGTACTATTACCGTCACCGTTACCTTTCATAGATCTCATTGATCGTTAAAATCGCATAAATTGAGATCAGCCCAATTTTCGCTAATCTCAATTTATCAATCTATATTTAGGAATTAATGACTGCAGAAAGGAGGAATGGGATTTTACTTTTACTTAGAAAATAATTCGTTTATCGCCATGTGTATACTTAATGAAGGAATTTAGACAAGAACTTTTAAATAACGATGTCGTAGATTAATGCCTTTTAATTCCATGCAACATTTTCGACATTTCAGAGTTACAAACATTATTTCACAATTTGTACACCATTTTCTGTAGCAATAATTCAATCATTCCATGGTCGAGTTATTTTAATAGCATTTCTATAATCTTCAACGTGTCATTGTTGGTATCCCATTTACCACGAAATTCTCACCTCATGTAGGAAGTATTTTGTGACGTAACTTGAGACTGGCTGAAAAGGCAAAGTATCTTCACTGATTTTCACTGACTACCCAAACTTTAACATTTTTTAAAAACATTTATTGTACTCGCGAATCACACTGTAACACACACTTCTTTCTGCACACTACACGACACGATTCTGGGGGTAACTTTATAGCAATTTCCCCCTTATTCTCAGCCCTGGCCGACTCTTAGCACCCACCATGGCGATTTTCTCCCCCATAAAAAATGACCCCTGCAGAAAATTGCTTGACGCACCTGAATTTTCCGGAATTCCAGGCGTTAAAGTCTCCAAGAAAAGACTCTTGGACATGTTCCTCGATTCTCGAGAGAATCCGACAAGGGAACGTCCCTTCCGTATTGCCACTAATTGTGTTTTTCCTTTTCCTTTCTTTTCCCGCTTTCTACACGGAAATAGAAACCGGAGTCCTTCTTGAAACCTTTGGTTGACCAATACGCCAAGGAGGGCAAAGACAAGAAAGTTGTCTTTGATGCGAACTTCTCGAAGCCAAATTGCAAGCCGAAATGGTTCTTCCGCAAAGACGTGAGTAACGTTCCTTCTAGCTTTCTGTTATCTATAAGATTTTTAAGATATCTATCACTAATGATAATAAAGTAATATTGCGAAAGATTCTTGATACTTAAGTTGCTAGACGAATAGAATGTATTTCTGGAATTTAATTTAACAAGATGAGTACATGGGACCTTTAATTGTAGGAACTCTTCGCATCGGCCAAGTACAAGTTCAAGAACGAAGACGACTCCTACCAGCTCATTATTCTCAATCCAAAAGTTGAAGACACTGGAAAATACACCATTGATATCAGTGGAGTCTCTAGCACTGCAATCCTCAATGTGGACGGTAAGTGATTAAAGGAAAATCGTAAACAATAATGTAAATCATGTGCCAAGTCGATCTATATTCTGATGAATATCCGATTTATCTATACCTTTTTACTTAATAGCATATTTTGAATTTCAAGATGATTATATTAATAATTAATGTCGACATTTTCAGAGCCTGATCCGTCGTACACTTTTACAAAGCCCCTCTCGAAGAAATCGAGTGGATTTGCAAAACACGAGGCCTACATGGAATGTACGGTTTCCTCGAATTTGGCTCAAGTATCCTGGTACAAAGGAAAAACCAAATTGGAGGTAAAGTTTATCTCCAAATACAGTTAATAAATTATAAAACGTTACTCCTTGCTTTAACCGACTGAAACTTTTTGATTCCATAACTGTTCAATGGCCGGTACATAAAATAGAGATATATTTTGTTTTAAATACATCGAGGGCAAGTATTTTGACATAATTTTATTGCGATATTTCTTTTAGGATGGTGACGTGTACAGTATATCTAAGGATATATCTGGAGTATGCCGACTTACTATTAAATGCGCCACCTTTGACGACAGTGGCGAATACACGTGCAAGATCAACAAACAAACTGAGAAAACGGACACGGTCCTTACTATAGTCGGTTAGTTTGAACTTTAGATTTAAACAATTGGACCAGCAATGCCAACGTTGAGGTATATATACAATAATTCATTTCAGAGTATCCTTACAAGTTTGTCAAGGTCCTGAAACACCAACAACAAGTTGAAAAGGAGACTATCACGTTGCTGTGCGAACTTGACGATGAAGCTGGCGATGTTAAATGGTACAAAGGAGATCAAGAAATAATGCCAGATAAAAGGTACTTGCTTTAAACAAAAATAATGGGACCCCAAGTCCTTATATATTCAAGTTTGCCATTCAAACTCTAGAGTGGTAGAAGACAATTTAAGACGTTCATATGAAAATGCACGCTTAGAATAGTAGGAACCCTAATTAATTATCCAATGTCTGTACGTCAGAATACAAATTAAGGAGGATGGTCGCAAGAGGAAGCTGATCATCAAGGATGCAAAAGTCACAGATGCTGGCCTCTTCTCTTGCGTGAGCAACGCCGACAAGACAGAAGCCGAACTAGTGATAAGCTGTGAGTAAAAATGGAGCATTAGTTGAAGATAAGAATAATGATACTGATCGGACTGTCTTTCAGACTTGAACCGCTTCAACAAGAAGCTGAAAGATACCGTCGCGGTGGAAAGAGAAAAGTTGGTCCTGGACGTCGAGCTTCAAGATCAAACGGCTCCTGCAAATTGGTTCTTCAACGGGAAACCTATCGAAACAAATGACAGGATTGAAATAAAAAATCTCGGCGGTGGTAAACATCAGCTGGTCTTTAACCGCCTGGAAATGTCGGACGATGGGGAGATTACTTGCGAAAGTGGAGAACTTAACAGCTCCTGCAAGTTAACAGTTAAAAAGGGAGAGAGCAAGCCTATTGCCGAGATACCAGACAAGGTTGAAGGACCTTGCAGTTCTCCGATCGTATTTGTTATTCCCTTCAAAAGTACGTTTTTTACGGCAGAATGTAGAGAAATATAGGAACGGCAGATTTTCCATTTTTTAATATTTATAATTGGTATTTCTTCAGTCGAGGGCACCAAGCAGAGTCAGGTAGAAGCCAAGTTATTGAAGGATGGTAAGGCTCTGCCATTGAAGGATGTCGAAGTCGTCGTGGGCGAGGATAAGATCACATTTAAGATCAAGAAACCACAACGTGACCTGTCCGGCATTTATCAACTGAAAATTGGCAATGCTCAGGGCGAAGAAGTCGCAGACGTCAACATTGTCATGCAGGGTACGATTTGACTTTCTGCACAATTATACATAATTATGTATATTTATATATATTCATAATTATACAGATTTTCATTTACCAAGTATAAGGGGCAATTCTTGATAATTTCATATTTGAAATTTTCTCTAAAAGAATAGGTGTAATAAATACTAATTACTATTTTTCATAAGTTAACACTTTGCGGTCCATGATAAATGAATAACAATGTAAAATCTTCCATTAATATACTTGTTGTCGATTCGTTTGAATCATACAATAAAAGTTTTTACACCGCAACAATAAACTGAAACGTCAAAATTCGCGTGACGGTTTCGTGCTGCCAGTGGGCTGCAAAGTATTAAACAATTGCAATTCTTGTATGCTTAAATGCTTTGAAGGATATCAATTTTTCATTTTTGTCGCTAGATGTTCCATCTCCACCTCAAGATGTCGACGTTACCGACGTCTTCCAGAATTCTTGCGTGGTGAAGTTCAAGCCATCAAAGGATGACGGTGGCTCGCCAATCACCAAATACGTCGTCGAACGATTGGATTTGAGTTTGAAATCCCAATGGGACAGTGTTGGCGAGGTGATGCCAGGAGAAAAATGCGTCTACAAGGTGGAGGATCTCGTTGCTAAGAAAGAGTACAAGTTCAGGATACGAGCTGTCAATAAGCTCGGCTCCAGCGAGCCCGCACTCTTCGCCAAGCCCATCCTGGCGAAAGATCCTTGGGGTAAATTCTTGATCCCTCGTCCAGCATCACCTTTCAATATATTCTTATTGATTCGAAGTCGTGAAATCTAGTCTGTAATTACATTCTTATTAGGAGCCAACCTCTCTAATATTAAACAATAATTATCTTCAGACGAACCCGGGAAACCTAGCAACGTCGAGGTCGTCGACTGGGACAAGGACCACGCGGACCTGACCTGGGTCAAGCCCGAAGACGACGGTGGAGCACCGATCACAGGATACATCATCGAGTACAAGGAGAAATTCGGCAAGGAGTGGGTCAAAGGAAAAGAAATCGAAGGGGACGTCACCGGTGCGACTATCGACGGCCTAAAAGAAGGCACTCAATACGAATTCCGTATTCGAGCTGTCAACAAGGCGGGACCTGGAGAACCTTCGGACGCAACCAAACCGATCATTGCCAAATCTCGCTTCGTGAAGCCTTTCATCATTGGAGAGCAATTAACGAACCTGGTCGTCAAGAAAGGACAGGTCATCAAGTACGACATCAAGTACGGCGGTGAACCAGAACCAGAAGTCCATTGGTTCCTCAGTGGTAAAGAACTGGTTCAAGATTCAGCGGAAAGGCTCACCATCGACAAATACGAGCGCAATACCGTCCTGACCGTCAGAAAGACCACCAGACCAGATTCTGGAAAGTATAAGCTCGTTTTGACAAACGGATCCGGCACTTGCGAGAGCATCGCCGATGTTGTTGTCCTCGGTAGGTTCAGTGCTTCTTTACCCAATGTCTGGATACCAAAGATGTTAATAACGATTTTCAGTATGATTAACATTTAACGAACGTCATATATAATGAAATTAATTACTTTTAGACAAGCCTTCCATTCCGCTTGGACCTCTAAAGGCCGAAGAAGTCCGCTCGGACCACGTGACCGTGAAATGGGGCAGACCAGAAGACGACGGAGGTTCCGCTATTACCGGATATGTCCTGGAAAAAATGGATATGGACACCGGACGCTGGATACCAGCTGGAGAAGTTGGTCCAGACAAAAATACGTTTACCTTCCAAGGGCTTACTCCCAAGAAGAAGTATAAATTCCGCGTTAAGGCCGTTAATAAGGAAGGAGAGTCGGAACCTTTGGAGACCGAAGAGGGCATAGTCGCCAAAAATCCTTACGGTAATATTATATATTTCATCAAATTGATATAAAGACATCTTAAGAACAAACACGAGTACATAGCTACTCGAAATAAAATGTGTGTCCTCATCACGGACCTGGATGTAGACCTCGGACTGAAGTCTGACCGAAGTATATTATCATTTCTACTACACTTTTTTTTTTTTACTAATCCAAATGTTTCTGTAAATAGACGAACCTGGCAAGCCTGGTAAACCGGAGATTTTCGATTACGACAATGTCAGCGTGTCCCTGAAATGGGCTAAACCGGAGAACGATGGTGGCAGACCCATTAGCCACTATGTCATCGAAATGAAGGACAAATTTTCTGCGGATTGGGTCGAGGTCTCGAAAACCACCGATGCGACTCCGGAGGGAAAGGTCGAAGGCCTCAAGGAAAAAATGATTTATCAATTCCGCGTTCGAGCTGTCAACAAAGCTGGACTTTCCGAGCCTAGCGAACCTACCGACAATCATTTGTGCAAGCACAAGAATCGTAAGTCAGGAAGATCCAAATTTCTATTCTTATGTCTTTAATATAAACCTTATAAATGTCGGCAACGTGACGCTAATGTTGCCATTTGAATATTCAAAACGGCATTACCACCAAAAAGGGTATAGATGAATTCTAATTTATCATACGACACATCGAATACATTAAACTTTGTCTGGTTGAGATATCTTTCATTTAGAGATTAAATGTATGTAATTATTTTTTCCATATTCGCAGTTAAACCCAGGATTGATCGGACGAACTTTAAGTCTATTGTCATCAAGTCCGGACGTACGCACAAGTGGTCTGTAGACATAACCGGAGAACCTCCTCCAGAGATCAAATGGGTCTGGAAGGACACCATCCCGTTGTCATCCACGGATAGAATTAAGATCGAGAATATCGATTATCACACAGACTTCAGCATAGTAAACGCCATGAGAAAGGACACCGGAAAGTATACCCTAATAGCGGAGAACTGCAACGGCAAAGACGAAGAATCCGTCGAACTTACCGTTCTCGGTAAGTGCCCATTTCAGAAAACAATTATCCAAATGACGTTCCAGAACTTGAACTTTCCGGGAAAAATGCCCGTCGATAATTCCACAGATCACCGACAGGAGTTATTAACAATCTTCTGAAATTTTAGGGAAACCAAGCCCACCCAAAGGTCCCCTCGAAGTGTCCGACATCACAGCAACAAGTGCCAAAGTCAAATGGGAAAAGCCAGAGGATGACGGCGGCTGCCCCATCAAGGAATACGAGATTGAGAAAATGGACACCAAGACTGGAAAGTGGGTTCGCGTGGGCAAAGTGCCCGGAAACGCTCCCAACACCGAATTAGAAGTTACAGGACTTAATCCAGGAAGCGAGTACAAGTTCCGCGTTACAGCCATCAACGACGAAGGCGACTCCGAGCCTCTCGAGAGCGAACGCGGAATCATCGCTAAGAATCCATTTGGTAAATAATTCTTTAAGATGTATACTCAATTAATTAATAACAGTTGGTAATTATCGAGTCACTTATTGGTGCGACAATCCCTGCAGACGAGCCCTTGAAGCCTGGTACCCCAGAGATCACGGATTACGACAACGAGTCCGTAAGTCTGAAATGGACCGCACCCGAGCACGATGGAGGAGCTCCGATAGAGAAGTACATAATCGAAAAGAAGGATAAATACAAACCCGATTGGGAGAAAGCAATAGAAGTCCCTGGAAATCAGCTGGAGGGTAAAGTCGCAGGCCTGAAGGAAAGAGGAGAGTATCAATTCAGGGTAATCGCCGTGAACAAGGCTGGACCTTCGGTACCTTCGGATGCCTCGAAAATGCAGATCTGTAAACACAAAGCACGTAAGTAACGAGAGACAATGTGATCGACAAAACTTTGGAGGTCCTTATTGATCGATGGTATTTAAATTCATTTTTTTTCGGTTCGCAGTGAAGCCCAGAATCGATCGAACGAACCTGAAGCCAATTATCGTGCGCGCTGGAAAGCCGATTAAGTACGATGTGGATGTCCGAGGTGAACCACCGCCAGAGATCACATGGTTCATCGGAAAAACCGAGGTCAAGACAGGTGGAAACATCGAAATAGTCAATGTCGACTATAACACCAAAATCAGCGTGACCGACTCCATCAGGAAGAACAGCGGACTTTGGAAGATCTTGGCTGTGAATCCACATGGCCAGGATGAAGCCGAAGTAGAAGTCACCGTGCTCTGTGAGGAACCGATTCGCACCATTAGATATCATAGAAACGTTTGAATAATCTAATTGTGCCTTGTATAATTATTTAATTACGTGTTCAACAGCTGTACCAAGCAAACCCACGGCCCCGCTTAAGGTCAGCGATATTACGAAGAACAGTTGCAAGCTGAAATGGGAAAAGCCAGAAGACGATGGTGGAAGACCGATCACCGGGTACCAGGTTGAGAAGTTGGATAAGTCCACTGGTCGATGGGTTCCCGTGGGACGAACAAACGAGCTCGAGATAGACGTTAAGGGACTCCAAGAAGGCCACGAGTACGACTTCAGGGTCAAGGCCATTAACGAGGAAGGAGAGTCCGAACCTCTTCAAACGGACGTTCCTATCGTGGCCAAGAATCCTTATGGTACATTTCGTTACATCAATATTATATATCAAAACGATAGAAGAGTAAATATAAATAGGTTTTGGGAAAGAGGTGAATAGCACCGGAACGAAAAATTGAATTGAAAACATACATGGAGATCTCTTAACTAAAAACCTTTCGCAAAATATCCAAGTATAAATGAAATAAGTATATTTAATATTCATTTTCTTAACACTTTGGGTAACGTTAAAGGTTAATTCAACGCGTAGGTATATCTAATCTTAATTTCCCTTTCAGACGTGGCTGGCAAGCCAGGCACTCCGGAACTCGAAGACTGGGACGTCGATCGCGTCGACTTGAAATGGCAGCCGCCAAAGGACAACGGCGGAGCTCCCATAACCGGCTACATAATCGAGAAGAAGGAGAAATTCCAAACTCACTGGGAGGAAGCTTTGGTTACGGATTCCCCTCAGCCGAAAGCCCGAGTTCCAGGGCTCAAGGAAGGCTGCACGTATCAATTCCGCGTCCGTGCCGTTAACAAAGCTGGACCCTCCGAGCCCAGCGAACCAACCAAACCGCACGTCGCAAAGGCCCGCTTCCGTAAGTGAATTAAAAAAAGTAACCAAAAGCATATCAATATTTTGGAAAAACAAGGACCTAACTTTATTTCCCTACAGTTAAGCCGCACATTAATCGCGACAAGCTGCAGACCGTGAAAGTCAGGGCAGGTCAGCTGGTGAAGCTCGACGTGGACGTGAAGGGAGAACCACCTCCAACCACCACGTGGAGTTTCGCCGGTAAAGTCCTCGAGACCGGTGCCAATGTTAAAATCGACAACGAGGACTACCTGACGAAGATTCAGCTGACGAACACGTCTCGCAAGATGACCGGGAAATACACGATCAAGGCCGTGAACGACTCTGGCCAGGACGAGGCCGACGTTGAGATCATCGTGCTTGGTGAGCGATCTTGCCTAAGGATCACAGGATTCATTCTGTTGGGTTGTGCACAAGTAGGTACTTATTAATATTCAACTGTTCAGACAAACCTGGCAAGCCCGAAGGACCTCTCGAAGTGAGCGACGTGCACAAGGAGGGCTGCAAATTGAAATGGAGCAAACCCAAAGACGACGGTGGCTTGCCATTGACGAGCTACATCGTTGAAAAAATGGATGTCACAACAGGTCGTTGGGTCCCAGCCGGAATTGTTGACCCCGAGAAAACCGAACACACTATCACGGGTTTGGAACCTGGAAAGAAGTACGAATTCCGAGTGAAGGCTGTCAACGAAGAGGGCGAATCCGAGCCGCTGCAGACCGACACCGCCATTGTGGCCAAGAATCCCTACGGTATAAACATTTTTTTCATTTTTATACATCACTTCCTTTGAAGTCTAGCGTTCCTCAGAACCGTTTTGTAACGTTTTCTTATGATTTCAATTGCACTGGTAGTAAACAATACTTTTTATAGTACAATTTTCTTTACTCCGTACCCACTACCGGTACATAACGACGGAGATTAAGAAATTAACTTACGCTTTTGTGCGTCAATAAGTTTCCGATACAATGGAGTAACGAATTCAAGTCTACGTCCATTGCAGAACCAGAAGAAAGATATATGTAAAAATGTGATCATAATCGGCCCAATTGCAATTCGAGTTAGGACACACGTACAAACGAAAGTTTGAAACTCGAAATTCATTTTCACGGACCCACTTGCGATGGCTTATCCATAATCGTTGTGTAAACATTTTTAATAGACGTCCATCTGATCCATAATCGTTGTATAAACATTTTAAACAGACGTCCCTGCCGCCCCGGGTCTCCCGGAGATAGTCGACTGGTCGGAGAACATGGTGAAGCTGAAGTGGGAGCCTCCCATAAGAGATGGCGGCGCCCCGATTACAGGGTACATCATTGAAATGAAAGACAAATTCGGCAAGAGCTTTGTCAAGGCTGTGCAAACCGATGGACCCGCTTGTACCGGAGTGGTCCAAAAGTTGGAAGAAGGTAACCAGTACCAGTTCCGGGTACGAGCCGTGAACAAAGCTGGTCCTGGTGAACCCAGCGAAGCCACCAACCCCCACACCGCTAAGGCTCGATGGTGTAAGTATTTCATGATGATGAAAAAGTACTAATTGTAAGTACGTTTAATTAATTCTTGGATGTATGGTCTACAGTGAAACCGTACATCGACCGAACCAATCTGCAACCCGTGACTGTCAAGGTCGGCTTGACGGTGAGCTTGGATGTGAACATCATCGGTGAACCTCCTCCAACGGTGCAATGGTTCTTCAAGGACAAGGAATTATCATCCGACGAGATAATTCGCATCGATAGCATCGACTACAACACGAAGTTCTTGATTCTGAAGGCGAAGCGAGCCCACTCGGGAACTTACAAGATCAAGGCGAAGAACGAGGTCGGCGAAGATACCGCCGAGGTCGATATCACGATTCTGGGCAAACCGAGCAAACCTAAGGTGAGGCTTCAAAATCGATATCTATGTTTAATTGCGAGCTACGATTGATAGTACACTTTATCTTGCAATTCTTCTGCTTCTCTTCAGGGTCCTCTCGAAGTGTCGGACGTCACCAAGCACGGATGTAAACTGAAGTGGAAGAAGCCAGAGGACGACGGCGGTACCCCGGTAGAGTATTACGAGATTGAGAAATTAGATCCTTTGTCGGGGCAATGGATACCTTGTGGAAGGTCCACGGAACCGGAAGCCAACATCACCGGACTTCTGGAAGGCAAGCCATACAAATTCCGGGTGAAGGCGGTGAACAAAGAAGGGGAATCCGAAGAGCTGGAAGCCGACAAGTCCATCATCGCCAAAAATCCATTCGGTATGATATTTTAAATCAAACTCATGACACGAAATTTATTAAGTTTGCACGTTAAAGAAGAGAAGCATACCAAAAGAGATGAAACACTTGTTCTTTTTTTTTTTTACAATTAATTACCATTTTCATTCATCATTGCGCGTTAATATCGTTATGGCTAAAACAACCGAACACGTGGGGTGTTACCTACATGAAAGGATAGTTAAAAATAATTGATAATACTTCTCTTTGACTTAAAAGTTCCACTTTCGTCGCATGTGATAGACTCCGACTTTTTGCCCATGTAAACTTTTGTAGAATCCGACTGGCACTCATTTAGCATATGACAGAAATGTGACATTCTCAACAGATGAGCCCGGCAAGCCTGGACGTCCCGAGCTCAAGAACTGGGACAAAGATTTCGTTGATTTGGAATGGACTCCTCCCAGAGACGACGGAGGTGCTCCGATCGAAAGATACATCGTCCAAATGCGAGACAAAGAAGGAAGACAATGGATCGATGTCGCCAGGGTCCCCGGGGATCGTACAGTTGCCAAAGTGGTCGATGGTATCGAAGAAGGCCACGAATACGAGTTCCGAATTGTTGCGGTAAACAGAGCTGGTCCTGGAGAACCTAGCGACACTTCAAGAAGTGTCGTAGCGAAACCACGTTTCCGTGAGTAGACCATTATTAATAAAAGAGTCCAAATAAGTGAGATGAATTGCGGATACTGATGATGGTTCGTGCGTTATTAGTGGCTCCTCACATCGACCGGAAGAACCTGCAGAAGAAGGTCATGCGTGTCGGACAAATGCTGCGAATGGAGGCTGACATTAAGGGCGAGCCACCTCCAATTGTCACCTGGAAACACAAAAATCTGGTCCTGAAGTCAGTGGACCGCTTGAAGATCGAAAACGAGGAGTACCACACTACGTTCGTCCTCAGCAAACTCCAACGTTCCGACACCGGAACTTACACGGTCACTGCCAAAAATGACAGTGGCACCGATGAAGTTGAAGTGGAACTCCAGGTACTATTTTCATCGATCTTCTATTTATGACACGGGATGAATCTCCGAAATTAATTCTGTAGCACCATTATAGTTGTCTTTACAGTTCACAAAACTTCAGAGAACTATACGCTTCCACGAAGAAAGGATGTAGTCATCTAAGAGTTTTATTAATATTGAATGTCATGAACGAATGTTGAAGTAACCGTTTTGGTTTAACAGGTTGTCAGTAAACCGAGCAAACCGAAAGGACCTTTGGACGTATCCGACGTGACAGCTGAAGGATGCAAACTGAAATGGGACAAACCCGATGACGACGGTGGTGAACCTGTTGATCATTACGTGATCGAGCGGATGGACACGGACACAGGAAGATGGGTACCTTGTGGAACGAGCAAAACTCCTGAAGCCGATGTGACCGGATTGAACGAAGGAAAAGATTACCTATTCCGCGTAAAGGCTGTCAATCCTGAAGGAGAGTCAGAGCCATTGGAGACAACCATACCGATAACTGCCAAGAACCCATACAGTAAGATTTCCAAATCATATATAATAGTAATTTACATGAACATTAGAATCATAACGTTACGATCCTACTTTCAAAAGTACCCTGTAGTGGCAGTTTCTAAATAAAATTGTTGCGCAGGTGAGCCGGATGCACCTGGCAAGCCGCAATTTAAGGACTGGGACAAGAGTCACGTCGACCTGAAATGGACTCCTCCAAGGAACGACGGTGGAGCACCGATAGAAAAGTACATAATCGAGAAGAAAGATCAGTACGGAAAATGGCAGAAGGCTGCAGAAGTGCCAGGGAACAAGACCGAAGGCAAAGTCGGAGACCTGGTCGAAGGCCAGAAGTACCAATTCAGAGTGAAAGCAGTCAACAAGGGAGGCCAGAGCAAGCCTAGCGAGCCTAGTGACACCTTGATAGCCAAAGATAGACACGCTCCGCCAAAGATTGACCGTAGTTCTCTGAAGGACTTAACGATCAAAGCAGGGAACCACATTCGCCTCGATGTCAAAGTCACCGGCGAGCCGCCTCCAACGAAGACTTGGTTCTTAAACAAAGCCAAGCTGGAATCACAAAATGGTCTGACCATCGAGCTGGAAGATTACAAGACGAAATTCGTCGTGGCATCTGCTACCAGGGCCCACTGTGGTACCTTGACTCTGAAAGCCGAGAACGACTCCGGCAGGGACGAGGCCTCCATCGAGATTCTGGTCTTAGACAAACCGGGCAAACCGGAGGGCCCGCTGAAAGTGTCCGACGTGCACAAGGAAGGGTGCACCTTGAAATGGAACCCTCCACTAGACGATGGTGGTGTTCCCATTGAACATTACATGGTCGAGAAAATGGACACGGAGTCTGGTCGATGGATCCCAGTGGGGCGAACGAAGGAACCCAACATGGAGATAGAAAACTTGGTACCAGGGCAGGAGTACATGTTCAGGGTCTCCGCTGTCAATGCCGAAGGAGAGTCCGAACCTCTGGAGACTGACCACGGAATTATTGCAAAGAATCCATTTGGTAGGTTATTACTCCTAAAGTCTTGGGCACAAGATGTTGTTTTGCGAAAAATATTCGTTGAAGCCACGTGTTCGATATGAATTATTGTCTTTGAGATCCTTCTCCGGAAAAGCCTTCCACCATCTGCAAACCTCTCGTACGAGCCATCGGAACGTTTTCTTTCCCCAAACCCTAATCTAAATTCATTAACGTCATCGCGAATCATTATCTGATTTCTGATTACAGTAATCACCTATGGTGAATACTTGCCATTAATGCCATTTGAACTCCACCATTTTTTTTTCTAAGGAAAATGTTATGATGAACAGTCTAATTAGAGTAGAAAGACTAGAAGGCTCTTAACCATCGGAAGTTCCCTAAGGTCCAACAATTTTTTTTCACAATGACCAATAAGATGTACCAATGACAACCAATATAAAAATACTAAATTAAATTGAATGTACATCATGTTAATAATACATGAACATTAATAAATTGTTTTGCTGTGCAGATGAACCCGGTCCTCCTGGTCGTCCAGAAGCCACGGATTGGGACAAGGACCATGTGGACCTTAGATGGTCCGCACCCCAGAAGGATGGTGGATCTCCAATCACTGGGTACATCATTGAAAAACGTGAAAAAGGCTCTCCAAAATGGATCAAAGCTGCGGAGACCAGCGGTCCGGAGTGCAAAGGTCGTGCCGATAATCTGGACGAAGGAGTCGAATACGAATTCCGAGTCAAGGCTATAAACGCTGCTGGGCCTGGTGAACCTTCAGAAGTTAGCAAGCCCATCGTTGCTAAATGCCGAAGATGTAAATATCGCTCTTATTTTATCTTATTACCTAGTATCTGTATATTCAGCTCTGGACCTCTGTGAAACTAATCCACGTTCCTATCACAGTGGCGCCGAAAATCGACAGAAGAAACCTGTGGGATCTGACGGTAAAGGAAGGTGAACTGATCCACTTTGATGTGAAAGTGGCAGGAGAACCGCCACCAGACGTAACATGGACGCTGAACAACAAGAGCATCAGCCAGACCACGTACCGCAGAGTGGAGAACGTCCCCTACAACACCAAATTCTACAATGAAAAGCCGGAACGCAAAGATTCCGGAATGTACAAAATTACGGCCGTGAACCAGTACGGATCCGACACCGCTGAGGTGGAGATCACCGTTGTCTGTAAGTAACAGAAAAACGTATTTAATAAAATATGATGAATCTAATAAATCCCCGAATATATTTACGTGAGATTCTCAATTCCTCAGCAAAGCCTGGCAAACCGGAAGGCCCGCTTGAGGTATCCGACGTACACAAAGAAGGCTGCACTCTGAAATGGAAGAAACCGAAAGACGACGGTGGCGAACCAATTGAAGGGTACCTCGTGGAGAAGTTTGACCCTGAGACCGGAGTCTGGATCCCAGTTGGTAAAACCACTGGTCCAGAAATGAAGGTCGATGGACTGACGCCTGGACACGAGTACAAATTCCGCGTGAAAGCCCTCAACAAAGAAGGGGAATCCGAACCATTGGAAACATTTGGTTCCATCATTGCCAAAGACCCCTTCAGTAAGTCATTTTCTTACGTCAGCCCTTTTATCACGAATTTCATCATTTGACCCTAAAACGAAATCTCATTAAACCGAAGCTTTACTAATTATTATCTGCTTGCAGCCGTTCCTTCACCTCCTGGTGCACCAGAACCCGTCGACTGGACCGCAAACCAGGTCGACCTCGTTTGGAAGGAGCCTGTTAGCGATGGTGGTGCACCAATCACTGGATACATTATCGAGAAAAAGGACAAATACAGTACCATGTGGGAAAAGGCTCTGGAGACCAACACACCGATTCCCAAAGCTCTGGTTCAAGGTCTCGTGGAAGGTAACGAGTACCAATTCAGGGTGATCGCCATCAACAAGGCCGGCCAATCGGAACCTGGCGAGGTCAGCAAAACGTTCACGGCGAAGCCACGATTCCGTAAGTAACTATTCTCCAGAAAAACCTCTAACGACAGATCTGACAACGGTAAAAGAAAATAATTCTCAATAGAAGTGATAAAATACAGGAATGTCCAAGCTTACCGCTTCGCTTTCCCACAGTGGCTCCAAAGATCGACAGAAGAAATCTACGAGACATCACGTTATCTGCCGGCTCGACCCTGAAATTCGATGCCAACGTCATTGGAGAACCTCCTCCACACATCGAATGGCGTTGCGGTGCCATACCCCTGCATCCTAGTAGGACCGTACAAATTGACAACTCGGATTACAACACCAAGCTTAGCATCCGTCCCGTGGCACGAGGAGACAGTGGAGAATACACCGTCACCGCCAGCAATAGTTCCGGCAAGGACCAAGTCAACATACAAGTCACGGTTACCGACAAGCCCACGCCACCGGAAGGACCTCTCCAGGTGTCCGACGTCCACAAGGAAGGATGCAAACTGAAGTGGAAACGACCTCTCGACGACGGTGGCACTCCCGTCGAGTACTACCAGGTGGACAAAATGGACCCAGAAACCGGATGCTGGGTTCCCTGTGGGCGATCCACCGAGCCGAGTACGTTGTCTTCAAAATTATGTCCTGATCCCCTTCTCTTCTGTGATTTCCTGGAATATTAATCATATTGCCATCCCTAGATATCGAGGTGACTGGTTTGACACCTGGCAAGGAATACATGTTCCGCGTGGCTGCTGTCAATGCCGAAGGCGAGTCGGAGCCACTGGCCACCGATTACGCGATCCTCGCTAAGAATCCATTCGGTAAATCATCAATTCTGATTGTAACGCTACACAAAAGTCATCCTTCATGTGCAGTAATCGCATCGGTATATTTCTGTGTCTCTTCTGACTTGAGGATCTTTTCAGACGAGCCTGGAAAGCCAGGAGACCTGAGGGCTACCGACTGGGACAAGGACCACGTAGACCTGAAATGGACTCCACCCGCGAGCGATGGAGGTTCTCCAATCGTGGGCTACATCATCGAAAAGAAGGACAAATACGGCGAATGGGAGAAGGCTTTGGAGGTCCCGGCAGACCTGACCTTCGCGACGGTCCCGGATTTGATCGAAGGCCAACCTTACGAGTTCCGGGTACGAGCCGTGAACAAAGCTGGTCCTGGAGAACCGTCCGACCCGACACCGACGATCATCGCGAAACCACGCAACCTCGCGCCGAAGATCGACCGCACGAATTTGGTGGAAGTCAGGGTCAAGGCAGGTCAGAACTTCGGTTTCGACGTCAAGGTTATTGGAGAACCACCTCCAACGACGAAGTGGATCCTTGGCAGCCGAGAACTCTGGCCAACCGACAGGATCAAGATCAAGCACGTGGAGTACAACACGAGCCTCCACGTTCGCATGGCTACCAGAGCGGAGTCTGGGAAATACACCGTCACAGCTGAGAATGCCAATGGAAAGGACGTCGCTTACGTGAACGTGATAGTCTTGGACAAGCCAAGTCCTCCTCAGGGTCCTCTGAAAGTATCCGACGTCCACGCCGAGGGCTGCAAACTGGCCTGGAAGGCTCCCGAGGACGATGGAGGCCAACCCATCGAAAAGTACGTCGTGGAAAAGCTTGACGAAGCCACGGGAAGATGGGTACCAGCTGGCGAAACCGATGGACCCGAGACTTCCTTGAAAGTCGAGGGACTCGTTCCTGGCCACAAGTACAAATTCAGAGTGCGTGCCGTCAATAAACAGGGCAAATCCGAACCCCTCACTGCTGCTCAGAGCATCGAAGCCAAGAATCCTTTCGGTGGGTATTTTTGTCTACAACGGATATTCAGTAGTCAATTTGACTTTGAATACGTAAAATCATGCAGCGATAATTATTTACTACTTGCCACATTGCAGACGAGCCGGGAAAGCCTGGAACTCCCGAGATCAAGGACTACGATTCGGACTTTGTCGAGCTGCAGTGGGACAGACCGATGGAAGATGGAGGGTCACCGGTCACGGGATACATTATCGAGAAGCGTGACAAATATAGCCCTACGTGGGAAAAATGTGCCGAAGTCGAAGGCGATGTCAATCGCGGCAGGGTAAACGATCTCGTTGAAGGAACGCAGTACGAGTTCCGGGTGAGGGCCGTTAACAAGGCTGGACCTGGTGAACCATCCGATGCCACCAAGCCCCACGTTGCTCGACCGAAGAACCGTAAGTATATTCACGCAATAACTCCACACATATAACATGTGATAATCTTGAATATAAAGGACACTAAAAGAAAAGCACTTCTCTCGTTCAGGTAATTCTTTATGTCTATTAACTCTCAATTTTCATTCAGTGGCTCCGAAAATTGACCGCAAATACATGCTGGACGTCAAAGTCCGCGCTGGAGGCTTCTTCGACTTCGACGTACCGGTTATCGGTGAACCTCCTCCAAAGAAGGAATGGTCTCTGAAGGGTGAAACGGTCAGCTCAAGTGACCGCATCAAGATCACTAACGAGGATTACAACACCAAAGTCCGTATAATAGAGGCCAAGCGTTCCGATTCCGGAGTTTACACCTTGACGGCCAAGAACGCCAACGGCAAGGACTCGGCCACTCTGACGGTGACGGTCCTGGACGTACCATCTCCGCCAGAAGGACCTCTCAAGATCGACAACGTCACCAAGAGTGGATGCAACCTGGCCTGGAGGCCACCAAAGGACGACGGCGGTTCGGAGATCCAATATTACATCGTGGAGAAGATGGACAACGAGAGTATGCGCTGGGTACCAGTTGCCGAAGCAACGACCACCAACGCTCGAGTGGATCACCTGATCGAAGGTCACGACTACAACTTCAGGGTCCGAGCGGTCAATAAGCAGGGCGAGTCTGCACCTTTGACTGGTCTGGAGACCATCACTGCTAAGGACCCATATGCCAAACCTGAGAAACCTGGCACGCCTGTTGCCACCGACTGGGATAAGGACCACGTCGACCTGGAATGGGCACCACCAAAGAGGGACGGAGGGTCGCCGATCACCAGCTATATTATTGAAAAGAGACCACGATTCGGACAGTGGGAGAAAGCGGTCGAGATCCCGGGGAACAAGACCCAGGGCACGGTACCGGACCTCGTGGAAGGCCAGGAGTACGAATTCAGGGTCATCGCCGTGAACAAGGGCGGGCCAGGGGAACCCTCTGACGCGTCTGCACCAGTCGTCGCCAAAGCTAGATTCTGTAAGTTAGAATTATCTCTACGTCATATTTAAGGTGATGCGAAAGGCATCGAGCAGTCAAGGAGGCGTTGTTCAGGTGGAAGACGTAAGCTCGAACACCGAAGACTGCCAAAGCGCAATGTGCACCCTTTCGGCGCGGTTGTCTGGCGGAGCGGACTGCCGTAATGAAAGGGTTAAATTTCATTTTCAACTTGGAATGATGTATACTTACGTTTGAAATTTTCTAGGTGCTCCCAAGTTCGACAAGACCTTGTTACGGGATCTGGTGGTGCGCGCTGGACAGAAGATCAACTATAATATCCCCATAGAGGCTTCCCCGAAGCCGGTGGCTAAATGGACCATCGACGGTGTGCCTGTCGAAGCAGACACGCGTCATGAGATTTATACAACCAAACTGGAAACCGTTTTCGAAATTCCCTTCTCCGTTCGATCGGATTCGGGGCGATACACGCTTACGTTGGAAAATGAACTCGGAAGCTGCAGGTAAATGCAGAAGCGAATTTTTCTCCTATTTCGTCCGTATGGCATCAAGCAAGACCTTAAATGTGTAATATCGAATTTCAGTGCCAGCGCCATTGTGACGGTTCTGGATAAGCCTGCTCCTCCGGAGAAACCTTTGGATGTCACCGGTATCACGAAAGACAGTTGTCACTTGACCTGGCGACCTCCTCTCGACGACGGCGGAAGTCCGATTCTTCATTACATCATCGAGAAGATGGACGTCTCTCGTGGCACTTGGACAGATGCTGGGATGAGCATAATATTAAGTCACGAAGTCACACGTCTTACTCATCGAAAGGAGTACCTCTTCAGGGTTAAGGCGGTGAACAACGTCGGGGAGTCGGAACCTCTGGAGACCGCCAAAAGCATCATCGCCAAGAATGAATATGGTTGGTGCTCGCTTTTTAGATCGTAGTCTGCTTAGATCGTAGTCTAATTGTGCCCATAATTATGAAAGTGGTCTAAGTCAAAATTAAAAAAAAAAATATGAGTTTATCAGTTATTTCACGCCATATTATTTCAAACGAAATTAATTCAATGTAATTTCGAATCAAAAAATATATGACTAGACCACTTTCATAATTATGGGCACAATTAATCTCGTCAAGAGAATACATTTTTCGCACAGTACAACTTGATGTATTAACTTCAGAGTTTATTAACAGCATTTAAAATGTTAATAGTAAATTCACGTACTATTATTACTCTATTCCCAGATGAGCCAGATGCACCTGGAAAGCCACATATTATGGACTGGGACAGGGACCACGTGGACCTGCAATGGCCAGCACCAAAGAGCGATGGCGGGTCGCCACTCACAGGATACATCATCCAAAAGAAGGAGAAGGGCAGTCCTTACTGGATCAACGCCGTCCACGTTCCACCAAACCAGACCAGTGCTACAGTCCCAGATTTGACAGAAGGCCAGGAATACGAATTCCGAGTGATCGCCGTCAACGCCGCGGGACAATCTGAGCCCTCCGAGCCCAGTGACTTGGTCACGGCCAAGGCTCGCTATCGTAAGTTCTTGAAATATACCCTAACCCTTAACCCTTTTAGTGCCGAACAACGATATATCGTCGTTCACAAGTGCCAACGACTTCGGCCGGCACTAAAAGGGTTAACATACATTTGCATAACGAGTTACCTAAAATTAACGACACCTCTATCACCCCAGTGGCCCCGAAGATCAAGACTCCTCTGCAAGACATCCGCATCAAGGCAGGTCTGATCTTCCACGTGGACATAGACTTCGTTGGAGAACCCACGCCGGAAGTCACTTGGACGTTAGGAAGCAAAGAATTGGTCACAGACGCGAGGACCACGATAACCTCCATAGGCTACCACACAATTGTCCACAAAGTCAATGCGAAGAGGTCCGACTCTGGACTATACCACTTGTTGCTGAAGAACAGCAGTGGCATAGACGAGGGAAGCTTCCAGCTGATCGTCCTGGACAGGCCAGGGCCTCCCGAAGGACCTCTGGAGTACGAAGAGATCACGAGCCAGTCCGTCACCTTGTCCTGGAAACCACCAAAGGACAACGGTGGTAGCGAGATCACGTATGTAACAGCTAGTACATTTTCAATTTACATTAACATGAAAAGTACCACATCGTTTATTATAAAACGACTTCGGCTTCATTTAAATTTGTCTTTGGATACTTACAGTGGGTACGTTATCGAGAAACGCGATCTGACCCACGGCGGTGGTTGGGTACCAGCAGTGACCTATATCAACCCCAAATACAACCATGCCACGGTCCCACGCTTGTTGGAGGGCACCAAGTACGAATTCCGCGTTTGCGCTGAAAATCTTCAGGGTAGATCCGATCCGCTCAACACGGATCGGGCTGTCGTCGCCAAGAACCAGTTTGGTAAGGGCAAAATCTTAAAATCATGTATTCTTCCTATTATCCAATTTTTGTCTAATATGATCTACCGCAAAGAAGCCTAAGATTTAAATAAATTGCGACTAATCGATCGTATACGTTTAGTGGTTCCTGGCCAGCCTGGCAAGCCCGAATGCGTCGATGCTGCGAAGGATCACATCAAGATCAAGTGGACGCCACCCATCAGCAACGGAGGGTCTCCAATCATCGGCTACGAGGTGGAACGACGCGACAGAGCAACCGGTCGCTGGATAAAGGTTTCCAAAGAGCCTGTTAGAGGTACGGAGTATTACGACGACCACGTAACCGAGGGTCACCAGTACGAGTACCGAGTGTCCGCTGTAAACGCTGCCGGAGCTGGCAAGCCTAGCGAGACCTCGGCCGTCTTCACGGCTAAGCCGATGAAGGAGAAGCCCAAGCTCTACTTGGATGCTCTCATCGGGCGCAAACTGAAAGTCAGAGCTGGAGAACCGATCAAGATCAACATCCCTCTTTCTGGAGCACCCACGCCGACCGTTGTATGGGCCAGGAACAACGTTCCCTTGTCGGAGTCCCATCGTCTATCCGTTAGTACTGGTTATATCATTCTTACGTGAGCCATTCACAGGTCAATGTGATCAATTCTACTTTTAGAATTTCCTTTTTTTTTTATTTCAGTACCAAAGAAATTGCTTAATGCTTAACTTGTTATATTTATCAATTTTTTTTACTCTGTATTACGGAATTAATCGATTTGAGCAATGATCGGCTCATTTGTTACTCTTTGAGTAGGGTGCATCAGAAATTATTTAACACGTTCTATGGCGAACTATCCGTTTAGACCGTTTTATATTTTTGTTGCTAAGTAAAACATTTTTATAAAATGTTTTACAAAATGTTGGATTAACCGGTACTCTATCCCGCCTGAGAAGCGCTCGTGCAAAGGTTGCAAAATACTCTCTCAGCGCCCCAATTTTTGACAAATTTGCCTTTTTAAGAGGATATGAAAGAGTCAGCCTATGTATATCTGAGAAATGAAATCGTTGGCGAAAGTATTCTCCAAATTGGGTGTACTGATTCATTTCAAATTGTACCACGTATTTATCAGAGTTTTGTATTACCCACAATTTTACCAGTTTTACCAGTACACGTACCACAACGTAGAGTACGTACGACCCACGTGGCATGACCGGAATTATTGAAATTTTACCTGCAGCGAACGCGTTAATACAGGAATTTATAAATATTAACTTTAGAAAACAGTGTCCCGGATGAAATGATAAATGGATTGTCATAATTTCTAGACCGAGACCAAGAGCGATCACACGTTGCTGCTGATCGAGAAGTCCGTCCGGGAGGACGGTGGGAAATACACGATTACAGCAACTAATGACTACGGCAAAGACTCGGCAGACATCGAGGTTTCCGTCGTGGACAAGCCTGAACCACCCGTGGGACCCCTTCATTATTCCGGTACCACTCAGGAAACGGTTTCCCTTATGTGGAACCCACCATCCGACGATGGCGGATCCGACATCACCAACTACATCGTCGAGGTCTGCGATGCCGGCAGCGACAATTGGCGACAGGTACCTGGATATTGTCCAACTACCAACTTTACGGCCAAAGGCCTCATCGAGGGCAGGAGGTACATCTTCCGAGTACGGGCGGAGAACATGTACGGAGTTTCCGAGCCCCTGGACGGCAAACCCGTCGTGGCGAAGAGTCCTTTCGATCCTCCGGATGCTCCGAGCCAACCGGAGATCCTTGGATACACCCCCAACAGCTGCAGCCTTGCCTGGAATCCTCCCATCAACTCCGGAGGAAGACCGGTCACTGGTCAGTATCTATTTTACATATTTGCAAGTACCAAACAAGGCATACAGTAGCACAAAATATTTCTCTTATATTTAATATATATTTAACGAATATCGTACGTTTTGTTAATATTTACCAGACATTTGAAATATTTGCAAAGCGTTTACTTTAGAATATTATCTCTGTAATATTTATATAATATTAGCTCCATGTGTTTTCATAACATTTTTCTACCAGATATACAAAACATTTCGCTTCATTTTAATACAAGTATTTTTTAAATATTATCTGCCGAATACATTGTATACGTTTTAAAAATATGTAAAATCAAAATCACACATTTTGCTCCCATAATGAAATAGCGGAACGAAAATATTAGAAATATTTCTCGTGCTCCTTGATACCAAATGAAGTCTCCGATAATAGTCGTGAAGTAAAAAATGTATTTCCTGCTCTTTAGGCTACTATGTGGAACGGCGTGAGCGTGGTGGCGAGTGGCTGAAGGTGAACAACTATCCAACACCCAACACATCCTTCACCGTCCAAGATCTACACGAGGGATCTCGCTACGAATTTAGAGTCATCGCCGTGAACGAAGCTGGACCTGGAAAACCCAGCAAACCCACCGAACCCATCACTGCTGGGCACCAGCGACGTAAGTTTACATAGACATCATGAAATGAATACAAAGTAGAACGTTTCCGTGCAGGAGTCAGGTTTTCCAGTCACGAACATCTCCATGGTTTGTCCTAATCGCTTGTTCGCGATTCTAGTACCACCCGATGCTCCGGAACCACCGAAACCGGACCGCATTACCAAGGACTCGGTGACCCTGTCCTGGAGGCCACCAAGAAACGACGGTGGAGCCAAGATCAGGGGATACCACATCCAGAAGAAGGCCAAGGGCGACTCCGATTGGTCCGATGTCACCATAACACCCGTTCCCGCAAACGTCTACACCGTTCCAAGACTAACGGAAGGCGAAGAGTACCAATTCCGGGTAATAGCCGTCAACGATGTCGGCAATAGCAACCCCAGTCGACCAAGCAACCCCATCGTCATCGAGGAACAGCCCAACAAGCCTGTTATGGACTTGGGAGGTGTACGCGACATTACTGTCAGAGCCGGAGAAGACTTCAGCATCCACGTGCCATACATTGGATTCCCCAAACCTACAGCAACGTGGTTCGCCAATGACGTCATCAAGGACGAAACGGACCCTCGTGTGCACCAACAGCTGGCTGATGATTACGCTAGGTACGCACTTTGTATACGTTTTTAACTCTCATCTTCAGGTGCAGTGATATGACGAGTTGAATATATTATCAATTTAAGTAACTCAAATTGAAAAATATTGCCAACTGGAATTTCTACTCGACGGAATATGGCACGCGTCTGCATACTTGCAGTGCGGCGTGTCAAGTATATGAGCCAAAACAACTCGAATAATAACGACCAGAGTAAATGGTAACGCGCAATTGGTATCTCAGTACGAGTAGGTATAATTGAAAATTTTGAAGAAAACGGTAAGATGAGAAAAGCAATCGGTACAAATGTTAATAAACACCACCGCAACGCGCTGTTCTTAAAATATATACCATTGTGTATTTGTGTACGTGAAGTCTGCATACAAAGGTATCCGGATTTTTGTGTACATGCTTGGGAAAGTCATATACTCGTATATGTACCTTCGTGCACAATTGCTTAACAATTTTCATAGATACGATCGAAAATTAATATATAAAAGATTTCGAAATTTAGTGTGCGTTGCATTCCCTCCGAAATGCCTGTGCGTATATATCCCGAACACAACTGTGTACAACATTTTTAAATATTGTGTCTTGAAGAAATTTCGATTATATGTATACTGCATTTCGAATAGATATTTTTAACGGTGTAGTAACAGTATAATATTTAATTTCCAGTTACTAATTAGATCTGTTATTACAGTCTAGTGGTAAAGAACTCAAGGCGCTCGGATGGAGGCCAGTACAGATTACAACTGCGTAATCCTTCCGGGTTCGATACGGCTACCATCAATGTCCGTGTTCTGGACCGTCCTAGGCCACCAGAAAATCTTCGTGCTGATGAGTTTGCAGGCGACGCCCTGACCTTGTACTGGAGCCCGCCCAAAGACAACGGAGGCGCAGAGATCACCAACTATGTCGTTGAAAAACGCGAACCAAGGCAACCAACTTGGTCAAAGGTTCGTATCCTCTCTGCCAGAGCAATTGACCACATCGTCCTCGATCTCTATTTCGCCCTCGATGATCGAAGAACTCCTATGAAAGCAATTTTCTGATTAATGCCTTTCCAGGTCAGCGGATATGTGACGACTCCCTTCGTACGTGTCCGAAACTTAACCATCGGCAGCCTGTACGAATTCCGCGTCATGGCGGAAAATCAATACGGAACCTCCGATCCAGCTATCACAATTGATCCGATCAAGGCGAGACATCCATTCGATCCTCCAGGAGCTCCTGGAGTACCTCGCGGAGTTGAAACCTCCGAGGACAGCATCACCATCACGTGGACCAAGCCTCGCCATGACGGAGGTTCACCTATCACGGGATACGTAATCGAGAAACGTCTTATCAGTGAAGACAAGTGGGTGAAAGCCACCCCTGCTCATGTGCTGGACACTACCTACAGGTATTACATACATCTTTAAAAATAACTTACCCTTTCAAAGTACCTCAGAGAACCAAAAAGGAACAAAAAAGTTTCATGTACGTTTGTTGTCTTCTCAGGGTCACTGGTCTCATTGAAAACCATGATTACGAATTCCGAGTGGCAGCTGTTAATGCAGCTGGCCAAGGACCCTGGAGTGCCAGCTCCGACGCCATTCGAGCTTCTGCACCTACTTGTAAGATTACTTTTAAGTTAATTTCATCTATATCTAAGTACGTTTCATCGATAGTTGGCTAATTGATCTTGGTCTCGCAGCTGCTCCAAAGATTACCAGCGACCTTAGCATCCGAGACATGACTGTCATCGCTGGAGAGCCATTTACCATCACTGTGCCGTACACGGCTAATCCGAAACCGAAACCGAGCTGGTCCATCAACGGGGAAGAGGTCATCACTGATGACAGAATCAAGTTCGACACCACTGATGTTGCTTCCCAGTTCATCAACAAGAAGGCAAAGAGAAGCGACACAGGAAATTATACGATTTATCTGTCCAACAATGTTGGCACAGACTCTGCCTCCTGCAAGGTCCTGGTTGTCGGTGAGCCTCATGTCCCTAAATACAAAAGAGGAAGATTACAAAGGGAGATGTAGTAATACTTTCCCGTCGTGTCTATATCTGGTAACAATACGTTTCATGTTGAATAGATAAACCATCGCCTCCTCTTGGTCCCCTGGACATTTCGGACATCACCCCGGAGACCTGCACTCTTTCCTGGAGACCACCATTCGATGATGGTGGTTCGCCGATCACGAACTACATCGTGGAGAAGTTGGACCCTGCTGGTGTAAGTACAAAATCTACAATTCATTTCCTTTTAATCCTTTACTTACGAAGGGCCACTATAGGCGCCCCTCATTCCTATGTACTCAAAGTAACAAATGGATAAAAAATCAAATCACTTTCAGATCTGGGTGAAGTTGAGCAGTTTCGCTAGGAACACGCACTATGACGTGATAGGTCTGGAACCGAACCGCAAGTACAACTTCCGAGTCCGAGCGGAGAATCAGTATGGCATTTCGGATGCCCTGGAAGCGGACGAACCAATAATGGCTAAGTTCCCATTCACGGTCCCGGATGCACCGGGTCAGCCTCGAGTGACGGACTGGGACATGACCAGCATCACCATGATTTGGGCTCGACCAAGATCGGACGGTGGTTCCCGAATACAAGGCTACCAGATCGAATTCCGCGACGTCGCTGATGGACAGTGGCGAGTTGCCAATGATTATCTGGTCAAAGATACGACGTTCAACTGTTACAATCTTCTAAGTGGCAGCGAGTATGAGTTCAGGATACGCGCCAAGAACGCAGCTGGATTCAGCAAACCGAGCCCGCCGTCCTCACCGTTCAAGCTAAAGAGCAAGTTCAACGTTCCGTCTCCACCTGGAACACCGCAAGTGGTCAAGGTGGGCAAGAACTACGTGGACCTGAAGTGGGAGCCTCCGGTTTCGGACGGTGGAAGCCGCATTACAGGATACATTATAGAAAAGAGGGAGCTGGGAGGAGCTCTCTGGGTGAAATGCAACGACTATAACGTCATGGACTGCGAGTACACCGTTCTGTACCTTGTCGAACGTGGGGACTATGAGTTCAGGATATTTGCCGTGAACGCCGCTGGACGTTCCGACCCAAGCTCCTGCACGATGCCAGTCAAGATCTGCGAGGTGGAAGGCGGGGTACAGCCAGAATTCGTAAGGCCACTGGCTCTGACACAAGGAGTTCCTCTCGGCAAGATTCACGTCTTCGAGTGCGAAGCTATCGGTAAACCCATTCCGACCCCGAGGTGGTTAAAGAACGGGCGCGAGATCAACATCGGCGGTCGATTCAGGACGGAACAAATGGACGGCATCTTCAGGCTCGTCATCACCGAGGTCTGGGAAGCCGATGACGGGGATTACAGCTGCCAAGCCTCCAATCCCCTGGGCACGGCCACTACCACGGCCAGGCTGAAGATCGGAGCACCACCACGCATAGAACGTATCCCTGATGACCTGTACCTCCCAGAAGGCGACAACACCAAGATCAAGATCTACTACAGTGGAGACCAACCCATGGATGTGACTTTGAGCAAAGATGGCCGCCAGATCGTGGAGTCCACCCATATCAAGTACACCGTCTTCGACGAGTATTTGATTATCTTTATCAAGGACGTTGTCAAAGACGACGGAGGGGTCTACTCCTTGTCGATCAAGAACGACAGCGGTAGTGTCAGTGCATCGTTCAACGTCTACATCACCGGACTTCCGGGACCACCCACGGGACCGTTGGAAGTGTCGGACATAGACAGACACACGTGCACTCTGCACTGGCATCCACCAAAATACGACGGTGGTCTGCGCGTCACCCACTACGTAGTAGAGAGGCGCGACATCAGCCACACTCACTGGATAACGGTGTCCTCCTTCTGCAGAGAGACCACCTTCGTGGTGCAGGGTCTGACGGAGGGCCAGGAGTACCTGTTCAGGGTTATGGCCACCAACGAAAACGGCATGGGACCGCCCCTGGAGGGAACCAACCCCATCAAGGCCAAGGCTCCGTTCGATCCACCTGGACCCCCCGGAAAGCCGAAAGTCATCGAGGTGGGAGGCGACTTCGTCAATCTCTCCTGGGACAAACCGGAAAGCGATGGAGGCGCTCGTATCCAGGGCTACTGGGTGGACAAGAGAGAAGTCGGAGGCATCGCCTGGCAGAGGGTAAACGTCGTTCTTTGCCTACCCAACCAGATCAACATCAGCAACCTCATCGAGGGTCGCCAATACGAGTTCCGGGTCTTTGCCCAAAACGAGGCCGGCGTTGGACCGGAATCCACGGCCTCGACTTCCGTCAAGATCAAGGATCCTCAGGCGTCGAAGCCGCCGGAGATCCTGAAGCCGCTGAGGAACGTCAACTGCGTGCAGAACCACAATGCCCAATTCACGTGCACCATCACTGGAAGTCCCGCGCCTCATATCACCTGGTTCAAGGGTGCCAGGGAAATCGTTAATGGCTCGAGATACCACATTTACTCCGAAGGAGAGGTTCACAATCTCGTGATCCATGACGTCTTTGGCGAAGACGCCGATGAATACGTCTGCAGGGCGGCTAACAAGGGCGGCATCAAGTCCACCAAGGCCGAGCTCTTCATCATGACTCCACCCAAACTCAACGTACCGCCTCGATTCCGCGACACCGCGTTCTTCGACAAGGGCGAGAACGTCGTCATCAAGATTCCGTTTACCGGATTCCCCAAGCCGAAGATCACCTGGATGAGGGAGGGCGAGGTCATCGAATCCGGGGGACACTATGCCGTTGAAGTCAAAGAGAGACACGCCGTACTTACCATCAGGGATGGCAGCAAGATAGACTCAGGGCCTTATCGTATCACTGCCGAGAATGAACTTGGTCAGGATTCTGCGATCATCAAGATTCAAATCAGCGACAGACCCGATCCTCCCAGATTCCCACTGGTAAGGATTTCATTCCAGACTACAATACTCCGCTTCATTTCAATATATTAGGCTAATGCATTAGGTTGTGAGGAAAATACCTTCACAAATGATTTGACTTCTCAGATATATAGGCTCACTCTTTCATATCCTCTTAAAAGCTGCACTTCTAATGTAGCAACCTTACCCCGATATTTTGATTTACTGCTTCTTCTACACCAGGTGGACAATGTCGGACACGATTCCTTGGCCCTCACCTGGAAGCCACCGGTCTGGGACGGAGGTAGCAACATAACGAACTACCTCGTCGAGAGGAGGGAACACCCAATGTCTTCCTGGATCCGAGTGGGCAGCACCAGGTTCACCACCATGGCCATAACAGGGCTTAGTCCAGGTCACGAGTACGAATTCCGCGTCTTCGCGGAGAACGTCTACGGTAGGTCAGATCCTAGCGAGGTCACCGGTCTGATCGCCACCAAAGGGGTCAAAGGCAAACGAGAGGTCAAGAAGAAGGAGTTCGAGTACGACGAGACCGGAAAGAAGATCCGAGGTCGCAGCGACGAGAAGGTCCGCGATTACGACCAATTCGTCTTCGACGTCTACAGCAAATACGTACCTCAGCCTGTCGAGATCAAGACCTCCTCGGTGTACGATAAATACGACATCCTTGAAGAAATCGGCACCGGCGCCTTCGGCGTAGTCCATCGCTGCAGAGAGAGGTCCACGGGCAACATCTTCGCCGCCAAGTTTATCCCGGTTAGCCACGTGATGGAGAAGGAGCTCATCAGGAAAGAGATCGACATCATGAATCAGCTTCACCATCCTAAGCTCATCAATCTCCACGACGCCTTTGAGGACGATGACGAGATGGTTCTGATATTCGAATTGTATGTAGAATTCTTCATCTGTTTAAGATCTTCAGACAATTCGAATTAGTTTGAATCTTGTACTGGACAGAAAATCCCCTCCTGTAAGAAGAGGAAATTCTTCTGACAAAAGATTTTTCCTTACTACCAACAAAAGAAGTTGTAGGGTCGATCGGATCGAGTTCCTGTGTATTTCAAACGACATTTAATTTTCTTGATCGTAGATCCAGCAGGCTTTGGTTATTAATTATCATTAGATTTTCTGTGTACAAACGATTTTGAATGAAAAGTTGACTCACTTGAAAGAGTGAAAGACTTTAGAGGAATTAATCATATTTATGTACCACGGTAGAATTCGATAGATTTGCAGGAAATCCGACGTGTTCTCTTAATTCTCTGCCATCTACCGATGGATTAATTCTTACATCAACTTGGATCAACATTTATTCACCAATAATAATTTTTTATATCAAATATTAGATTTTTTAAGTTAAATGTTACATTTTATACAAGAAATGATACGACTTCCGTTCATATTTTCAATACTTGAAGCCAACTTTGTACATGATGATTTTTCGAAAAATTATTTCTACTTGACAGAAAATTGTCATTATTTGACTTGAGATACACATAATTCCTGCAAAGTCAATTTCTCCCGAGCCAAGATATTTTTTTTAGCATGAAAGGTTTAAATTCTCGAAGTACTTAGTTTCATCGAGAAAGTACATTTTTTGTCGATGGTACAGAAGGAACGTCTCAGAACGCGGGTCTAATTTTTAACTTTAACTTTCCAGCCTCTCCGGAGGCGAGCTCTTCGAGAGAATCACCGCCGAGGGTTACACCATGTCCGAAGCCGAAGTGATCAACTACATGAGACAGATCTGTGAGGCTGTCAAGCACATGCACGAGAAGAACATCATCCACCTTGGTGAGATCGATACCTGAGAAACTTGATTATAAATTACAGGTTTTAAGGTGAAGTGAAACCCCCCTCAAATCAGTCAATTCGAAGACAACACATTTTTTTAAGGGTATTGTACCAAACTATCCGAAACTTTGACTCGTGATCCTCTAATAATTGTCCTGACACATTCAACATTTGATTTTTTCTAAATGAAACCTTTTAACTTAGCCCAGACCAGAACCAAAATGGCGTCGAGCTCTCATATTTCGATCAATATACAATTATTAAAGACTCTGATATGAGAAACGAAAGGGCCGGGATAATTTTACGACAATTTAGAACACTCTGGTAATCGATAAACTCGCATTTTAACGGGATAAAGGCAAAAATAGTGTCTTATGCGCTTCTATGCTAAAACGATGGGAATACGAGGACTCGGAGAGAAAATTTAATTGACCTGGAAATCACAGATGGCGCAGGGGGTCCTTCCGCAGTCAATTAGGGCCCCAGAAAGCATAAATCCAGAGGATTTCTGGAGTTTTACTTCGATTTCTTTATAATGATTGTACGAAAACGACAGGTGGAATATGCCATTTGATACAATACCCAATATAATTCGACCCAGCTGTCGATATAAAAACGAACGTCGGGAACGTAGGTATTTAGAAAAATATTCTTTATCGACGTCGATCAAGTTCCTCGACGTGTTTCACTTCACCTTAACTCCGAACGATACGCGTTTACTAATTGATATTCATTTCAGACATCAAACCGGAGAACATCATGTGCCAGACGCGCAACAGCACGAACGTTAAGCTGATCGACTTTGGGCTGGCTACCAAATTAGACCCCAACGAGGTTGTGAAGATCAGCACGGGTACAGCAGAATTCGCAGCTCCAGAAATCGTCGAGAGGGAACCAGTTGGCTTCTACACCGACATGTGGGCCTGCGGTGTGTTGGCCTACGTACTGTAAGTATCTTCGGAAATGTAACAAACCCCTCGGAGTCATCAGGGTCTGATTCCCTTGACACCCGGGAGAAGATATGCACTTGGCTTATCGTCATTTGGACCTAACGATGTAGGTTGAGCGGGCTGTCTCCGTTTGCGGGCGACAACGACATCGAGACCCTGAAGAACGTAAAGGCCTGTGACTGGGACTTCGACGAGGAGGCATTCCGCGACGTCTCCGAGGAGGGCAAGGACTTCATCAGGAGGCTACTCGTTAAGAACAAAGAGTAAGATATAATTTTCACCTGACCCTCTGTTTCCGAATTATTTGTTATAGGCAAACAATACTTTATATTATCCCCGAGAATTAAATTCTCAATTACCGATCTATCGCACCGCCTAATAAATATAGAATAATGAACTGCACGTTTTATACGAGTTCTTAGATTATAATAATTGCGTTTGTTTCTAGTCTAGAAAAAAACCTGTGTTGTAATGGTTTTTTTTTTGGTTTACTTGAAAGTATAACCGATTATAATGAACGGTCTTTTCACGTTGAGACTGTAACATTTGTAAGACATTTGCGAGTTGAGTCTAATCCGCCTATTTTTAATATGTTTTTTATATTTTTATATGTTATATTCGTTTACGTATTTGTAAACGTTTAAACGACGTCCATGTTACAGAATCGTAATGGTAATCTAATAATCGTATAATAGACGTAATGTCAACGTTGAATTTACGGACATTAGTGCGTGTCAAACACGTTACATTGCTTCTAAACGTGTGTTTTACTATTTTATGTTTATTGGGAGCACATGGATTACGAAGTTTGCGGAGTCCGGACAAATCAGAAATTCATAAAAAAGTCATCTTATTTTTTGCAGAAAGTATATAACAGCTCACGAGTGCATCCTACACGTGTATAATAGACGTAATGTCAACGTTGAATTTACAGACATTAGTGCGTGTCAAACACGTTACATTGCTTCTAAATGTGTATCTTACTATTTTATGTTTATTAGGAGCACATGGATTACGAAGTTTGTGGGGTCTTGACAAAGTCAGAAATTCATAAAAAAGTCATCTTATTTTTTGCAGAAAGCGTATGACAGCTCACGAGTGCCTCCTGCACACGTATAATAGACGTAATGTCAATGTTGAATTTACGGACATTAGTGCGTGCCAAACACGTTACATTGCTTCTAAACGTGTATCTTACTATTTTGTGTTTATTGGGAGCACATGGATTACGAAGTTTGCGGGATCTGGACAAATCAGAAATTCATAAAAAAGTCATCTTATTTTTTGCAGAAAGCGTATGACAGCTCACGAGTGCCTCCTGCACGCGTGGTTGACAGGTGACCACAGCAATCGTACCAATCCCATCTCTAGCAGTCGCTATCTCAGCTTCAGGGACAGACTCCGAGCCAAGTACGACGATTGGGAGAAATACGTACTTCCAATTGGTCGACTTGCCGAATACTCTGCCCTCAGAAAACTCCTTGTCGAGAAGTATAGGATACAAGACACTTCCTTCGGTAGGTCGAAAATTCTATTTCCGTTCGCTCTAAATAAAATTGTTTTAAGTACCGACTTAAGTACCGGTATACCGATAATTACCGGTAACCCATCCAAATTACCCAAATTAAATATCCCAATTTGCCAAACTTCGAGATTTACCGAAGTTGCGGTATTCATTGAAACCCGGCATTTTATTCTTAATTTTGTAATCAACCAACTTTTTGTTAGCGGGGCTTACTGAACACGTGGTAATTACCGAAAGTCGATTTCTGACATTAAAAGTGTATTTTGCTTTAACCTTTCTCTTTCTATAGTCTATAGACTCAAATTACGAACACAAATGTATTACGTGCTCTATAAGTTAACGGATAGAGCCAAAGTTCCATATCTGTTTTTTGTTGCAACGAAACGAATCGCGTATTAATTAATAATGCGTTATCCAGCACTGTTTAGTGTAAAACGTATAAAACGTGTTTTTACACATTTCTTAATATCTCTCAAGCCACTTGATTTTTACCTAAAAAAAAGTACACGTACAAATGCCTAAAATCCAATTTCAGGATTTCTCTCTAACCAACCCTTCAGGGGGTGAAAAGGGGTAAAATGTGTTTTACAAATTTCTACTTGCACATCTCGCGAGCAAAGTCGCGACAAGGCATGTTAGTGATATGTATGTTGTTCTAAAGTCAATGAGACTTACTTAAAGGTCTTGACGTTTACCTTGCAGATCGCAGACAAGCTGCACCACGATTCGTCATCAAGCCTCAGAGTGCATTTGCATATGAAGGGCAGAGCGTGAAGTTCACGTGTCGTGTCATTGCTATTGCGACTCCGACCCTGACCTGGTACCATAACAACCAGGAGCTCAGACAATCGGTGAAGTTCATGAAGCGATATGCCGGCGACGATTACACCTTCGTCATCAACAGGGTCAGGGTGGAGGACAGGGGAGAATATGTAATCCGTGCTGAGAATCATTATGGATTCCGAGAAGAGGTCGTGTTCTTGAACGTCCAACGTAAGATCCAATTTCTCTAGCGCTTCCTTTTTTTCTATTATCAAACACAATGTTTTAAATGAGATTATTATTTTGTATTGTGTTGACGTATTATTTGCCATTGACGAATTATGTGTCACTATCGATAATTTCTTACCCTTTCATTGTGGATGATATGCATGAAGACAGAAAAAAGTGTCACCAAGGCGTATAGTCGCTTACGGGCATATAAAAAAATGAGTTACAGTATCCAGATGTTTATAACAGTGGGTATCACAAGGTTTTTGCTGTCGCTGAATCCGAATTTGTTGTACAAATTTCAAAATTTAATATGATTGACGGATTATGGAATTATTAAAAATTTTAAAGATATTCATATAGGAAAGTATCTATATACTAGCTCTGCCGAACCCAGAGTCACCGAACGAGGACGTGGCGATTATTTCATATTTTGGGAATTATATCATATCTTTTCATTCAATTCTGTATTTTTATTATTTCTTTTCGAAGCTACTTTATTCACCTATTTTAATATACAGACGTTAATCTCAAACATTGATTCAGTAATTTCTAAAACATTAGGATATCCATTTTTATGAAAATCCAAGTATTTTCATATTTTCACAATCCCCCATTTTCGGTCCTTATTTTAAATCTTGAATTTTTAACGTCAGATTCAGAATCAGCTACTTCAGAATCTGGAATAGTAAACTCATCATGTCAATTTGAAAACCTTTTTCTCCTCGCACACTTCTGGCACAGGAAGTTCATTTTTGCTACAGGGTGAACCCTAGTAGCACAGAATAATTTCTAAATATTTGTTTGCAATCTTTGTTAAATATCTCGAGCGACAGATTCTTTATGATTTCGTGTGGATTTCATTCGAAGTTATCTGAAATATTTGTTGAAAATCTCAATGACATGTTTAGTTTCAATAATTTATCAACATATATAGAAATTATATTTAAAAATGTATGAACATATAATANGAAATGTCCGCTAAATATTTACAAAATGTACGATATTCGTTAAATATATAGAATATATAGGAGAAATATTTTGTGCTGCTAGGGGAGAGATTAATGATTTTGTTTTTAACTCTCATCGTTCGATCTTTCAGCTATACCCAAAGAGATTCCTCCATACAAGCCGGAAGTGCAGCCACTTCGCCGAAGAGAACCTCTACCGTACCACTTCTGGATGGAAATCAGCGAGTCTGCTCCCAGCTTTACCTTCTTACTTCGACCTCGTGTCATGCAAGCTCGGCAGACGTGCAAGCTGCTTTGCTGCCTGAGTGGCAAGCCTCAACCCACCGTCAAATGGTACAAGGACCGCAAAGAACTCTCCAAGTATGAGTACACCATGACCAATAGTGACGGAGTGGTTACTATGGAGATCATCGACTGCAAACCCGAGGACAGTGGCCAGTACAGATGTATCGCTACCAACTGCCACGGCACGGACGAAACCAGCTGCGTGGTTATCGTTGAAGGTAACTTACACTCCATATTTCCTAATTTATTTAATATACTTTTGAGAGAAACCTGTACCTCCTCAAAGAATTCATAATTATTCTATGATAGGGTATGATAGGGTATGAAAGGGTAGGATAGGGTAGGATAGGGTATTCTCTGATAGAGTACCAACTGCCACGGTACGGACGAAACCGGCTGCGTGGTTATCGTTGAAGGCAACTTGCACTCCATATTTCCTAATTTATTTAATATACTTTAGAGATAAACCTCTACTATCTCGAAGAATTTATAATTATTCTATGATAGGGTATATTGTTAAGCCCAGCCTAATTTCACACATTAATTAAGAGGATATGAAAGGTGCTAAGAAATTTAATCGACGTCGATAAAGTAAAATGCATCTATACCCTTTTTGGTGGTAATGCCGTTTTGAATACTCAAGTGGTAACATAAGCTGGCGTGTCCCATTACCGACATTTATATGTATGTTGGTCTTTTACAGTCTACGTTGAGAATTATGCGAACTGAAGCGTTTCATATGTCATTTCGGTAAAGTAATGATAACAAGATCGATATAAAACTATAAAAAACGATATAAAACGATAAAAAACACGTGTTAGCCGCAGGGCAAGCCAGCATACTCTTGCAATCGTTGATTGAAAGTATTCACCACATTTTCCCGTCTGACTTTGTAATATTCCATTTCTACGGTATTCTAAATTGTTCGATCTAGGTCCTGAAACTCTCCATTTTCGATTATAAGCCTTCAAGAAGAAAAATATGAGCTCCACGTACTTGTAACAATATCAAGGGTTAATTCCATTTTTTTTAATTACACTTTTTACAGCTAGACAAAGGCTCGCTCGCGCGAAACGGGATATTGATTAAACAGCTTCCGACAAGGGACTAAACTCCTCCAGAGCGATATCTAATAATTAATAACTGAAATTTATTTATAGGAACTGGAGAGACCGAGGATCAAGCGAAATTAGCGCATGACCTCCTACATTCCGGAGGTATAATTACTTTCGAGTCTTTCTGCTCGTTTCCGCTCGAATTTCCTGCTGTGCCCCACCTATAATTTATCTAATGACTTTTGTTGGAATGTTAGCGCTAATCGTTCCTACTACTATTTATTTTTTATTGCTTTTGTAATGGAGCGATATAGAGATATAATGCATAGTGTAACGCCCCTTCGTTTAATTGGTACTTCTTCCGAGACAATAACTTTCCCGTAATTTTAACTGCCTTACAATTAAACTTTCTCTATATATTTCACGCTTGACATTTCTTAGTTGCAGGATTATCTCACGATTTAAAGCTCCCCGTAGTTGACATAATATTCCCAAAAATCACGTGACAACTATATTCTTTTTCTATTTCTTCTCGATGATATCCTCCTGGGTAAAAGAATGATCTATCAAAGCGGATGGAACCCAATTTACAAGACCAAAAGAGCATCTTCCCCTAAATCCAATTTAAATTCTTAAGATAATTTCAGAAATAATCCGAATCCGATGAGAACTGCATTTTCTGCATGTCGCGGTAGTACCTCGACAAGGGTGAAAAATATTTCAAACTGACTGATTCGTCTATAATTTCAGATCGAAAGTTCATCGAGCAACCCTTGAAGCCCGCGCCTCCACCAATCATAATAAAGAGCAGCTACAGTTCCAATGTCAATCAGTCATCGAGCAGCTCAAGTCACAACGTAACGCGTAGCTACAATAACGCTTCATCGTCCTCCTCGACTAATTACAACTCCACCTCTTCCTCGTACAAGGTGATTACCAAGCGGCAAAAAGTAATATACAAACGGAGAGGAAGGGAAGATATTGGCAATTAATATGCTTTTCGTCCTTTTAGGCCTCCACGGAAACGAGCTCTAAGCTCAATGAGACCTCTACCTCGGACAAGAGGAGTATCAAGAAATACGGAGCCAAACTGGACACGACTGGCAGTCCGAACAGATCCAGAAGCGCTACCAAAGAACTTATTCGTATGTAACTTATTGTTAGATAAAAGTAATTTCGTACCATGCACTGCACCGTTAAAGTTCTGCATACTTTTTACTTACCCGCGCTGTTAAAAGTAGTTACTCGAAATATAGTATACATGTAGTTAATGTTTTTTGGGGACTTGTATACTTTTCATGTGTGCGTGCATACGTAATCGTGTAATTTCGGATGAACCTAGGGGCTAATTTTTTGTTCTCGGAGGTGGTTGGAGGTAATGAGTCGGAATTCAAAGTTAGATTTCGGAAATTCCAATCGATGATAGATCTAAAGCTCAAAGGCTGATTAGTTAAATAAACGGCCGTACGAGCGCTTCCTTCGCTATCGTGCGAAGCCAGGGGAAAAGCTGGTGTACACTGTACGTTAGACATTTTTAACGGTGCAAATTTGTGGAGTGCAGCAGAGGAATAATTGTTAATAACATCCACCGTTTGAAAGTAAGGATTTGAAACTGCAGGAGTCTATAATTAATATTTCTCCCTCAGTTCCTCCCGATGACTCGTTAATGAGAGCTCCAGAATTCGCCACAAAGCTGAAGGACCTGACGATCAATGATGGGGAACAATTAGAACTCAGCGTGAAAGTCGATGGAGACCCAGAACCCCAGGTTACCTGGACAAAGAACGGCAAGGTAAAGAAATTCTAAACAATTCACAAACCTAAGTCAATTGTAATATAAATAAGGAATGAAGTGAGGCAATTTTATTCTGAATTTTTAGGCATTAAGCTCTTCGGAAGTGGTCGATTTGAAATACAAGAACGGCGTCGCGACACTGACGATCAACGAGATTTTCCCTGAGGACGAGGGCGAGTACACGTGCAAAGCAACGAACAGCATCGGCACTGCAAGCACTTCCTGCAAATTGACTGTTAAACGTAAGTAAACTACAATAGTATTGGTACTGATTTAAAATTTGGATGAGAAACCAATACTAGAACTTTTCTATAGTGAAAAATAAGCGTGGGTCTTGTTACCCACGTAGGTCTTATTACCCTAAGGAACCTTACATTTCCATATGGATATTTACTGCTCTTTTCGATTATTAGGAAAAGGAATCGATTTTGGCTACTGTCAACCCTGCGAGACCCCTCAACGGGGGTTTCATTAACGTTAGGCTATCTAAAGTTATGAAACAATATAATGACCGATTTATACCCATCGATTTTAGCAATGGAACACGCATCCGGGAAGAAGAAGAAGAAGAGCGACGACAAGCCACCCAAAATCGTTGACCATCTGACGAGCATGTTCGTGAAAGACGGCGAGACGGTGACGCTAAGTTGCCGCATCATCGGCGCCAAGAAGTTTGACGTTGTATGGCTACACAACAACAAGGAGATCAAACCCAGCAAAGACTTCCAGTACACAAGCGAGGCCAACATCTACAAGCTAAACATTGCCGAGATCTTCCCCGAGGACGCCGGCACATACACGTGCGAAGCCTTCAACGATGCTGGAGAGAGCTTCTCTTCTTGCACTCTCAACGTCCTTGGTAAGACGCTTTCTTCTTTTTCGTTCAGAGCCAGTTGTTTTCATTTCTGCCACTTTCTTTAATTTCATATTTCTTATCGCGTAGTTCCAAACGAGGAACCCAAGAGCCCAGTGTTCACGACATTCCCGCAGTCGGCTACTGTTAGCGAAGGAGAAATGGTTAGCTTCGCCTGCCAGACTGAAACCACGCCACTGAAGGGTAAGCCCTGGAATCATTCCGTCATTTAACAGTCTTAAAATTGTATAAATCAGCCAATTGCAGTCAGCCTCATCATGTTCGTGCTTCCCGGCAAAAAGACTTGAGTAGAGCAGGACTAAAAATGTCACAGTTACAAAGAAAAGATAACAATTTTTCTTTCCTTTTCAACACCTGATTTTTCCTACAAGCCCAAATAACGCAGCAGGAATAAATTTTCTGCAAATCTTAATTTGATTCCATTTACGTAGTATACTTTGGATTACTTGTCATTCAGTACAGAGGAATATATTTCGACTTTTAGTTCCTCCTAGTTCCGGCAAGAAATACCAGTCTTTTGTATTCCGTTAAGTGGATTGAGTTATAAATTCATTTAATTCCTTCCAGTTCCTAAAAAACAATGTCTGTATTAAATTGTCTTGAATCCTTCTGAAGTATAAGTTTGAAAACTTTAATTTCGCTTCATATATCCAAGAGACAGGTAGGGATTGGATTTCGCTGTTCTTTAATCGTCAGCGACATAAAAAGTAAAGAAAAAAATCAGGTATTCACTGGAATTAATATGTTTTTTCATTCTGTTACCAGTCTTATTACCGGGTTACGTTAGAGAGCCATGTGTCTAAAGTACTTTTTAGGGCGTTAACCCAACGTTTATTTCCGCAGTAACGTGGCTGAAGGATGGTAAACCCATCGACGAATCGAGCAGCAGATACCTCTTCAGCTCGGATGGTGACAAGTCGTACGAGTTGAAAATCAAGTCTTGCACAGCTGGAGATGTCGGCCAATATGTGGCACGAGCGATCGGCAAGAAGGGCGAAACGAACGCCGCGTTTGCCCTCAACGTCACCAACCCCGGCGACCTTTGAGAACAACCATAACTTAGACATCGCATATTACGACGATCGCACGATCATACGGCAAGGTAAACGATCACTGTACAATGGCGGACATGAATGCCTGCCCTGCAGATACGGCATCGCCTGTGCAGGATGGGAGGGCATTGATGTCTCCCAGTGTACAATGGCGGACATAAATGCCTCCCCTGCAGATACGGCATCGCCTGTGCAGGATGGGAGGGCATTGATGTCTCCCAGTGTACCTGCCAGGAAACGTTGCAATTACCCCCTATTTTAGTAAAGATAGAATGTAAAAGATTAAGGTCCTTACTCATATCTCACTTTTAGCGTTAAGGTGAAGTGAAACCCCCTCAAATCAGCCGATTCGATTAAAAAACTTTTTTTTAAGGGTATTGAACCAAACTGTCCGAAACTTTGACACGTGACTCGTAATCATCTAAGAATTGTCCTGGCACATTCAAAATTTGGATTTTGTGAAAACAACTCTTTAACTTAGTCCTGACCTAAACCAAAATGGCATCGAGCTCTCATATTTCGATCAATATACAATTATTGAAGGCACTGATATGAGAAATGAAAGTGTCGGGACAATTTTACGGTGATTTAGAACACTCTGGTAATCAATAAACTCGCGTTTGAATACATTTGAACGGGATAAAGGCAGAAAAGTGTCTTATGCGCTTCTATGCTAAAAGGGTGGGAATACAAGATCTCGGAGTAAAAATTTAATTGACCTGGAAATCACAGATGGCGCAGAGTGTCCCTCTGCATCAATCTGATCATCTTTAATTAAAAGACGTTTAAAAGCGCTGCTAAAAGTGCGATATGGGTAAAGGCCTAATTGTCGTACTTATATTGTGGTGTCACTTGCTGTGTACATCACAGCATGACACGTACACCAGTTAGCCAGATAACTGGAAGAGTTCTAATTGCGGTAAGTTACGTCAGAAACGGCGAGAAATTCCTGGTAACTTATCGGTAATTTCCCCAAAGCTTTTTTTTTTATATCGAGAAATTATGAGAATTTTTACGATAGAGCGAAGGAGAAGTTTTACCTGTAGAAAAACATCGGAGAGGGGGAATTTCCGTTGTTTCGAAAATGAGTGGATTTAACGAGTTTACGTCATTCCTTTGCAGCCTCCACGAGAGCGCAACGAAACGTATACACGAGCAGTGACCAAAACCAGGAGCCGAAACAAGAAAGCAACGACGCGAACGGCCAGGCGGAATCGTGTATAAAAATCGCGGAGAAAAAAAAAAAGCCCGAAGCAAGAAAACCGAGGAATCATTTAATCTCGTTACTTGTATAAATCGTTATGAAACTTTGTGTTATCTTTCTCTTTTCTCTTCTGTGTGCTTCTCACATGTTGCAGCTCGTCGTGCCATAAGGAGATCTTACACGGCGCAACCACTGTATCGACATGTCACGGATAGCAAACGCAACATTAAACGCTACGAATTGAGCTTTGCTGAATGCACACGCACGGACATACGTACGATGCGCACCGAATACGACAATTGGCGTCATTACCGACCGTCTACCAAATACCGTCGACCTGAGAGTACTATAAAATAGTTCTGGACCGGGTACATGTTCAAACTGCCCACAACTTGGTGCAGCCATTCGACGACTACCCTGGTTACGAAACGGTGCAACCGTTGAATTACTCCCACGAGTTTAGGTGCAGGGTTTAGCAATTGACTTCCATGGCTTAGACGGCGTGGAGAAATGAGCGTGCACGTATTTGGTAGATGGTCCGTAAACGGGGCAGCTATAGAAGTCGAAGATGCGCCACGGCACGTGCCGACGGTGCCGATCTCGAGGTCGGGAAGAGTGCCGAGTTCCGGACGAGGTCTCCCAGCATCCTCGACGAACAATCCGAACATCGGGATCTCGTTCGGGACTTCTCCTCGAGCCCGCCGCGTTGTAAAATTAACGAGTACGCCTCGAGCGCCCCCGCCGGTACGTGTCTCTTATTCCATATAATCGTACGCACTGTCGTGTTCTAATTTGTTTGAAGACTGCTTCCGTTACAAAATGTACGATAAATAAAACTTATCATTGAGAAAGTCGTCGTTTACTCGCAATTGGTCCCCAAGTGACGTTGGACTCTTCGCGGTACTCCTGGACGTACTTCTATTCTACCTTCCTTGTTTGAGAACCCACTTAAAACCGATCATCTGCATGGGAAACAATAATTTGGTTACAATTACTATAGCGGTATGGTTAAAATACCGTGGGAAGTGGAACCACACAAATGGTAAAATTGACCTTATGGAATGGTAAATGTTACCTTGTCGATAGGTACTGTATCCATGGTGCTGCGCTTAAATGGTGCAGAAGTGATCAACATTTGGAATGGTAATATTAACCATATGAGGTGGAATATGAATTATATGAAGCACTGTAAAATAGAAGATTTATCTGGTAGCTGTAACTACACTTATAGTAAGATTTTGCAAGTTGCAAGGTTATTCCAAACTTGCCTATGTAATTGCAGAAACAATGGTTCGGCACCATTAGTTTCGATAGAAACGCCGGATACGTTCCACGCAGGCGATGCAGACTGCAATTAAATTTTTGCTCTAAAAACATGTTACCCACGAGACAAGCTCTTGCAATTGTTGGTGAAAGTACTTTCCATATTTTCCCATCTAACTCTGTAATATTCCATTTTTATGGTATTATAAATTGTTCAAGCTAGGTCCTGAAACTCTTCACTCACCACGCCATGTTGGTTCTAGTCCATGATAAATAAAATTTGTAGGAAAAATAAAATTTCATGAGTTTCAGGACCTACTTTAGGCCCTCCATATTTACATGGTAAAATTTGAAATGAATCGGTACACCCAATTCGGAGAATACTTTCGCCGACGATGACCACTCAAATATATATTTAGTGTGACTCTTTCCTATCACCTTAACTAACTGCCTTCTCTTCATAATATGCGATAGAATAAAATTATATATGTCCTCATTACATATAAACAACGGTACACGATTACTTGACGTACACATAACCAACACTGCAGATCATGCAGTACACCTGGACTTATACCTATAATCAAATGAAAATATTTTCTTCGTTTGTGCATTATCTGTCACATAATGCACGAACCCAGTAATTTTTATTTAGTACATAAAAGTGATAAGCAATCTAAACACATCATAAGTGATAAATCTCTGCACCATAAGAGAAACATTCAATGTTTACAAAGTTTAAGAATTCTATGGTGTCACTAATGGTTAGTACTAAATATCGATTCCATGAGTTATTCATACAATGTTTATCAACTTACATTTTCAATTAATGTGTAACTTGACGATACAAAGAGGCAGGGTTAAGAATTTTTACGTTCCGTGTAGGATATTTCAGCTCCTTCTTCCCAAATTCTTCTGTAACGCATTTTTCTGGGACACCTTCTTCATTTAGAAGTACATCATAAATTGCACTTTTTGTAAGATTTAAGTAGTAAGTATCCTGCCAATATGGTATGCTCGCAGTAGGATGCACTGTACTAGTCCCATAATTCCCTACGAACAGTTATGTTAATTGATGGTAACTTTTACAAAAGTTGTATATAACTACACTATAATTATATAAATACCGAAACGTTCTCTGGTCATTAGAAGACGAGCAGTTGAAGGCCATTCGTACTCATTGGCACCCACATAAAATTCATTTGGTATAAAGCTCATTATCAGGTACATAGAGGGAATACCTTCAGATGATGACCATTTATTATCACATTGGTGATACGTATAAACATAGCTCTGAATCCCAGGAGGACCTCCAACTTTTTCAAAAGGAAGTGGTGGGTTTGGAATATCCGCAGCTTGTGTCCATTCTCCTTTAAATGAAGTTGTTGGTTAATGTTTTAATCGTCGTGGTTTCGGATAAAGTTCCGAAATGCACAAACGTCCGACTAACTTGAAACTTCATATACCTATGTATGTTGATTCGCTGAGTACGTATATGGCAGTGAAAATTGACGCAAATGTCATCGTCCAGATAAAAATAATTTTTAATAATGTTTACAGTTTTCTTACATTGTGGTTAATACTGATACATGAGAAAAGAAGTTTCAGATAAAAGTTCTAGCTCTTGAAAAAATACATCTTTTATGTCTTATACATTCTTTCCCTAAATCGTTGTTTATAAAAAAAAAAATGAGATACATTCCTGAATTACAAAGATATGTTTGACTGTGAGAGACTATTTGGTGCGGTGAGCACAATGCGTGACATACAGTACTACCAACTTTTACGAAGGCAGTAAATTATAAACGATGCACTTATTCTCTGTTAAGTGAAATTTGTACTGCGGCAGCCCATACCCTAGAAGTATAACCTACTGCTATCTATATTCCAGTTATTCATACATTTGTAATTCAGGAATATATCTCTTTCCTCGAAAAATAAAGATTTTGGAAAAGAAATCTGTAGATGAAATTGCATCTCAAACATTTTCTTCTTAAACTTATAAAATTCGAAGTACTGTAACAGAAATTTTGAAATGATTGAAGAGTGAACATCTTCACCTTAAAAATGACATTTGCTGATCTTCACTGTCACATTCGTAAACACCAAGTCAAAATACATGGGTATAAAAAGTTTCGAATTAATCAAAAGTACGCACCTTTCTGAACTTCACTCATGGTTTCTACACACTCATCTTTTATGGAATTAACATATTTAGAAAACTGAACAAAGACAAACCTGTATGTATATTTAGAACGTCTATAGTCGTAAGTACTGTTTTCTTCTCTCCCAAACCACCCAATAACATTAATTTGTTTGCCATGAAAAAGGCTAGCATATCTTTACGGGGACGAGGCAGTCTAGAATCAACTTCAGTTAAAAAACTAGCATATGGTATACTGTAAAAGCATGAAGCAGAATAATACAATGGCACCACCTTGCCACATAGTATAACTTCTCGGACAATGTACAATATCGCCAGATATCCATATTAAATTTTTCCAAATCCGAACGGCTGGAATCGTATACTCCGCCAACAAAATATATACTAAATCCTAGATGAAAATAAATCAGAATTAAACGCAAAGTATTAATAAAACAGAAAAACAGTTCGACTAAGTGTATTAAATCAAGTGATAGAGTATATAAAAACAGAATACCTCGTCCTACAACTTCCATTCCCTTGATTTTCTCAAATGGAACTGTTATATTGTTCAACTCATATGTAACAGTACACGATTTCTTATAATCCCAGTAATAAAGATTCCATCTCTCCTTGTTCTTCAAATTTTCAGAAGTAATTTCCAAAGACAATATGTCTATGTCTGTTGATTCTAGGCATACATCCACTACTACAGGTTCCAAAAATAATGAACATGCAAATGCCATTTCTTCATTTCTAAATGGATCGTATGAACTCCACTCGCAATTTCCAGCAGATACATAGCCATAACGGCCTTCTTTATAAAGTTGCCCTGAAGTGTCCTTGTATCTTATGACAGGTTCCTTCGCCTTTTTCAAACGTTCTGTTCGATTCGAAATTTCACTCGTCAACTAAAATTAAAATGTTATTACATAGTTGTTTCATCTTAAATAATTAACATACATATTCAATAAAGTATTATTTGTTCATATTAATTCTCTTAGCGATTTATATAGTGTCACTTACATACCTTAAAGAAGGATTTTATCAACTTACATTCTCTCCGTCATTGTTCTTTTCAATCCATGCTTTTGTCACAGAGTGTAAATGATTGGCTGTAGATCTAATATTAACATTTCTAATCAGCTGTAGAAATTTTTCTTTTGGTAACTTTAACAGAGCATTCATTGGAATTTCCATAAATCTGTCTAGGCAAGCGGCAAATGCAACATCTTTCAGTTTTGTGTAATTCATTTCCTGAGTTAATAACCAGAGATCGATTACTATTTCAGGCTCCAACCAATGGTGGATTAATACGTCCATTACATCGCTGATGAAACTGTCCACCATAAAGGTAAAACCAAGTTCTAATAAAGTCAAAAGAGGTGTAAATGATCCATGGACATATTTTAATAAACTTTTGTTAATAGTGTGACCATCATCGAATTGCGTTGTTTCATTGCTACTTGTCCAATCAACAAAATCCTGAAATAGAAATGGAAAGAAATAAAATGTAAATTGTGTTCATATTTTGACTACACTTTCAATACCAAAAAAACGTCCGCTAACCTGTAATGTTCCCGGCTGGAAATCATAATTAATGTCAAATTCCTTTTGAGTAGAATCACAGAACTTCTTAGAGAATAAACATTGAAAATAGCGACTCTTACGAGCCAGTTTTTTTTTGGATGCCAAAATACGATTATCACAAAGGACCAATGTAATGGTATCGTCATCGGGCAATGTATTATCTCCCATTGTCTTAAAAAATCCTAAGGGAATCCAAAATTTTATTTCACACTGACGTATGAAGTTTTTTTTAGTCTCTTAATAACCCAAAATTGTTTCAAATGTAAAGAAATTCACAGATAAGAAAATAAATTTTTTACTCACTTTTAACCTCTCTTATTAACAAACTTGTGATTCACCTTGTCTTTAGTTTATAATTTTTTTTCAGTTAGTATAAAAGTCTAAAATAAAAAAAACAGACAATAATCTGAAATATCTTTTAACTCCCAAGTCACTGCAGTACTTTCCTCAACTTTCCTGTAACCTTCAGGACACCGACTACAACCGGCTATGACTGTTCCAGGCTGTTCTGACTGGTTCTGACTCTGAAAATGTGATTCAAGTAGTGAATCATAACGTACATATATTTATGCATATGTATATTCTGGTCCAATCTTTCAGCACATTCTGGAATGAATTTATTTTAGGTGTCTGGACTTTCTACGCTTCAAAGAAAATTATGAATTCAGGTTAAGTTTTTCCTGCTACCATACATGTTAGTAACATTTTTAGCTGTTTTGAAATGATGTGGATGTTCCAACCGGTTATTTATTTCATTACAGCCGGATTCTGCAACTCGAGTTAAGTTTCGGTTAATCCCAGTCTTCGACATTAATCCCAGTTCAGCAAATCTCGAGTTTAAACTAAAGCCCGGTTTCACAACTCTGCTTAACTGAAGTTTAATTGGTTCATACCAGGTTTAAACCAATTACGAGTGAAAAAAAATTGACCTTCATATGAATCTTTGGGGATTTATTAATCCCTATATATCATACATGTCTTAACGTGAAATATTTCGCTCTATAGATTTTCGACGTCCGAAATAGCTAATCTCAATTGGAAAAAAAAAACCAGTTGACTGTGAAAAAGGTAATTCATTAAAGATTCAAGGTCACCACCGAACATCCTCCAAGAATCTATAAATATCATAGCAAACATTTTTTTATGTTAGGCACAGTTAACGAAGCATTCCCCTGTATAAATTAAAATGGAACACCCCGTATATGTTTTTATTAATATTCGTTTCATTTAACGCAACTTAATATTCTTTCTTTCTTTTAAGTTTACCTATATAGATAATGAGTAAATTAAATAACTGACTACTGTCAAAGAAATCAGAAGTCTCCATACAAGCCCAGAAGGATACGGACGTTCGATGCTCGATAAATAGTATGTTAGCCAACGAATGGCGGCGCTGTAATCATCCCTCCATCTCTCTTAATCTTATGGCGATATACGGCGAATTACATTCTTTCTTTACCTTACATCCAATACTCGCCTTTCTATATGCGTCTCTCTTTCTCCCGTATGTGAGATATCGCAGGTAAACACATGCAATCTCTCTTTTATCTCCACTTCTGGTTTGTTAACACGTTCCCTGCCGCGTGGGGCGTATACGCCCCACAGTCTATTTATGACAGCGTACTCGTCATTTGTTTCGGCACTGACCGTGTTAACCAACTTTTAGAGCATCAAACGCTAACATACGATCTACGCATCTATGGGACTTCTGAATTCTTTGCTACTATTCTTACTATGCTTCATAATAAAAATATGTATATACTTATTTGACTTAAAAACTGATACAAGATTAATTGATGTATACAGCATCAAAATTGCGTATGTGTAAAGTACATTTTTTGCATCTGAAATTAAATTAAGATATTTTCTTCAACTGTTACATGATGCACGGAGTCAAGAATTTATATTTAGTACATATAATAAAGAGTATAAATAAGCCCTTAACGATAAATTACTATGGTATACTATAGTGTTCACAAATTTGTCAGAAATTCTAATTCAATTTTTAGCGCTATTGAAATGTATTAAGGTGAAGTGAAACCCCCTCAAATCAGTCGATTCGAATACAACACTTTTTTTCACCTTAAAAACCGCATATTCATTAAATTGATGCAATTCTGACCAACTTATAATTTCAGCCAAACTGGCGGTACAAAGATGCAGGATTTAGAATTGTTATCAACTCTGTGGGGTATTTCTGGTACATCTTCTCAAATTCTTCTGTAATGCACTTTTCTGGGATGCCCTCATCATTTATTGGTATATTACGAGTTGCACGTTTGTCAGAATTCAAGTAGTAAACCTCATACCAAAATGGTACACTTGCAGTAGGCTGTACTGTATTATCCTCATCATTTGCTGTGAACAGTTCATAAATTAATTGAGGGTAATTTAAACATAAGTTGTACACAATTACAGTAAAAAACTGTAAATACCAATGAATTTTCTAGACAGTGCAAGATGAAGACCTGAGGGCCATTCATAGTCATTAACATCATAAAAACAATCCTTTGTTTTTATTCCTAAAGACGTGCTAACTTCAGTTAACCATTTGTTATTACTTTGGTAATATTCACAGACATGGTCGCAGCGGTAGCAAGGATCATCCTTAAAAAGCAGTGCATTTGGAATATCTGCAGCTTGAATCCATTCTCCTGTAAACTGAATTGCTTACTACAATATCTCTGTGATTTCTACAAACACATTTTTCACTAAATTAGCACATTCATAAAATTGAATCTCGTCAAACCTGTATGTATATTTAATACATCTACAGAAGTGAGTATTGTTCTGTTCTCATCCAAGCCACCCACTAACATTAACTTGTTTACCATGAAAAAGGCGAACATATCCTTACGGGGGCGAGGTAGTCTAGAACAACATTCAGTAAAAATACTGACATATACACTGCATAGATGTGAAGTAAAATAATATTATGGCTTCACCTTGCCACATAGAAAAATTTCTCGGATAATGTACAATATCGCCAAATATCCATATTAAATTTGCCCAAATCTGAACTGTTGGAATCTGAACCGTTGGAGTCATATACCCCTCCAACAAAATATATACTGAATCCTAAAAAATTAAAATCATAAACGGAATATATTAAAACAGATTAAACAAGAATATTAAATTAAGTGATATGATGTATGCAAAAACAATACCTCGTCCTATAATTTCCATTCCCTTCATTTTCCCGAAAGGAACTGTTACATTATTCAATTCAATGGTAACAGTACTTGATGATGACTTATCCGTGGAACAAACATACTTTGTCACCTTGTTTTTTGAATCCTCAAAAGTTATATGACAACTCAATATGTCTAATTCTATTTGATCTGGTGGCATGTCCAATACATATGTTGAATGTGCCCAACGGGGTGTATTAATTACACAACGACGTCGTCCAACGTAAAATTCATCTTCACCTGAAGATGAATTTTCATCATATTCATTATTTTCATAAAGATTAAATTTAGAAACATTTTCATTATGTTCCCTTATATTCCTTGAGTATCCTTCAATGACTTTCCTTCGCTTCAAATATTCTGTACGATTAGAAATTTCATTCAACAACTGAAATAAAAATGTTACAACATAATTGACTCCCCTGAAATCATTAACACATTTTTTAAGTATTACTTGTTCACCGGTGAACATGAATGCCTTTATATCATATAGTGGTAGAATATCCATAAGGAAAGCAATCATGTTCATCAGTGTTTGTACAAATTCTTTTAATGAAATATACAATGACATTTGCACAGCTTACATATACTTAAGGATTATATATATAGTGACTTACATTCTCTCCATCGTTGTTCTTTTTAATCCACTTTTTTGTCACAGAATGTAAATGGCTGTCTGAGGATCTAATATTAACATTTTTAATAAGCTGTGTAAATTTTTCTGTGGATAACTTTAAAAGAGCATCTGTAGGAAGTTCCATAAATCTGTCTAAGCAAACAGCAAATGCAACATCTTTCAATTTCGTATAACTTATTTCCTGAGCCATTAACCAAACATCGATTACTATTTCTGGCTCGAACCAATGATGCACTAATACATCCATTACATCTCCAATTAAACTATCTACTATAAAAGTACAACCAATTTCTAACAGAGTCAAAAGAGGTAAATATGAACCATTAACATATTTTGATAAACTTGTCTTAATGATGTGACCATCGTTAAATTGTATTGTTACGTCGCTATTTGTCCAATCAATAAAATCCTGAAAGATAAACAAGAAATAATGAAATACAAATTACATTTACATTTTGACTAAATTTAAAATCCTAAAAAGATGTCTGCCAACCTGTAATGTTTCCAACTGAATATCGTAATTAATGTCTATTTCTTTTCGAGTAAAATCACAGAATTTGTCAGAGAATAAACATTCAAAATATCGACTCTTACAAGCGAGTTTTTCTTTGGATGCCAGGATACGATTGCCACAAAGAATCAATGTGATGGTATCATCGTTAGACAATTTCTCTTCCGTTTTTTTTAAAGAACCTATGGGAATAACGAATTTTATCATACAATTGTTTTCAATTGCCGCTCAATTATATGGAAGCTGCTTTAAATGATAGCTCTCTATCTCTGATGATAGAGAATTCCCCAAAAAAATTAATTTCTTACTTAGATCCTGTCCTGTTAACAACCATGTTATCCATTTTTTGCAATTTCTGTGCATCATTCCGTCTTAATCAGTAAAGGAATTTAAATTCAAAAGGGCAGAGAAATATCTTAAGTACCTTTTAACTTTAGAATTGCTCAAACTTACTGTAGCACATTTACACATGCCTAGGTCCGGTTCAACAGTACGAGTTTACCGGAGTTTAATTGGTTCACAGCAGGACTAAACCGAGTGTAAACCTGCTGTGACCCAACTAAACTCGAGTTGATCGGAGTTTAACTAGTTTAGGCTTAATTTCACCACGGATCTAAGATTACATGAACGAAGCCTAAAGTCCAATCTCAGACCACGGTGGGAAGCCTGGGCGTCGGAAAGAGAGGTTATATCTGTGTGTACATACGTTAGCCGCCCGAACCAACCAACAGGGGGCAGCACTGGCCGCGATCGCGCGACCCTGCTCGTTAGTAATCTCTTAACTCACCTCAGGGGGTTTATTATGTAAAGCAAATTGAGCGAAAATGTGAAAAATAATTACTGACGGTATTACGAAACGTTTTTGATGGTGAAAATACGAGACCATTCATGTAAACTGGCTCGGCACAAATTTTTAATCCCTTCGGACGATCCATCCGAAGGGATAGTCACTCAAAAAATCATGGATTGTAACGCTCGAAATCAATTGGAAATCGCAAGTCGAGATTACTAGAAATCGTTGGAAATCACTAAACACTGTTACAATTTTAAGGCCGAAGGTCACTTACAGAGCTTGTTTAAACAGGCTTTAAAATCTTATTCATCTTTTGATAAGAGAAATTCACCTCTGACGGAAATTTCTTCGAGAAAGGCAATAAAGCAAAAATGGAAATATTCGTCAGTCGTCGTAGAAAATGATGGCGACCATTGGTGTTTCAAAAATACGACTGCTCTCTCCTTTGTCATTTCAATTGCAACAGTGTGCAGAAGGATCTTAACCAGGAAACACCAATAGGAGTCCGAAGAAAAATAAATTTTGACGTCTCTCTCCGCAGCGGGATCGCAAGGGGCTCAATTGCGAAAACGATTTCTCAAACCCCTCGTCGCCATACTTCAGAAATTATATGTGACGTCGACGAGAGACCTCGACAGTTGCTCATTGGCCTGCGTCGTCGCATATGATTGTCAGTGAGTAGTCAAGGCAGTTCATTTCGAGTGTCAGTCTATTCTCCAAGTCTATTCACGGTCAGGGACGTGCTCACATTCTTTTCTATGAGTGTGTTTCTAGAATGAAAGATTTCATGTACAGTGGCGGACATGAATGCCTCCTCTGCAGATACGGCATCGCCTGTGCAGGGTGGGAGGGCATTGATGTCTCCCAGTGTACGTTACGGTATGCAATAAGAAATTCAGAACAATAAGTGATCGGGATATTACCGATACCGTCGAAACAAATACGGCAAGACTGCCTCTTTCGTCACAACCTGAAATACTAATTTGTACTTAAAATTATGCCGTTGTAAAATAACAAATAATAAAAAAGCCTAAGGTGTTTTCCATTCGCACGAAACATTTTCGGACACGATATTCTGTAATCCTTCCAGAACTCTTTTCGGATATTCTTACTCTTTTCGATTTCAACACTCGTTTACGCTTTCAGTAATTATATTGCTCTTTTGCGGCAGTTAACCCGGGGATTTCGAAAAATCGAGAATCCTGATTCCAATTGTTATTTCTAAACAGAAAGTTTTAGTAGTTTTTACAATTTTCCTTTTTATGTCATCCGGGAGAGATCCTGGTCTTTGAACAAACATTCCGTTTGGATCGTTCGATACGCTTAGAAGATATAAAATACTTTTGAAACTCTATGAAACCAAAAACCTTTTATTCTTTTATCGTGACCGGTCTCTCTTCCTCATTTAAGCACCCTCTACGAAGCTAAATCAAAGGCGTAATTCTACATCAAACTCTCCGAATTAAACTTTTATTCTCTCTAGATTCGATCGAGTTTGTCTTGAATCTTCGAACAATCGTTGAACTTACTTTGATCCGGAAGATGATTGGCATGAAATTTGTTACTCATCCTCGAAGTTGACATTGATGCTACCGTGTCAACTTACCAAACTACATTGCTGCACTGCTAAAAAGTATTCATAAAATTCCTACACTTTTAGTACATAATGTCGTAGTAAAATGACAAATCTTATATCTTGAAACTGAATTACTATAGACTTATTACAGATCCCCAAATAAATTTATAATTTTACAACATCCTGTTAAAATTTTGTTAAATTGGGTAGGAAATTTAATACATTTATATCATAACCATATGTTACAAATTTGATTCGAAAATATTATAAAATTAGTATTGCCACATCTGAGTGAAGCTGTCAACCAAAATGTCATAAAATTACAATATCAGACAGAGAAATTACAATGTCAGAAAATTACAATATCTTAGGAGGGTAACTTTGCCGAGAGGAAAATAGAGAGGAAAGGTATTTCTCGGAAGTAAAATATATGGTGAAATAGGTGTTATTTTCTGCGTACCCAATGTCTGCCGTGGTCGAAAGTCTTTCCAGCCCTCTTTCTCCCTCACAACGGGCAGAGATCTGAAATGAGTATTCCCGGTGCGAAATGAGTATTACGACGCCTCGTGATATGGCTGTACGTATGCAGCACTTTACAGCACTTGTCCGGAAGTGTCTTCGGTTGGTCTTTTCGGCCATGGAGAAAGTTTCGGGTCTATAAGAGAGTACCATCTCCGGTAGGTATTGACTTAGCGGAAGGTCATTGCCAAGTAAGCTTCGTAAGAGTCGGTGCATCGTCGGTGTATCGCGTCGCGAGTTTTTCATCTTCTTGGCGCCCTCGAAATTCAACGTCTGCGCAGGCGCACACAGCTGACGGACGTAAGTTTCCGATCTGCTGGGAATATTAATATTTGCTCATATTTTTACATAATTTCGTACAGAGATACCATGCGTTGGTAAGAACACCGCTTACATGTATGAACGCCTTCGGCACATATCGGAACAGACGTTAACACGAATGTTAAACACCAACAAAAATATACACGGGGAACGATTTAGATGACTAGATCGCATTTGATGACTTTCCCCTGCATATATCAACGCCTAATTGAAATGTGCACCATTAAGGTGAAGTGAAACATGTCGAGGAACTTGATCGACGTCGGTAGAAAAGGTTTTTCTAAAAACCTACGTTGCCGACGCTGGTTTTTATATTGACAGCTGTGTCAAATTATATTGGGTATTGTACTAAATGGCATACTGCATCTGTTGTTTTCGTACAATAATTATAAAGAAATCGAAGTAAATCTCTGGAAATCCCCTGAATTCATACTTTCTGGGGCCCTAATTGACTACAGAGGGATGCCCTGCGCCATCTGTGATTTCCGTGTTAACTAAATTTTCACTCCGAGACCTCGTATTTCCATCGTTTCGGCTTAGAAGCGCATAAAACACTTCTTTTGCCTTTATCCCGTTCAAATGCGAGTTTCTCGATTACCAGTGTTCTAAATTGTCGTACAATTGTCCTGACACTTTTGTTTCTCATGTTGGGGCCTTTAATAATTGGATATGGATAAAAATATGGGAGCTCGACGTTATTTTGTTTCTAATCTGGACTAAGTAAAACATTTTTTCCAAAAATCCAAATTTCGAAAGTGTCACAATAATTTTTAGGTGTTCACGAGTCATGCGTCATGTGTCAAAGTTTCAGACGGTTCTGTCCAATACCCTTGAAAAAAAGGGTCTTATTCGAATCCACTGATTTGAGGGAGGTTTCTCTTCACCTTAAAGTTGCACTATTGTAGTTTTATACATTTTTTCTGTCGTTTGTACTAATTGTATAACGTTTTGTCCATATGTTTTATAAACCTTATAAATACATAAATGTATAAATGTTACCACATAATCTCTCAAATTTATAACACGACGTTACAAAATTATAAATTTATTTGGAATTTTAGGTATGCCGATTCACTTTCAATTTATAATTGCACTACAAACATATGTACTAAAGCCGTAGGAATTGTATGAATGGTTTTAATGATCTTGTTCACGAGTTTACTTGGCAACTCATTTCAGAATGCAAGCGTTAACGGTGGCTATACTAGCGGGCCTCCTTGCCCAGGGAAGTGCAAAACCGTGCAAATATTGGTGCAAAGCCGAGGACCAGCATTACTATTGCTGTCCGAGTGGAAAAGCAGATCCGTGGTGGTCATCCCCCTGGTCGCTGCTTCCTCTTCCCCTGATCTGGATGAACATCGGCACCCATCTCGGCATGAGTCACGTCTGGAGTACGCCGATTCCCATGGAGAAGCCTACCCAGGAGAAAAAGGAGCCCAAGTGTCCAACTCTGAGACCCGCGTGTCCTAGAAGCCTCGACTGGTACGATCCTCCCAGCTTCTGCGAGATGAACAGCGATTGTCCTGCCATGCAATTGTGCTGCTACGATGTTTGTCTAGAACACATGACTTGCAAGCCCGCCGAATAATGCTCGTTTTCATTCAGTTTATCAATAAGTATTCGTTTGTTCGTTGTAAAGTAACTTGCAGGTAATATGTTTTCATTTCAAATATTGTTTACCCACCCGATTCGACATTTTTATCGCACCTAGAAGCTCTGATCGTAGGCCTTAAGAGGATATGAAAGCCGCTAAGAAATTTAATCGACGTCGATAAAATAAAATTCATCTGTACCCTTTTTGGGGGTAATGCCGTTTCGAATACTCAAGTGGTAACGTCAGCTGGTGCGTCTCATTGACAACATTTATATTTATGTTGAAGTCTTTTACAGTCTACGTTAAGAATTATACGAACTGAAGGATTCTATATGTCATTTCGGTAAAGTAATGATAAAAATATCGATATAAAACTGCCGAAATCCCATGAATTCATGACTGTTTATATTTTGACGAACCAACGTCGCCATCTGTGACGTTTAGCTGCAACTAAATTTTTGCTCCACGTGTTAGCAGCAGGACAAGCCAACATTCTCTTGCAATCGTTGACGAAAGTATTTACCACATTTTCCCATCTGACTCTGTAATATTCCATTTCTACGGTATTCTAAATTGTTCGAGCTAGGTCCTGAAACTCTTCATTTTCGATTCTAAGCCTCCAAGAAGCGTAAAATATCGAAAACGTGCCAGGACCCCGCCATGTTGGTTCTAGTCCATGATAAGTAAATAAATTTTTAACAAAAAATGAAATTTCATGAATTTCAGGACCTACCTCAGGGCCTTCATATTCGCGTGGTAAAATTTGAAATGAATCGGTACACCCAATTCCGAGAATA